TCTCCTGACTCAGCTCTCTCTGGGAAGTCTGAGTTTTGTGAGTTATCCACTTGTCTTCCGTTTTTAGTTTCATTTCTATTTTTTTTGAAAAGCTTTAGGGGTGGGGGAGTCTGGATGGAAAATTACTCACTTATTTATTTCCTTCTTTTGAAGAGCGCTGGTAAGCAGAGTTAGCTAGGTTGGTGGTGGGGTTGGTCCACAGGAGTGGAAGTAATGAAGGCTCTTCCTCTGTTTATACTCTGAAACTCCATCTCCAGGACACGACCTTGGGTGTAGTTTCTGGCATCTGTGAGCCCACACCCTCTTCCCCTCTCTTGGGCATTTGTGAGACATCTGGCTACAGTACCATCGCTGTCTGTGGCCTCCGACTGTGTTCTCTCTTGTCAAATTGTCTCTGATTAAATGTCCTCTTTCCACTGACAACTAGATCCTTTGAAATCTTTCTTCCTGTCTCAACTGTTACCAGAGTCCTAGGCCACAGACCTGACTCTAGGGCTTCCCAACAGCCCAGATGTGACCACCCACTGTAGGAAGTCAGCATGGATGCACTGGGAAGAGCAGGGGTGCACCCCAGACTTCTGAGCCCTGTTTTTGAGGGGACAAAAGCACTGGCATTATGTAAGGGAAGAATTAGGGCAGAGGACAAAAGGTGTGTGGTGTCAGGAGATCTTGGTCACACTGTGGACTGGTTGATCCTCATCTCAGGTCCCTTTCTGTCAGGTCCTGGTGGTGCCCAGGAAATCGTTATTGCTTGGGGAGAGGGCATAATTTAGATCCTTTCATGAGACAATTGTGTGCCAGGATCAGTGTTACTGGAATTAGAAATAAGATGAGGATGATAAAGAGAGAGAGAGAGAGAGAGAGAGAGAACACAGGTTATAGAGACAAAGGTGGAGTTTGGGGGTTTGTTAGGACAAGGACTATCTCCTTCTTCACAGCTATCATTCTAACCACCTTCCAATTTGCAGCTTGTGCCTCAAATATCTTAAACTAGCTGGCTGCTGGTGACGCACTCCTGTAATCCTAACTTGGGAGGCTGATACTGGGAGGATCACAGTTCAAGGCCAGCCCAGGCAAACAATTTAATGAGATCCTATCTCCAAAATAACCAAAGCAAAATGGACTGGAGGTGTGGCTTAAGTGGTAGAGTGCCTGTTTTGCAAGTGTGAAGCCCTGAGTTCAAATCCCAGTCCCACATACAAAAAAAGAAATTGTAAACTTGACATGTTCAAAACCAAACTCACATATCCTATGTGACTTCTTTCTAAAACGAAACAATGCAAGCTCTTTCTCTCCTCCCTGGCTTTCTATCTGGGATGGCACCAGTGGGGCACCTCAAAGTTTTTTCTGACAAAGTTTCTCTTTTCCTGGCACTATCTGTCTTCCACTGCCCTTAAGTGGACTCAGCTTTCCCATACAGGTGCCCACGGTGATACTGAAACAGCAATAATGTCTACTTTTCCTTTCTCCCTCCTTCTTCCCTCCTTCCTTCCTTCTTCCATTCTTTCTCTCTCTCCATCCTTCCATCTTTCTTTTTCTTTCTTTCTTTCTTTGTCTTTCTCTTCCTCCTTCTTCTTTTCCTCCTCCTCTCTTTCTTTTTCTTTTAGTCTCTTTTTCTTTCTCCTACACCTCTTCTTCCTTCTCCTCTTCCTTCTCCCTCCCTTTCTTTTTCCTTCTAGATTGACAGTTCAAATAGCATCACCCAGTGTAGGAGAATGTGTGAAAATGGGAACTGATGCACTTTTCTTGCTGAATGTCCTATAATAATCTAAAATGACCTAGAGAGTCTATCCTAGGAATTTATCACACAAAAATATTCTCTTAAACATAAGATTTGTTAGCAATGGCATGAAATTGATGATAAATTAGAAACATATACAGAGAGAAAAACATGGGTTGCTTCTGTAAGTACTGACCCAGGCACACATTAGAACAGTATGAAGCCGTTAAAATAACATGGCTGTCTTCCAGTTCTTTGGAGTTCTTCACAGCATTTGGCAGAATTCTTGGTATTTGATAGGAACTGAATAGACTGGGCTTTACTTTTTAGATCTACTCTGTGCCTGGTTCTGTAATGGTGTACATCCCGTCCTCATGTAGAGTCTTTTATTTGTTGCAATGAAGAACCCAGTGTCATGCCATTCTGCTCGCCTAGTGACTTAGTGACTGGTTAAACGTCACTAATATGTATTTCCTTCTCAAAATCCCTCCAGCACTGCAGCGTGGGGATGAGTAAGTTTAAACTTACAGGACGAGGAGAACTGGAGTGGAAGCAATAGTAGATGAGAGAAATCAATAAAGTATCCAAGGATGAGAAGGAAAATGGGCAGTGCTGCCTGAGTGAGGGGAGAGAATGGCATGCCTGCCAGAGCGCAGGGCCATGCAGCATGCAAACTCGGTGCCACAGAATCCCTGCAAGGCCCCCAAGGGGGAGGCTCTTGGTTTCTTGGAAGGCAGCAAGGTGGGTGAGGCTAAAATTGGCGTTATGTTTGAAAGCTTTGTACAACCACTTGCCCTCCTGGGCTCCATGCTCCCTGCAAGCAGCAGGGGTGTCTCCCTCCACTTCCTCTCCCTTCTCCCTGCAGCAGGGCCTGGGTTTCTCCCTGGGAACCAGAGGGGCCTGGACTTGGGGACAGCCAAGTCTTCTGGAAAAGGCCAAGTCGAGGTGTGGCACTGAAATCATAGCAATTAAATTGAAGCCCCCGGTCCCTCCTTCCCTGAAAACTGCAGCCAGGTTTGTGTCCCTTAGGCAAGGCAATGGAGGAGCTTAGAGAAAAGGACAGCCCAGAGAGAGGACCTTTGTCCAGGTACTGACATGTCAGAGGCCTTTTGTCTCCATCACACTGTGGTGACAAGGCTGCCACAGAGCTCAGGTCAGCCCCCTCAGTTCTGGATGTGAATGCAGAGTCAGGGTTTACTAAACATTTGAGAAAAGCAGACCCCCAGACAGAAACAAAAATGCCAAGGAAACAGGCCCAGTGGAGTGAAAGAAGACATAAAAGGTTATCATTATTATCCTCATGAGATTTCAGAAAGGCATGATGCACATAAAATATGAACAGGATGCAAAAAAAGAAATAGTGTCATAATCAGAAAACACTTGAAAATTAATAATTTGATAGAAGAAACAAAAAGGTAATAGAAAGGCTAGAAGATACACTTAAAAGTAGAAAAAAAAAACAGGTATTGAAGAGAAAACATAAGAAAATAGATCTGTCCAGGAAATCTCAACCTAACTAATAAGAGTTGTACGAAGAGAGAACAGAGACTACAGAAAGAGGAAATTATCAAAGTAATAATATTCAGTACGATGAGTGAAAATTTAGCCAAGAAAAGTCTCATAAAATCAAGAAGCTGGGATGCCATGGAACAATGCCTGATAGTTCTGGAGAGAAAATATCTTAAAGATATAATGCTGTACCCTGCTAAACTGGCAGAGAAGTTTGAAGTCAGAAAAAAGATATTTTTAGATATGCAAGATCTTAAACTTTTAATCTTTGGACATCCTTTGCAAGAAAACTACAAGAGGATAAGCTCCAGAAAACCGAGGGGATAAAGCAAGTAAGAAAGAGGACAGAGGAGACTTGGGGAGGGGATTCCCAGCATTGGTGAAGAAGAGAAGCTCCAGACCTTCGGCTGTGCAGCCGGCCTCAAAAGTTGACAGGAGAGGGCGAGGGCAGGAAGGTGGGGGGTCCAGAGAGATGCTTCCAGGAAGAAAATGGAAGCCAAAGGGTACCGGGGCCTGACGTCATTGAGAGGGGTTTTGGTGACAAGGATATAGAAAACTAAGCAAACCTCTAGAAGGATTTGCTGGGGAAAACAAACAAACATACACGGATGGGAATGTGACAACTTAGCTAGCAGCTCATAATATTTATGCAGTCATAGTATTAAAAATTGTGAATATCACTTAACCAGGAATCTGATGGAGGACTAGGGGAAATAACAGGAAACAAAAGTAAAGCTTAAAACAGATAAATCAAGAAATAGCAGCACGAGCTTTTTATTAAGAAAAGAGGTCATGAGTCCAGAAGAAAGAGTTAAACTGTTGCCTTTGTGGGATGAGGATAAGGAACGTTAGTTCTCACAAAAGCCTTTTAATCTATTTCAGGTTATAAACTGTGGACTTTAATTTTTTAGATAGAAATTAGATTTAAAAGCTAGCAGCCTAGGCTTCTGACCTACTCGAGAGGATATTGACATCTCTGTTTTGAAGATTTTGCTGTCTTGGTTTGTGCTTGGTTTCCAGTGCTGGGTGTTGAACCCACAGCCTCACGTATGCTAGGGGAACACTTTGCCACTGAGCTACATCCCCAACCTGCATGTGCTCTGTTGTAAATGTGTTTATTACCTTCCTGTGATTTCTCACCCCAGAAAGGAAGGGCTTTTGTTTCAGTCCTGGTAAAATATCAGTGTAATTTTTTTTTATTCCTGATCCATTACAGATTTATATAATGAAATTTAGATTGTAGAAGTATTTTCTCAAAAATGTAATTTCAATTTTTTTCCCTTAGGCTTTACCTTGTAAAAGTTTTGGGGGTAAAATTATACTCATGTGTCAAGAAGAAGAAAACAAGTGCTGTATGATTAAAAAGTCCCCAAGCTAGTGAAAAAATCCTCTGGCTTTTATATCTGTTGCCCTTAAAAGTAGCTGTCGATGTGACCCAATAGTTTAGGGTAGAGACGGTTTTTCCTCCAAGACTCTCCAGCCATCAACTCATATTCTCTTCTGGATTAATTCATGTTCACAACTGGAGAGCTGAAAGAATGTTCTAAAAGTGACTTTAGCACTTTGTTCCATTTGTGTGTGTGTGTGAAGATGTAAAGAAATTAGCTCAGTTTAATTTTTATGACTTTCTTCAGTCTTCTATCATAAAACACAACTCAGAAAAAAACTCCTGCGCAGGTGGATTGAGAGCTTGTACCAGAGCAGACTGCTGGGACAGGCACCTTAACAAGCTTTCAGTGTCCCTAAAGAGGCTCCAACTTGCCCCAGGGAGGTGCCACCAGGTTCTGGGTCATGGAGCCTTGGAGTTGATACTTGCTTCTAGGTTGCTATGCTGGCAGCTGGTGCTAATGAATATTTGTTTATTTGCAAAACAAATAAGTGAATCAATGAAAATCGCAAAACAGTTCACACATGTGAGACTAGAATTAATGAAGAGAGGTCAGGAAAGTCCCCATCTCCACCTTCACCTTCCCTGGGCTTTTCGGAGGGCCCAGCTGGCCCCCAGCAGCGTGCAGGGTCAGTGACCCAGACGCAGAGGAACCAGAGCCCAACAGTCCTGCCTGTCATGGTTCACGGCCACTGCAGGGCAAAGGACACGTGCAGACACCTGTGAGGCCTGTGGGTGCTGGGGAGGCCACCAAAGCGGGGACAGTGTGCTCTAGAGGTGAGAGAGGGCATGAAATGTTCCCTGGGCCTGGGCACTGGGAGGAGGGCGGGTTCCTGGGGAAGCTGTACTTGACTTTGAGACGGGAGTGAGAACCACTGGGTAGAGATGGAGAGAGAATATTCCAGGCACATGGGAAGGGGGTGGTATTTGGGAAGGGGAGGTTGACACTCTGAAGACGTGACGGGGGGCGAGGTAGAGGAGAGGCCTGTCCCCAGCTCTTCCAAAGGCAGGACATGAAAACAGTGAGGCAGAAGTACTGGGCTCTGCTGCTGACTTCCCGGGTGGCCTTAGGGACATCATGGTAGCCACTCTGAGCTACTTCTTCCTCTCCCTAGGATGCTACTGATGCTTGCTCTGTACCTTCAAGTGACTTCATTATACAATGCTAGGACCAGGAGACAAGCCTGCACCATTTTAAAAAAGATTATCAGGGCCCTTGTCATTGACGCAGTGGACATTTTTTGAGCACCTGTAATAGTGGAGTGCTGAAGACTCTGCTCTCTGTACCTAGCATTCTGGTGGTGAAATGGAAGATAAGTAATCCACGAAGGAATAATGTGACCGTGTGACCTACGTGATTGGAGTGGCTGGGAGGCTCAGGACAGGTCTCTCTGAAGAGGGGACCCTCAGCGGAGACCTCAACGGTGAATGGAGTCAGACTCCTGACTATCAGGGAGAAGGTTTGCCGAGAAGAGAGACCGGGCTGTGCAAAGGCCCTGAGGTGGGAGCGTTGAGGGTTCCTGGGGCAGAAAAGTGACTGGCACGACAGCCACATTGCTGTATGCAGAGGAAAGATGAGAGATAGTCAGTCAGAAGCCATGTCAGGCAGAGCTCCTGTAAACCTGGGCTCGTAACAGTCTGAGCTTCGTGGTGCTGCGGTTGGGGTCAGTTACAGGGTACCCTACCCAGTGTGGGCACCAGAATTAAGATGAGAGTTTTATTCCAAGTGCAGTGGGGAAGTCCTGGGTGCTTCTCAGCAGGCAGTGGAACTGGATGTCCATGGGCACCTGGGGGATGGGCTCCATGTGGCTGGGGTTTCCTCACTCCTCCCAGACATTGAGGGGTCTACCTTTCCTGGTGAAATCCCTCAACAACAAAAGAAAATGTTCATAATATCACGTGTCATTGCCGTTCATCAAAATGTGTTTCTTTTAAAATGTTTTATTGAGCCAGGCACAGTGGCTCACACTTATAATCCCAGCTACTCATTAGGTGGAGATAGGAGGATTACAGTTTGAGGCCAGTCTAGACAAAAAGTTATCGAGACCCCATCTCAACCAGCAGGCCAGGCACACGTGATCCCAGCTATGTGGGAAGTGTAGGCAGGAGGATCAAGGTCCTAAGGCCTGCCTGGGCAAAAAGTGTGGGACCCTATGTGAGAAATAATAAGCAAAAAGGGCTGGGAGTTGGTCACAGTGGTAGAATTAGCAAACCCAAGGGCCTGGGTTCAACCCCCAGTACCACCAAAAAAAAATTCTCTCTATATAATGTTTTAAACATGCGTAAGATTCCCCTTTAAAAAGTACTGAAATATACACAGATACATGAGTAAGATCTAATGTGCTTCTTACTTCCTTCCCTCTTGAACCACAGGCAAGCATTTGTAGCTAATTTGCGCGTCCGTTTTCTGGATTGCACTTGGGGGAGTGTGTGTGAGGTGACTCCAAGCTGCTGACCCTCTCTGCCTTTCAGTAGACAAACGTTCTGCAGTTTCAGGCAGGAGTTACCCAAGGAATGTTTGTAGAAGAGGGAAGTCTTAGAAGATTGAAAAGAGGGCTTTTAAGAAAAAAAAATCAGACATGCTGCAAAAACAGATCTTCTGTTTCAAAGTAGTGATAATCCGAGCTGCGATACAGGACACAGGACACAGGACTGTCGCGTCTACAGAAATGCGCTCCACACAGCAAAGCCAGCCACTCCTTGCATTTGGCATCCTGAAAATGCAAACCAACTTCAAATGCTGGGACGTGTTTGCCTGTGACAGTAAGGACGTCCCAGGGGAGTGGGGTGAGCCGAGGTCATTGGCCCATGCAGGACTCAGTCTCAGCTGTTGATGGGGGGGGGGGTTGGGGGAGGATCAAAAAAATAAAAACAGAGATATGGAGTTGTTTTCCTGCAGGCAGATAATGAGTGCCCTGTCATATCATCTCCCCCAAAGTGACTTCAGTGAATGCCACCAAAAAAAGTGGCTTTGTTGAATTTCTGTCTCAAGTGTTAGCATTTATAGATTTGATACATAAAACTTTCCAAGAGTTATGTGTCTTTTTGTAAAGCCTGCCTTAGAAGCCAGGCCTGGTGGTGCCCGTCTATAATCCCAGCAGTGGGGAGGCTGAGGCAGGAGGATCAGGAGTTCACCAGCGCTGCTGAATTGCAGTGATGTACCGAGACCCTGTTGCTGGACCTGTGTCCCATTCCCAAAGAAGCTCATCGTGTTATTGCAGTGGGAGCAGGTGAAGAACTTTCTGGAATGGCTAATTTATCCCCTTGGGAAGCCATGCCATCACCTGACTCCAGGAAAGGATCAGCAGGATTTTCAGAGCAGTGTGGAAGAATCCAGAACTTCGTGTAGCAGGACATCCTCCTCCCACCCCTCCCGTCCCCTCCCTGTGTCCCTCACCTAAAGACCCCAGGATGGCACCTGCTGGCCACGTTGGCTCCTGCCTGACTGCCATCGCCTTCCCCGCTGTTCCTTGTCATAATCCTTGCACGGTCTACATGGAGGGTCCTCTCTGGCCTTGAACCTGCACTCCTGCAATGACCTCTTCCACCTTTCTTGCTCCCCCAAGTCTAGGCTGCCCTGGTCCCTGAGTCCTGAACCTGTCCCTCATGGTGACCACTCCCTGGGCTGCACCCTCAGCTCCGTTGCCCCTCAGTTGGCAATGTTCCCACTGCCTAAATGCCACTCTCCACCTGCTCCTCGCTCCACCCTCAGGACCTGCAGCTGGGGCAGGGGAGCTAACCAGAGCACGCACCTGCACTGCCTCCCATGGAAATCTGCCTCAGTCCTGCTGCCTGGAACCCATTTACACTCTGTCCTCTGTCCCCACCCTCCCAGTGGCTCCGTCACTGCACTCACTGCCCACGGCACCATCCATTCCTGTTTCACTAAGAAAACAAAAGCAATACGCAAACAAAAAGTCCCATCCGCTCTCACCACCTCCACCATCCGCACCTGCCTGCCTCCCACCCTTGTGCCCAGGAAGGCCGCCCCTCCTCCATCTCTGCCTTGCATCCAGTCCCCCGATGCCTGCAAATCTCTCTCTCTCTCCTTTCTCCCTCCCTCCCTCCCTTTTTAAGCAAGGTCTTGCTATGTAGTCCAGGCTGTCCTTGAACTGGCTTACAATCCTCCTGCCTCAGCCTGCTGAGTGCTAGAATTACAGGCAGGCACCACCACACCTGGTGCTCTCCTGTCTTGAGTCATCAGTTTTGTCCCCTTTTCTGGCTCAGGCCCCTCGGTGTGCCTGTGGTAGAGCCAGCCCGGCCCACCTCCCTTCCAGCTCTGCCCACGCTACTCCATTCACCCTTACAGCAAAGCCCCTCAGAGACACATCAGTGTTCACGGCCAGGCCTTCTCCGGGTGCTTCTGATATCAGGCTTGTCCCCACGGATGCCACCAGAGCAGCTTTGTCAATTTGCTGCTGTGGCAAAGCCAAAACCTTCCCCTTCCTGGGGCTGCTCTGTTACGGTGTCCACCATGACTCCTGTGTATGTGACTGACACAAAAGCAGCCAGCACAGAACACAAGGGTGGGGAAGTGTGTTGGCAACCTGCCGTGTCTCTTGACCCTTAAGTCTGAGACAGGTAGTTAAGATGAATATAAACCAATCAGCTGTGTGTGCACGTGTGTTTAACCTTGACCTTGGTCATGCCGTAAGTAAGCTCTCACAGCATGCAATTCTTCACTATTCAGCAGTGACCTCAGAGTCAAAGGGCGAAACAAATGTGATCAAGACTTTGTTTATGACTGAACAACTCGAATGCAGAAATTAGAGATGGCGTGAACCAGGAAGAGACTTTTGTAAACTGAGGACCCTTCCAGCTGCACTTGCAGCTACTTTTTTTCCTGCTTAGAGAACAAGCAAAGCATCCTAAGAATTACAAGTGGAAGATGGTCTTCCTCATCCCCAGCGCCCTCACTTCAGGGTGCCTGGGATACACGCTTTTCACCTGGAAAGCAGATAAACCAAAGTGAGTCTGAGACAAGCCAGCGATTGCTCAGTTAATCGAGGTCGACGTGGCCCAGATTTTGCTGGACCCAAGAGAATTATCTGGAAGTCAGGCACGCCGCTGTCAAATAAGCCCTTACTTCTGAACTTCATGGAGCCATCCTGTGTCTTGCGTTTATTTATTCTTTTGGGTAAGAAGTGACATTTTGAATGTTTTGCTGAGCAACATATCTGAGCGCCGAGGTATTTCAGGACGCGCAGATACGTCCAGGCTGGGCTGGCATTCTTTGTTTGTTTGAGGTACTGGGGCTCGAACCCGGGTCCACCCCTGTGCTACGTCCCCAGCCTGGACTGGCATCTTTGTAAGTAATGGGACAGGTCCAATATTGTGAAGCTTTGTCACGGAACTTGCTGAAAGACAGTCAGTACTTAAATTCTACTAGGGATGCGGTATGCTGAAAACCTTTCCTGTGTTTCGGATTTGAGAGGGGAAAAGACACCATCTTGAATAGTCTACTGGTTTTTTTTTTTTTTTTTGAGGTGCTGGGGATCGAACCCAGGACCTCACAAAGCCAGGCAAGCCCTCCACCCCTGAGCCACACCCGAGCCTGGCATGACTTCGGCTCACTGTGGGGCTTGGTGAGGTGTGAAAGCCTCAGGTGCTGTTTTCATCACAGTTTGCTCTTTGTCCCTTTTTTTCACAGGTCCCGGAGGGGAAGTCGTGGTCCTCAACTTCCGGTTCATAGACCTGGAGAGTGACAACCTGTGCCGCTATGACTTCGTGGACGTGTACAACGGCCACGCCAACGGCCAGCGCATCGGGCGCTTCTGCGGCACGTTCCGGCCGGGTGCCCTGGTGTCCAGCGGCAACAAGATGATGGTGCAGATGACTTCCGACGCCAACACGGCTGGAAATGGCTTCATGGCCACGTTCTCTGCTGACGAGCCCAACGAAATAGGTACTGCTTCCACACAGTGACAATAGTGACAGCGATGGCGGCCACAGTGACAGGACGCCTAGTGGGTGGCAGGCACTGCGTGTAAAGCTCAGTGCCATTCTTCTCAAACACAGAGCCCAGGAAGCCATCAAGAGACCACTAAGAAATCGGTCCATATTTCGTCTTTAACATTCTTGTAAAACTAATATAGAAAATATAGAAATACAGAAATTCCTGGAGTAGAATTCAGGCATGGAGGGCATGCTTATCGTCCCTGCTGATTAGAAGATGGAGGTAAGAGGGTCGTGGCCTAAGGCTGGCCAAGGCAAAAGCTGGAGACCCTATCTGAAAAGCAAAAGGACCCCGGGGTGCAGCTCAAGTGGTAGACACCTGCCTAGCAAGTGTGAGGCCCTGAGTTCAAATCCCAGCACCACAAAAAAAAGAAGGAAGGAAGGGAGAGAGGGGGGGAAGGAGAGAGGGAGGAAGGAAGGAAGGAGAAACAGAAGGAGGGAGGGAGGGAGGGAACGAGAGAGAGAAGGAAAGAAGGATGGAAAAGAAAGATAAATGTAAAACGTCCTCACAGATGCTCCACCCCATCAGTGTCCCCCTCCTAAAAGTCACAGCCGTGGCTCCCGTATCTACTATGCATGCTTACTTATTTTATGAACTTTTACGATAGCTTTTAAAAGTAGAGGTGAGGCCATCTAGTCTGATTATTTCACAACGTTTGCCTTTTGGCACTGTCTTGGAATGGCTTCATGCCAGTGCATATGGGCGCCCAAGGGTAGGAGCCTTGACAAGCAGAGCAGGCAAGAGGTGTGAGTTGTCACCTGAGTGTGCACCCTCCTCTGCTCTGGGCTGGGGCTCTAATGCAACGCTGGTGGCTTGAGATATCGGAGGACAGAATCTCGGGCTGTCAGTATGTTGGGGTGAGGAGGTCCTGCAGGGACCTAGAGAAGAAAGTAGGTCCAAAATCTACCCAAATCTTTGACTGACAGCCAGGCCCTGTATTGTCAGAGAGAGCTCAGTGGCCTAGCAGAAAAGCGTCAGCTGAAAGAGGAAAGAATTGGGCCAGGGTTAAGCTGCTGCCCACTGCCAGGGAGACAGACTGAGTATGAGTCTAGCCAGGTGAAATGCCTACGAGAAAAGTCATTTTTCAGGGGAACGCCACAGAGCAGAGGGTATAAATACCCAATATCTAATCATGCTTTAAAGAGGAAAAGCGTGTCCGTATTTAAGGAAAAAGCTAACTAAAAAAGACCTAAGTAAGCCAGGCCTGTAATCCTAGCTACTCAGGAGGCAGAGATCAGGAGAATCAAGGTTCAAAGCCAGCCCAGACAAATAGGTCCAAGACCCTATCTCGAAAAAACCCTTCACAAAAAAAGGGCTGGTGGAGTGGCTCAAGTTCAAACCCCAGTACTGCAAAACAAACAAACAAAAAAGGACCCAAGTCACTCAGATGTTGGAATTAGCAGTTAAGCACTTTAAAGCAGCTATTATCAATTTGTTTCAGGACTTCTAGAAAAATACATATGTATAATAAGCAAGCAAATGAGAAGCAGAAGCTATTAAAAAGAATAAAGTAAGAATTCTAGAGCCAGGAGATAGAGATCTGACATTTTAAAATGGAGGATGAGATGGATACACCAGTACAGAAAGCAGAAAAAGTCAGTGAACTTGAAACCAACTATCCAACCTGAAGAACCAGGATGAAAACGATTGATGACAAAGACCCTCGAAGACCATCAAGACCATATCAAGTAGCCTAACAGAACTGTCATTTTTGTCCCAGAAGTGATAATATGAAAAGAAATAATGACTCAGCTCTGTCCAGTTGTAGTGAAGAACATGCATTCAGATAGCCGCAATAGCCACAAAGGTCAACAGACAGTACCCAGGAGAAGTAACCATGAAGCCACACCTTGTCACACCATAATTAAATTATAGAAATCTAAAGGTCAGGTGGATTTGAATTCAGATGCAGCCCCATTACACAGAAGGACAAAGGTGCGAACAGAGGCTCCACTTAATCAGAAGTTCTGGCAGCTTGGGAAGGGTGCAGAAATTGTGAGAGGGATCCTGCATTATCAGGAGACCTGTATCACAGGTACATCCATTCTTCAGACACATACAGCTAAGATTTGTGCATTTCAGTCTGTGGCTGGTGATGGAGATGGGTGGGGTGATAACTGTTGGAACTGGGTGATGGACACCTAGGGGTCATCGTGTTACTGTTCTGTTCAGTTCATAAATGCTTCAAACTTTCCATAAATAGTTTATTAATTCATTTAGGTTTTTTTAGCAGGTCTGGGATTTGATCCCAGGGCTTCTGTCTTGCAAAGCAGACGCTCTACCGCTTGAGCCACACCTCCAGTCCATTTTGCTCTGGTTATTTTGGAGATGGGATCTCAAGAACTATTTGTCTGGGCCAACCTCAAACTGCCATCCTCCAGATTTCAGCCTCCCAAGTAGCTAGGATTACAGGTGTGAGCCACCGGTGTCCAGCTTCCATTCAGGTTTTGTTGGTTAAATGTTACACTTAGAACTTTGTATTAATCAGACTTTCTAACATTATTTCTGTCACCCCGTTAGTCCATATGCATTTCCTATGAGTATGTGCAGGCAGAGTTTGACATAATGGTTGCCAAATATTAAGGGTGGTTGGTTTTCGGTGTGGGATTTGGGGTAAGTTTTTACTTTTTCTTGATGCTTTTCTGTATTGCTGAAAGTTTATGAGCATGCATTCTTTTTACACAGAAAAATTATTCTTAAAACATAGGAAAGATACATGTAGCATATAGAGTTTTCTAGAAACGGGAGTGTCTCTACCAGCTAACTCAAGTTCTGTTTGTGGACATGTAATAAATGGCAGTGCCTTGGGGAGTCCTGGAATCGAGATTTGTTGTGAGTCATTGGACTGAAAGCATGCTCTCAAATGTTTTCTCTTCACTTGGACAAAAAGAAACCATGGCCCTGACTCCCCTGGCTCTCTGTCCATTCAGGGGGTCTGTGTGCCAGGCAGATTACCTGTCTCCATTTTTAAGACAAAATTTAAGAGCCTCTGCCATGGCTAGTGTCACCAATATTTCACACTCCTAATCTCCAGGTGGTTGTATTGCTGTAACCTTTTTTTTGATATAAACTTGTGGGGGTTTTGTTCATATTTTATAACTCTAGGAGGTCAGTATTGTGGAGGACGCCTGGAAAAACCTTCTGGCTCTTTCAAAACCCCCAACTGGCCAGACCGGGACTATCCTGCGGGCGTCACTTGCGTTTGGCACATCAAAGCCCCAAAGAACAAGGTGAGGCTCCCCACCAATGTGCCCAGATGGCATGGGCCTCTGCTGTGGGGCTTTTTTGACAGCTGAGGTTACAGAGGAAGGCCCTGCTGGACGCAGCTACTCCTCCAGATGAATGCCCAGGTTGAAATTTCACTTGCAAAGTCCTCATTTAATTTCCTATTATATAATTATAATTTGCAAATCAGTTTTAAGAATACAAATTGGTAAGCAAATGTCACAGAAGACTGACCCTCCACGGGAGATGTTAGGGGGTGCTGTTCCCAGCAGTGACCACTGGGGAATAAAATCCCCTTGGACATTTCAGGGTCCCGTTGCTCCCATGGCACGACATCGTGTCCTCATGATGGTCGAGTCACCCAGCCAAAGCCAGCCTCGTGCCTTGCCACAGCATGGCGTCAAAGGCCCAGGCATCTGATTTGAAAGCTGGTGTGCTTTAGGGGCATTGGGACTGCTGCTTAAAATAAAATTCATGCGCGTTCCCCACAGAAAGCTTTTGTCACTTCTGTAAAGCCATCAACAGGGCTTGGGGGTGGCTCCAGCCGAGCACCGCAAAATAAACGAATAAATACATAAAACAACCAGCCAGAGGAGGTCTAGTTTTCCAGTGTTTATTAGTTCGCGGTTAGGTGATTTTTTTTCCCCTTCTGGGAACCATTTTCAGATATTGACAGACAGACCTTGACATAGGAATACATGAAAGTCACTTTGTGACTTTTCCAAATAACCTTGTAACACTATAGGCTTCAGTCTAAACACTATGAGGCGAGCATTATGATACAGTATTTTTAAAAAACTTTCCTAAATTGATCTTTCATATAACTTGCACAAATACTACGTGTCATGTATTTTTTAAATGGACATTTATTCAGATCAATATGGCAAGGGAGTGGTTTGCACACGTGCACACACACAGACACAAATACAAATACACACGTACACACTTTAATCATATCTCAAACTCAGCTTTTATTTTTTAAGAAGAAAAATCTTTGTTTAATAATGGAAGGCTCTATAAGTCTACAGAACATTTACAGTTTAAAATAGCATTTCAAATTACACTGCTGAAATATTTCAACCATTATGTAATTCTTGAAATTGTATTGGTCATTTTTCTTTTTCTGTGACATCTGTAAATTATTTGACCAAATAATTTCAATTTATTGAACTTGCAGGTTATAATGTGATTTTTGGCTTCAGCTAATTGAGTTTGTTAGCATGGCAGTGTTTTAAACCATTGGCAGCTCTGTTCAAAGAAGAAAAATATAATGGGAAAATTAAATCCTAAATAATTTCTATGTCTGTGGAATATTCTCCTACTAAAGAATCACCTTGGCCACGTGCAGTGGGTCATGCCTGTAATTTCGGCTACTTGGGAGACAGAGATAGGAGGATCACAGTTTGATCCCAGAAAATTAGGGAGATCCTATTTTGGAGAACAAGCTGGGTACGGTGGTACACGTCAGTAATCTCAACTATGCAGGAGATGTAGGTAGGAGGACCACCATCCTAAACTGGCTTGGGACAGCCATCCCCACACCATGGGTGTCCATGAACCCAGTGAGATGTCCTTTGATTCACAGGTTGGAGGCGCTCTTAAAGAATCTGCTTGTAAGCAGAATGATTGATTGCCTATCGAATCCAAATTTCCTAGTCATTTAAGTAATTTAGGACACTGTCTTTGGTACGAGAGCATAAAAATTAAGAAACCTGCAAGAATCTTAACAGTGACTTTGTGTATCTTCTATACAGTGTCTTCAAAAATCAACTACGTCCCAGTCACCTGTAGTCCATGTGCACATATTGGAAACATACTTCAAAAAGACTTCAGTCAGTTGTCACTTCCCTGTATCTCTGATCCTAAAAATTTGACTCCTTTACATGTGGTAGGAATGTCAGTCCCCTTCCCTCCGAAGGAGGACAGCTTGGTCTTCTATCTGACCTCCACACATATGCACACAGCTCACACCCCAGCATACTCTGACACTGGGGACAGCTTAGATAGGACTTTTGATTCTTTTAGTTTCTGCAGAGGAGAATGAAGTTAGTATATAGCACCCCCTTCTCCCCTCCAACACATACCCAGTTATCCAAGCACTCTTTATTTTCCTCTTTACTTTTATCTCATTCTTTTCTCTTTTATCCCCAGCTTTATTGAGCCATGGTTGACAAACAAAAATTGCATATTATTTACAGTACACAGCATGAGTTTTTTTGGTGGTGGTGGTATTGGGGCTTGAACTCAGAGCCTTGCACTTGCTAGGCAGGCACTCTTCTGCTTGAGCCACTACCCCAGCCCCAGGTGATGTTTTGTATTGTTGTGAAAAACTGCCATAATCAAGCTAATTAACACATCCATCACCTCACGGAGTGGTCCCTGTGTGTGTGTGCTGAGAACATTTAGGATTTACTCTCAGAGGGGGAGGAATGGAGGAAGTGCGATATTAAAAATTTTACAAAGATCTGCTCTTAGAAATGCTCAGATGTTTACACATTACTGTTAACTATAGTTGTCATCCTGTACGATGCCTCTCCAGAACCAATGACAGCCTCAGTGTGGGTGGCTAGAGTCGCATAGTGGTCCCATCCTTTTGTGACTATAAATGAACAGAACTCTTAGTTTAAGATCCTGACTAGAGGTCATCTTTTGTAACAACTAAAATGAAAGCAAAAGGAAACCACAGTTTTGCTGACTAAAGGAGAGACATCAACAAGAAAAAAAGGATGAATATGTTTTTGAACAAAGATCATAGCTTTCTACACACCTGGGAAATGGGACGTTTCCTTTTGACGCCACTCAAGGATGCCACCAGGCATCACCAGGTGACACTGTGCTCTGTCCACAGCTTATAGAACTGAAGTTTGAGAAGTTTGACGTGGAACGTGATAACTACTGCCGTTATGATTACGTGGCTGTGTTCAACGGTGGGGAAGTCAATGACGCCAAGAGGATTGGGAAGTTCTGTGGGGACAGTCCACCCGAGTAAGTGGCCCGTTTGTGTCATTCATGTTGTAGCGACTCTAGTACATATTATTATTTAAACATGTTTTATTTGTAACTGAGGTTGAGATGTGTGTTGAAGGCAGTGTTTTTATTTGTTAATGGAATGTGTTTCTCAAAAGCAAGTTACACATAGAGGTAGAGACACCTGCACACCTGTTTATCGCAGCACTGTTCAGGGAAGGGGTACAGGCTAGGTGCCTGTCAACCCGTGGATGGATAAAGAAAACGCAGTACACGTACACAGTGGAGTACCATGCAGCCATAGAGAAGAATGAAATCATGTCATTTGCAGAAAAATGGGTGGAACTGGGGTGAGATAACCCAAGCTCAGAAAGACAAATATTGAGTGTTTTCTTTCTTATGTGGAACCTAGATCCAATAATAATAGCAATAAAATGACATGATTCTAAAAGGGGGATGAGTTGGGGGGAGAACCCACGAGAGGGGAAAAAGGGAAAGGGCAGTAATGGAGGTGAACATGATGGAAACCCATTGCATGAAAAGAGCACAATGAAACCCCAAAACTGTTAATAGGGGAGGAGAAGGGGTTAAGAGAGTGGTAAGGGTGAGTTTATCAAAGTATATCATATTCCTGTGTGTAAATGTCGCAAGGAAACCCACTTCACAATGAATTTAGGCTAATAAAAAAGAACACGTGAGACTATTTCTGATAAAGGCTTGACTCTCAGAGGCATTAGTAACTGGTCTCAGTCACTTAGGGGCCCTCCCTTACTAAGAAGCTTACTATTCAACACAGAGAAGGTCCCACAGTTTTCAATCTGGTTGATTCAGGTACAGATCTACCCACAAGAAAGAAAGAAAAGAAAACGAAGGAAGGGAGGGAGGGAGGGGCTTCATTATTGCCTATCCATGATGCCTAAGAAATGTGTGACTGAAAAGGTGCCTCAAAAAAAGAAATTTAGCTAAGTCACTGGTTAATTCATTCAGGTAACTAACTTCTTTAATCTTTTCCTATTTTTGAATTTGTTTTAAATAGAATTAGCCATACTGCATTTTTCCTATTGTTTAAATAACAGCAAAACTGAAATGAAACTGTTCTCTTGTGCAATTATCCGTTAGGATTTAAGAAAGCCTTTGCACCTCGTTAGCATCGCCACTAAATCTGTAGTGCCAAATAAAGTCCTAAAACAGAAGTCTGAATGGCACTGTGCATCATCACACAGCTCAGCACTCACTTGCACTGTTCCCAAGTCAGTCAACCGGGAGGTGCCTATGGGAAACCAGCCACAGCATCCATGTTTCCACTGATCCCCATATCTTCCATTGTCTCTGAGTCACTAGGTCCTGGGTTCAAGTCTGATCCACACACTGGTGACAGGCCCTTGAGCAAATCATCTAAATCACTTGAGTTCTCTGCTTCAGTTGACTGCTCCATAAAAGGGGATGGTTTAGGCCCGTTGTGTGGAGACGGAGTGGAAGAAGCCTACGCCTAGCTAAGCAGAAGCTTTGTAAACAGCTATTGGCATTCATGTTTGGTGGATTAGCACTTTGACCTTTTGTAGGGTTTAGCTTTTAGGTTTAAACAAATGATCACCTTATTGTCAGAAATTAATGGAAAGATTTTACATCTTTAAAGCAGTACCACTTAAACATTAAATATGTTTTTCTTCTAGGCCAATCATATCAGAGGAAAATGAGCTTCTCATTCAGTTTTTATCAGACTTAAGTTTAACCGCAGATGGATTCATTGGTCATTATAAATTCAGGCCCAAAAAGCTGCCCCCGACTCCATCACCACCTGCTACCGCCACACCCCCTGTGACAACAGGTAAGTTTATGCAGAAACATTAGGATAGAAAAAGAATTCTTTTCAAGCAGAAAAGAAAAATAAGAGGAAGGTACTTGAAACGAAAGTAACTAGAATGAAAATTTAGGTAAGAGAATATGATTCCACTAACTAATGATTTTAAAATCTCACGCACAAAAATTATCACCACTTAAGAACTGAAAGGAAGTCTACTGAAAGCCTAACTGCACTGGCATTTACGCAGAATAACTGCGCATGCGTATGGGCACGCTGTAATAATTTGAGACACATATAACGCAATGATTAAGTCTTTTCTTTTACGCTGGGAAACAACTTTTGTTGTTCTTTATAAAATACCTAGTTAATTGTTGTCGAGTGCAGTTTTGTTGGGTTTTTTTTTTTTTTTTTTTTTTGGCTTCTCAGCAAAATGTCATATACAGTATATAAATTTTTTTTTCAAATTGGAGTAAATGAAACAAAAATATTTGACATATCCTAGAAGCTGGCTGGGAAACTCTGGTCTGAGTCAGGAGCTAAGATTTGACAGGCAGGAGTGGTGAGCTAGGCTGCAATGAGCCCCACTTAAGGTGTCAAGGTGTCTTCATCCCCTGGATGGGTGGGTGTCCTGAACCCAGGAAGGCACTACTGCAAGCACTGACGACCCCACAGGCACACCATCTTGTGGCCGGAATGTGTGCTGCCTCATGTTACCCTCTTCTCCAGCTCATTCTTCCCAGGGGGCCTGGTGTTCTTCTTCCTAGTGAGTTGCCTGGCCACACCCATGGTGCTAAAGGTTTTATCTCCAGTCTGAACTTTCTCTGAAATTGGAAACGTGAATTTGTAATGATCTCTTAAACATTTTGTGACTGCCAGACCTTTAAATGAAAGCTTACCAAACTCAACTTGCTTTTATCACATTCTTTTTTGCCTTAAACCTGCTTTTCCTCCTGTTTTCCAAAGTGTTATTCTTCAACATGGGTAATCACATTTGTAGGGTCACCTCTGCCTTCCTCTGTCTTACATCCCTACTGCATAGCTCCCCACCACACACAGAGAAGCCAAGTTGTGTTATCCAACATGGCACCACTGCTGAGCACTTGAAATGCCTCTTCTGATATAGGGACTCAACCTTTAGCTTTAATTAATCTAAATTTTAAAGCCCCATGTGGCTAGGAACTACCACATTGGACAGCCCAGAACCCCCAACTCCTTCCCATGGTATACAAGACCCTTCACTCTTTGTTCCACTCCCCCTACCTGCCCCCCCAAGTATAGTCTCTCTCTATGGCTTCGTCTTCAGGCCTTGCTACCCCTCTCCATATCCTAAGAGTGGAGGAAGCTGTGGATGGGTTCGAGCAAAGTTGAAGATTACATTTGTTTGCTAGGAAGATCACTCTGGCCCCTGTGGGGGTGACTGGATTGTCAGGATCAAGAGGCTGAGTGGGCCCTTTGGTTGTCCTGGTGAACGGTGCTGTGACACAGACACAGACATAGGGCAGAGATGCGTGAGAGACAGTGATGGACCTTCGTGGCTAACTGGACAAGGGGGGCAGGGAGGTGCCAAGAACGCATCCCCGTCCTAGGTCTCAGGCTTGCACGACCTGGGAGAGTGTTAGTGTTGGCTACAGCAGAGAAGTGGACTTGGGGGGAGATTTACAAACTAAGCTGTAGCCATTTTGGGTTTTAGGAGTCAGGGAAATATTCTAGAGATGAGTCATGTCATCAGACCACAGAGGGTAAAGAGATTTCATTTAAGTCACCAACACCTAGATAGTTGAAACCATAATCAGGGGTGAAATTATTACCTAGCGAGAGGCTGCAAAAGGAGAGGGCCGAGATGAAACATCTAGAAACTCCAGATTTCTACCTGTGGATGCTGATGGGAAGTGGCAGCTGAGAAGAGTACCATGGAGGCGTGGGAGCAGACTGAGAAGGAAGGTTCTGAACGGTGGCTGGCAGCAGCCACTTGCAAACCTCCTCTCCCAGAGGAGGAAGAGAAGCAGAGGCTCAGTTAACAATGACTCAAGGTTTGGGGGATCTCGCGGACATTTTCTGCTGTGACTTCTGGGCTAGGAGAGTGAGGAAGAACTTGAACAACAGCTGTGGAAACCAGCGATGAGCCTGTCACTTTGCTGAAGTCCAGCTGTGTACTCAGCTGTCCTAGCGCAGGCACGGGAAAAAGGGATCTTCCTGCAGGATTCCATGGGGTTGGAGGACAGAGGGGGTGGGACAATAAGGGACTGTCAAAAAAATGACTGAAAGAATGGAGCGTGGAAGCGAAGTGGCAGAGCTAAGCCAGTGAGGGCAGGCTGGGGCTGATGGGTTGGGAAAATGAGAGCAGTCAGTCCACTGAGTCTCCAAAGAAAGGGGGAAAGTAGTTGCGAGATTGAATGCATAAGCTTGGGAGGGGAGGCCGTCCTGGGGGCTCGGATGTCTGAATGAGAGACTGGCAGTGAGGGCTTTAGCAAGGGCATGTGAGCTGGGACTGAGCACCCAAGGTGGAGCAGAGGGAAAGTTCCTGCTGAGGAGGCAGCAGGGGACTGAGGGGCTATTCAGGGGCAGGGTGGACCCTCCGAGAAGGTCACAGAAACGAAACACGGAGAGGAAGACTGAGAACCTGGGCCACGTTTGCTAGTGCAGGGTGATGGATGACAATAAGATGAGGTGGATGGGGTACACAGCCCATGCCTTAGAGGCCAAAGGAGGAGTGGTGAGGGACACCCACCCAACTCCCAGGTGACATCCTGAGGCTGAGCAGGAGCAGGGTGCTCAGCCCATGGGGAAATGACGGCCTCTTTCACGGGTAACACTACTGCTCTGTGACTCAGTTAACTAGGGAAGTTTAGTGCCCAAGTGAAATCCCCAACTTCTGGACAGATGACCTAGCTCATGCCTGTTAAAATTTTCTGAATTCTTCCTTTCTAAAAATACATCTATTTTAACATGAACTTATATATATAATCTTAATATTATAATATACTTCAGATCCTTTTTGGAGTCAAGTAGGGGTACAAATTAAGAGTAAATCAGTAAGCTGGACGCCAGTGGCTCACACCTGTAATCCTAGCTTCTTGGTAGGGTGAGATCAGAAGGATTGTGGTTCAAGGCCAGTCCAGGCAAAGCATCCAAGAGATCTCACCTCGACCAACAGCTGGGCACAGTGGGGCATGCCTGTCATCCAGCTATGAGGAAGACTGAAATTGGAAGGATCATGGTTCCAGGCCAGCTCAGGGAAAAAAGGTCATGGGACCCCATCTCCACAGAGAAAAGCTGGGCGCGGGGCATGTGCCAGTCATCCCAGTGACAGCAGGAAACCTAAAATAGGAGGACCACAATCCCAGTGGGCCTGGGCAAAAAGCAAGACCCTATCTCCAAAATAACCAGAGCAAAAAGGGCTAGCAGAGTGGCTGTACCACGAAGCCGAGTTCAAACCCCATTATGGCCAAAAAAAAAAAAGAGTAGCGTATATAAAAAAAAAAATAGGCCAGGTATTACCATGGCACCTACAGGGCAAAATTGCCTCCAGTTGAGAACCACAGTGTTTGCTTATTTAGTTTTACTTTTAAATGTCTACTTCTCAGTCCTTAAGATCCTTATAGCATGGCCAGGCTCAAAATAAATAATTAGTGCATGCTTCCATCTGATTACAGATGTAACACTTCATACGTGAGCAGCATTTCCAGGCCCTGTGCTATGCACATTCAGGCAACTGCAAATTTTAAATGCGTCAAGAAAGCACCTTCCATCCTCAGGGGACACTGTAAGACTCTTGTAAAATAAAGATTTAGCCTTAGCCTGTATTTCATGAGTTCAGTTTTGTCGTACTGGGTTTTCCTTAAGCAGGGCACACACAGAATGTATCTATTTTTGGTTCTGGTGTTAGGTTTAGATAAAGGAAAAAGAGAAGAGAGCTAAATTTGGATTATCTTTGATCTGAGGTTTAAAATTCAGTAGAGGGTATTGAGTGGCCCTGAGGAAATGAGAGTAGCTGGTAGCATGAATTTCTTTTGCATAGTTTATAATTATTTCATTGCAATGATAGATTGGTGGCTCAGGAAATAATTGGTAATTTTAAGTGCATACATTCAGATGTAAACACCAATTCTGCTTGAATTCATTTCCCTGAGTCTCATGTTTTTCTTCTTTGAATTAAGGATTAAAACCCACTGTGGCCCTGTGTCAACAAAAGTGTAGCCGGACGGGGACTCTGGAGAGCAATTATTGTTCAAGCGATTTCGGTAAGAAAGAAAAGCCAGGCTTTTCTCTCTAATGAGAAACTTGAGACTGCATGCTTAATCCCAAAGGAATTCCCACAAATTTAGTGGTGAAGGGTCAGTAACTGTGCATTTACCCAAGAAAACATTTTCCTACACACTAGGCTCTGTCAACATCTGCTGTTCCCACTGTTAGTGATTTTTTTTCACTTTAGTTTAACAATTTGATGCTTGGTACATGGTCCTGTGCTGTGTGCACTCTGGCTGACTGCTCCTGAGCACACCTGTACACGTCTTCCTCACATACTTCGCGTGTGTGATTATTTTTTCACACATCTATAATTCAACTTAAGTTCCTTAAAAACAGCCAATTTTACATGCAGAAGAAATTCAAGTTTTTCCTCTGCAGTCTTTCAAAAGTACTAAATTAAAACTCGGAGCTCGGAACTCCATTTGGGAACTCTTAAAACTTGAACCTGAGGAGTTGGGACGTCAGGACACAGAATTTCTAAGAGCTTTTTTTCAATTAAAAAATTGCTCCATCTGTGAAAAACTACTTAGCCAAATTTAATTGTGTTATTTTAAAAAGCAGCTTAAAAGAAACACATTTAAGAAGTCCTATCAGGAAAAGGAAGTTGTTAGTGCATGAACAGGTTATCCAAAACGATGGCCTCCCCAGAGAGGCCTGGCTGATGTTCAGTGCCATGAAGACTGCTCTATCATAGGGAAGGTGTGAGAGTCTGGGGTCCTAAACCTGAGTGCAGTTTGCACACAGAAGTTCAACCAACTGGCATAAAAATGCAAGCAAATAGCGCCAGATGTCATTGCTACCACATCCAAGGTAGTCTTCTGTAGGAGGTAGCTCAGGAAATTACCTTCCCTGTGCCAGGGAGCCACCTGATCCCACCTGGCTGCAGACTGACATTGGAGTGACACCCCATCACCAGGAATCAAAGGAAGGCACAGGAGAATTCAGATTTTAGGAGCTTGGCACACTACACTAGCGGTGAGAGTCGCTTTGACCTGAAGGGGCAAGTTCAAAACTCGATTTGTCCCATTGATTGTGGTTCACTTACATTACACTGAGCACAATGACCAAATACTGTCACTAGTGGCCCATGGCTTCTCCCTTGGGCAGTTTTTAGTTGTCACAATAATAACTTCAGAGTACTAGTGGTTTTTTGTCTGGGCAGGAACATGGCTGATAAAGTCTTTCCAGGGCTGGTGGAGGGGCTCAAGTGGTAGAGTGCCTGCCTAGCAATCATAAGGCCCTGAGTCCAAACCCTAATACTGCCAAAAAAAGAGTCATCGCAGATCTGGTCGCTCACATCTGTAATCCCAGTTACTCAATAGGTAGAGATCAGAAGGATCTTGATTTGAGGCCAGCCCAGGCAAAAAGTTAGTAAGACCCCATCTCAATCAATAGCAGGGCATGCTGGCATGTGCCTGTGGTCCCAGCTACACAGGAGGCACAGGATCAGTCTGAGGCTGGCCCTGGGCAAAAATGTGACACCCCACCTGAAAAATAACTGAAGCAAAAAAGGACTGGGGGAGGGGAGGGAGGAGTGGCTTCAGCAGTAAAGTGCCTGCCTAGCAAGTGCAAGGCTCCAAGTTCAAACTCTGTACCACCACCACCAAAAAAATGTCACTCAGTGCATGCCCTGAGACCATTTTAAAGAGATCCCATCTCAGCAACAGACTGTGATTCAGCAGCTGTTAAGGTTTCTCTCCTAGTTATCAACATCTGACAATCAGGGTGACATTATAGCTACATGACCCTTTTTTAAAGAAAATGAATTCTGGTGACAGATGTAGAGTCAAATTTGAGAGCTCAAGGAAGGCCTATTCTTTAACATGAAAATGTTTTGTTTCTGAAATGGAAGAATATAAAATTCTTTTCAGCTCTGCTGGCATTTTCAAAAATGTTTTCTCCTGCAGTGTTAACTGGTACTGTGATCACAGCTGCCCCTCGGGGCGGGAGTTTGCATGCCACAGTCTCCATCATCAGCGTCTATAAAGAGGGAACACTGGCAATTCAGCAGGCGGGCAAGAACATGAGTGCCAAGGTCATTGTGGTCTGCAAGCAGTGCCCGCCCCTCAGAAGAGGTAAGGGGGAGAGTCTTCTAGGAGCTCGGAGAGAGAATGAGAGTTAGCTGTGGGCCTTTCCAGGCAGAGGCTGGTGAGAAGAAGTAAAATCAGAGCTAAAATGCATTGCCCACACCTGCGAGAGCAGGCAGGCAGAACTGAACGCCATTCCTGCCTCTATGAGATGCAGTGGAAATGACCAATGAGTCGCAGAAGCGTGGGGAGCGGAGTCAACAGGGAGTAGACACTGAGAGAGCAGCTCAGAGGGAAGAGGTTTGAGATGATCGTGTGTTGGAGGATCCAGGCAGGAAATGCACACTGAACCTCAGAAGAGGGAGTTCCATCTGGGCTGGGAGGAAAGCTTTGGGAATGACTGCAGAGACAAACCATTACATGGACGATGGGAACAAGTGTGAGAGAAATTACAGAACAAGGAAAAAGACTCCCGAGCCAGAGGCATATGACTTAAAAAAAGTTCTTTAACTTATAAAACTAATGTATGTTGAAAAAGTTAAATAGAGGGTATAAAATAAAAAGTGAAACCTTTTTCCCCAGAGGAACCATTAAAAGTTACTTGGAGAAGTAACTTTAGTAAGCACTTAGAGAGGATTTTGTCTCTGTTAAGCACGGGCACACACACTTGGATGAATGGAATCATATTACCTGTCTGCTACTGCAACCTTTTCCCTACAAAAGACATATGGCCCCAGTCTAGACCTACCTTGCCAGATACACCAGTGTATAAAAATAATATAACAAATATAAAATACAAGTACCTTTTTTCTTTTGGAAGTACTGGGGTTTGAACTCAGTACTGGCAGGCAGGTACTCTACCACTTGAGCCACACACAGCCCTAGTTGGTTTTTGGATAGGATCTGGTGTTTCTGTCCAGCCAGCCTGGACCATGATCCTCTTACTTATGCTTCCTACACAGCTGAAATTACAGGCATATAGGCTTATTGGTTGAGATGGGGGTCTCACTAACTTTTTGCTTGGGTTGGCCTCGAACCAACCCCAGTAGCTGGGATTACAGTCTGAGCCACTGGTTCTGGCCTTAGTATCTATTTTTTGCAAGGTGATCCATGAGTGTAAGAAGCATATGAACTGCATGCATCCTCAAAAAACTTACACAGCTGATAAGAGATGCTGATAAAAGCCTCGGAAGATCCACAGAAGTGAGTGGATCATTAGTTGCCAAATGCCAGAGAAATCCAGATGCATTGTGGGAGGCCCATCATGAAGCCCTGGGGACATGGGGGGCGGCGCAAGGCATCACTCACAGCAGGCACTGGGTAGCACCACAGGCGGCTGGATCTGCAGTGACAGAGTCTAACTCCTCCTTATGGGTTTCTTGAGTTAGCACAGCTGGAATACGATACTAGCCAAGTTTAACCTTTAGCTTAAGCCAGATTTTATCCAGATGGGTAAGTGTATACTTGATATCATTTATAGAAAAGTTAACACAGAAAGAGGCAGATTTACTTGTTCTTTTTCCTTAGGTCTAAATTACATTATCATGGGCCAAGTGGGTGAAGATGGGCGAGGCAAAATCATGCCCACCAGCTTTGTCATGCTGTTCAAGACCAACAGTCAGAAGGTTCTGAACGCCTTACAAGACAAGCAATGTTAACACCAATTGTCTGTGCAAACCGAGATCCCCTAAGAAGGAAAGAGGTCAAGGTCATTGGACTTACCATCCAACATTCCCAAAGACTGGACTGATGTTCTCCTCACACCATGGAGGCGAGAGCCCTCCTGGTGTCACTAAACTGAGAGAAGCAGGTATCTGAAAACCTGCTGGTTTAGTGCAGTGATCGAAGCTGACGGCATCAACGCTGGCAGCTGGGACGTGGTTTATTTAAAGGTCTGTAAAAGGATATTGTAGAATTGAGTTGTGTGAAGACATAAAAGAGAGATTTTATAAGTGCAATATTTATAGCGATATTTGTTTTACCTTCAAGCATTTACTTTGAGGTGTTACATTCTTCTCTTGCATTTTTAAATCAATGCTTAATAAAATATTTTTAAATGATTACAAAGCAGCCATTACACTGTTCTTATAGAAAGTGGGACACTGTAAAATATATTCCTCCTTTTTTATCTTGACAGTATTGGGGTTTGAGCTCAGGGCCTCTTGCTTGCTAGGCAGGTGCTCTACCATGAGCCACACCCCCTAGCCTTTTTCACAGTAGTTATTTTACAGAAGGGGTCTTGCGTTTTTGCCTGTGCTGGCTTCCTCTGCTTCCCTGATAGCTGAGATTACAGGCATACACCACCATCCCCTTGTTCAAAGCTTGTCCTCTGAGATACAATCTTGCTAACTTTTTGCTGGGGCTGGTCTGGAAGTACAAGCCTCCTACCTCTGGGTCGCAAGCCACAAGGATTACAGGCATGATAATTTGAATATTATTTTCACGTAAGGCTGTCTTTATAGCTCTTTATACTTTGTTAAAAGAGTTATCAGTCTAGGAATTTCAGGGGCAAGATGAATCCAATAATGTCAGTAAGCTATAACGCATCGATCCAAACTCCTCCATTCTGTTACTGACAGAAGCTGAGGTGTATTCAGCAACTTGCCCAGTGTGCACTTCCCCTAAGAGACATAACTACTATCTAAGAGCATTAACTCCAAACTCAGGCCCTGCCCACCCTCCCTGTCCCGGCAGAAATCCCTCTTGCGCAGACTTGAAACATGCAGTACTAAATACTAACACCTAGGCTAGTAGTCGGTAGCCTGGGTAATAACTGGTCACTTCACAGAGCATGAAAGTAGAAGCTGATGTTCCTTTCCACTCATACCCAGTCAGCCGGCCCAGGCTGGGTGAGCGAAGATGCACCTGCCATTGCTTTGAAAGAATCTACTTTCACTCAGGAGTGGAAGGATGTGAAAGGACTCCCTCTTTCACATGATGCTTGTGACTGCCAGCCTTCCCAGGGGTTGCTGGCCACAATTTCAAACCTTGCCCATTATGGCACCATGAGGCAAAACCCAGCAAACTTCAAAGCATTAGTATCACACAGAAACCTTTCTCCAACAGTGGTGAACAATCAGACATTAATACCAAAAAGTAATTTTTTTAAAAAAGTTAACATGAAAAGTCTTTTATAGGAAAATGAGAAATATGCTTTTAAATAGCTCGATTTTTAGAGACCATAGTGGAAAATAGAAAATACTACAAACTGAGCAGTAGTACAAGTATGGAATGCATGGAACCACTTTTAAATTTACAACCTCATGGATGAATTCGAGTAACTCAGGAAGCTGTAAAAGAAACAGAACAAGCCTTCGAGAGGCAGGGGGATCTGCACAGAACAGAAGTTGAGTGAGACAGAAGTCATAAATAGTAGAGAACTCACAAAGCTGGAAGTTGTTTCTTAAAATGACTAATATAGGGCTGAGGGCTGGGCTCAAGTGCTAGAGTACCTGCCCAAGAACCCGAGTTCAAACTTCAGTAAATAATAAATCAATAAATCTTTAAAAATAAAAAGACTAATATAAGTGAGAAAACTCTGACAAGGCTAAACAAAAACACAGTAAAAAGATAAGGAAACCAATCTAGGAATGTGAAGGTAACATTGCTACAGATTTTGCAGACTATGAAGAGGGAAGAAGAGCTGGGTGCAGTGGTTCATCCCTGTAGTCCCTCCCCACTACTCTGAAGGCTGAGGCAGGGAGATCACTTGAGCCCAGGAATCTGAGGCAGCCTGGGCAGTACAGGGAGCCCCCATCTGCATCTCTGGCATTATCACAGTGAAATCCCCTGTATTATTAATGTATGGTAATAAAATTAGTGAACAAAAAAAAGGTAATTAGATGAACTGGAAAACAAATCCCTAGGATGGGGGCAGTGTTTATCACACAGATCTAAGTAGAAACACAAAGCCTAAATAGTCTGATAACCATTGAAGAAATTCAATCAATAGTTGAAAATCTTTCTTCAAATAAACACTAGCTCAGTTTTTGGGGGAAGGGGACAGATGGGACTGGGGATTGAACTCAGGACATAGCAAGCATTTAAAGTGGCAAGAATTGCCAATCTAACACAAACTACAGAGTATGAATAACAATAATAAAGAACAAAGGGCAATTCTGTATGAGATTAATATAACCTTATTCCAAAAGGTCAGCCAACAATAGGAGCTAGGAAAGCCTCCAGTCTGATTTCACCTAGGAACATAGGTTTAAAAACTTTAAATGAAAATTTACCAAATGAAGTTCACCGAACACAAGAGGTCCTGATGGAGCTGGGTTTCTCCAGGAACGCTTAAGTGATCTCATGATAAAAACCCCATGAGCATCCTGTATTGCCTTTCTAGATCTGCAGTGCTAACTAGGAGGTGATCGGTGCACTGGACATTCAGACCCCGAGAGAGCCACAGGCCTCTCTCGACCCCAGCCTCTGAAGCACAGTACAGGGACAAGAGCTTCCCAGTGGGACAGAGTCACCTTTCTCCTGTGGCAGTCTCTGCAGCCCTTGGGCAGAATCCCCACAGTCATTCATGAGCTGTTTTCTTTTTTTTTTTTTTTTTTTCATTTTTCTTTTATTATTCATATGTGCATACAAGGCCTGGTTCATTTCTCCCCCCTGCCCCCACCCCCTCCCTTACCACCCACTCCACCCCCTCCTTCTCCCCCCACCTCAATACCCAGCAGAAACTATTTTGCCCTTATTTCTAATTTTGTTGTAGAGAGAGTATAAGCAATAATAGGAAGGAACAAGGGTTTTTCTGGTTGAGATAAGGAGAGCTATACAGGGCATTGACTCACATTGATTTCCTGTGTGTGGGTGTTACCTTCTAGGTTAATTCTTTTTGATCTAACCTTTTCTCTAGTTCCTGGTCCCCTTTTCCTATTGGCCTCAGTTGCTTTAAGGTATCTGCTTTAGTTTCTCTGCGTTAAGGGCAACAAATGCTAGCTAGTTTTTTAGGTGTCTTACCTATCCTCACCCTCCCTTGTGTGCTCTCGCTTTTATCATGTGCTCATAGTCTAATCCCATTGTTGTGTTTGCCCTTGATCTAATGTCCACATATGAGGGAGAACATACAATTTTTGGTCTTTTGGGCCAGGCTAACCTCACTCAGAATGATGTTCTCCAATTCCATCCATTTACCAGCGAATGATAACATTTCGTTCTTCTTCATGGCTGCATAAAATTCCATTGTGTATAGATACCACATTTTCTTAATCCACTCATCAGTGGTGGGGCATCTTGGCTGTTTCCATAACTTGGCTATTGTAAATAGTGCTGCAATAATCATGGGTGTGCAGGTGCCTCTGGAGTAACCTGTGTCACAGTCTTTTGGGTATATCCCCAAGAGTGGTATTGCTGGATCAAATGGTAGATCGATGTCCAGCTTTTTAAGTATGAGCTGTTTTCTTTGACCTCCTTAGGTGTTATCTCAGCGTTCATGTTGGGTGGGGGTGGATACCTCAGCTTAAAGGAGAAGCCAGTCTTTCTTCTGGCTCCATACAACCAACCTAAGCATTGCCTCCAGGCTTCTCAGGGCCCTCAGGCCTTGTTAGGAGTCATACACAGGAAAGCATAAAGCTCTGGCTCCCCCGGTTAGGCTCTCAGCTCAGCTATGGCTCCTCCCAATCCAGATGTCACCAACCACTTGGCACATTTTTTACCATAGGCAAGTTTGCCTAGCAACATAGTTGACATACCGTATTATCAGATTACTAGGTAACATAAACAAGTTAACAAAGGTCAAATTCCTCACAGAAAGAGGAACAGCTGCAAAATCCTATTTCCAGATTAAATGAGAAAACTCATTTGATCTTGATGCAGAAAAGGCAATCAATCTAATTTCACATTTACTTATGACAAAAAATAAACCCTGCACAAACTATGACTAGAAGGGAAGTCCTCAAATCCACAGGGAAACCTCTAGCAAGTCTCACACTTAATAGTGAAACACTGAAAACATTTAAGATTAGCGGGAAGACGAGAAAGTCTGAACTAATCATTTTTATTAAAAATTGCACTGGAGGGTTTAGACAGCCTAGTGAAGCAAGTAAATGAAATACACGACGTAAAGACCTCAAAGGAGGAAATAAGACTAGCAAAATGCAAAGATAATATGGTATCCAAATAGAAAACCTGCAGGTAAGTGACTAGAATTAACAGTGAAAGAAGAAAAGGAAGGGAGAGAGGGAGGGAAAGAGAGAGAGAGAGAGGGAAAGACGAAGAAATGAAGGGAGGGAGAGAGGAAGGAAGGAAGGAAGGGAGAGATGAGGGAGGGAGGGAGGAAGGAAGGAAGTGAGGAAGGGCTGGGCACTTAGCTCAGTGGTAAAGCACTTTTCTAGCATGTAGAAGGCCTGGGTTTGATCCCAGCACAAGAAAAAAAAAAGTTTCACACATTTGTCTCTTAGAAAAATATAGATAAGCCCAACCTAAGGACAAAGTATTAAATATTATTTTATTTTATAATTTTATAATAAATTTTATTTTATTTTAGAACTTTTAGGTACCTTACACACTTCCTTCTCCTTTTGTGGAGTATTGAGGTTTCAACTCAGGGCTGTGCTCACAGCCCTTTTCACTTTTTATTTTCCAAATAGGGTCACATGCTTTTTGCCTGGGGTTAACCTGGGACCAAGCCCCTTCTACCTATGCCTCCCACATAGCTGGAATTACAGGCACCTGCCACAATACCTGGATTGCTTGTTGAGATAGAGTCTTGGTAACTTTTTGCCTGGGATGGACTTGAACTACAATCCTTCTGATCTATGCCTCCCAGAGAGCTGGGATTATAGCAACGAACCACCATGCCCAGCTCTTACTTCCTCTTAAAAGCAAAGTGAACAAGAAGGTTTCAAAGGCTAAAATTTAATTAGACATACATTTGAAACATTATCTTTTGCTTGAAGAACATCCCTGTGGCATCCTGATAACCAGACTGGGTTAGACTTAAGTAGTGAGAGGAAGCTATTAAGTATAGAAACTGATTAAGAAAATTTAAAGTTAGAAGTAAGACTTTATGTATCAGATCCATCTCCCAAACCGAAACAATAGATATGACAGTAATATAATCAATTAAGTTAGACTTGGGGTCTCAGACTCAGTGTAGCATTAGGAGAAGGTTAGTTTTCTGGAAAAGGACAAAGGTGAGTTGGGTTCGTTTTAGATTCCTTATGGTATCCCTACAGTATTTCCAGATCTTTTACACCCAGCTCCATCCAGTTAAAACGTGGCCCAGAGCTAAATGTAAGCCGCCTCTTCATTTAAACACTCTCGTCCTCCCGGCCTGGTCTAACCCTGCTTTCCTCCTTGTGGTGACTCCCTCACTGTCTAGCCCTTCCCCTAATTCTCACTCATCTTGCAGGGCTCTGTGTGACCCTGCTCATAAAACAAAAGTCTTTAATAAACTAGCCTTTTACAGAAGCAGGGACTAGACATAAGTTCTGTTTGTTGACTAACATGAACCTACAAATTAATTTTTAGAAAAGCACAGCTTTCAAGTGTGTCTTACCTAACAGGCAATACATTGAGTTCAGGACCTCATGTCAGTGGTAATACAACCTTGGACAAATTACTGCAAATGCCAGCTCCTGCAGCTATGAACTTGGAAGCAGGTGATAGAAGAGGTCTTCCAGTGCAGTCTGAGAACTACAGCGCACAGCTCTAAGCATCTGTCTAGTCAAACACATGAATAATGGCTGAGTCTCAACCCGGCAAATCAGTGCCAGTCAACATTAACACAGTACTGAGGCCGAGGATACTAGAGAAGAACCCTCCTCCATTTAGTCTACCTTTACAGCTTTAAAAAGAAAGAAGAGGCAAACATTAAGACAAATGTTAATAAGAAACAGAGTGGCTGTTATTTTTACTGAAGTATGTAGTGGGGAAATGAGTTTTAGAGTTAATTCAATTTCTGAATGGCTCCTGCACTTTTCTTTGCAAAATTATTATTATTATTATTATTATTATTTGCAGCAGTGTAGATTGAACCCAGGGCCTGAGGCATACTTAGACTAGCAAAATAGGCCTTGAACTCAGGATCCTCCTATCTCTGCCTATCAAGTAGCTGGGATTACAGGTGTGTACCATAATGACTGCCTCTCAAAATCCTTTTAAAATAGGACCTGTTTTAATACCTTCTAATGAGAATAAATTTGCTCAACATTGAGGGATGAATTAAATAATCTTGAGAGAGAGATCCAGATTTCTGGTTGCAGGAAAGAAACCTGAGCTTACCTATGATTTATTGATTGGCTGGGATACTTCTTTTTTTAAGCACACACTGACCTCCTACACAAACCTGCTGCTTACCTCTTGCGTTGCTAGAATTCAATCTGCCATCAGCAATCATGTCCCTTAAAGATGTTTTCGTGGGGTTTGTTTGTTTGTTGGGGTTTTTTTTTGTGGTAATGAGACTTGAACTTAGGGCATCTCGCTTGCTAGGCAGGTGCTGTACCACTTAAGTCACTCCACCAGCCCTGTTTTGTGTTGGGTTTTTTTTTGGAGATAGGAGCTGGCTTCGAACCACAGCCCTCCTGATCTTTGTCTTCTGAGTAGCTAGGATTACAGGCATGAGCCACTGGTACCCAACAAAGATGCTTATTTTTAAAGTACATAAAAGTTTGCTTAATTGTTTGTGGTATATCTGAAGTGTTTATTTCAAAATGCAGGTAAGAAGAACAGGAAGGGAAAAAAAAACGCTGCAAAATTATCAAATGAAAGAGAAATACTGTAATGGGAAATTGTTGTAAATAAATCCTCCAGAAACACTGTTTGCAAATGAGGCACTGATGCCAGAACAAATTCACTTACAAATGAGAAAATGAAAGTAGGCATTATTCCTGATACTATTAATATTTTCTTGGAGAAATTCTGAATAATAAAGACCCAGCTGGCTTATTCCCCAAGGCTTGTAACCTCAGAGTATTTGGCATTTCACTGAAGTATTTTCTGAGGAAAACATTCATTTAAAATAGTTTAAGGAAAAGCAGTTTCTTTTATCAAGATGAGAAGAGGAATATGTCTTTATTAGTAATGAAATAAAGAAGGTTTCCAGGCCTATCAACTTTCAAGAAAGACCAACAATGATTAGTAATTGGTCATGTGTGTCTCTCCATCAATCAATAATTACAGCCTCTAGTTACCTTTAGGAAAAATGTAATCAAAGTGAAGTGAAATTTGAACACATTACTAAATGATCAAATGTAGCTAGGATTACAAGCATGAGCTACCGTGCCCAGCTTTGCTTTTTTCTATTGCGTTATTCTAGTGTGTTGTGGCATTATATTTTACATTTTTATATTTCATCAGGTTTCTTAACACCTAACTTCCATACATTGAAGTTCATGTTTAAGTGTAGTTAGTCTGATGGTCCGTGCAGTCAATGTTTCCTTCCAGCAGACCCTGTGAGCCAGTGATCTGATTTCAGTTCCCGTGGTTCCCTCTTTTCTCATACGTTACATAATGGGATCGTGTAGTGGGTGGCGGTTGTAACCAGCTTCCTTTACTTCCGTGAAGAGTCATCCATGCTACTGCATGTGTCAGTTGTTCATTCTTGTGGTGGTAGGCCCAATGATGTATCCCAGAATTCTCTTCTGCATTTGTCAGATCCTTACAAACAAATCACCACATACAAGTCTATAAATACCTTAGCAATTCTGATACACGTCCTCTGTGTGGATTTCCGCTGTATGGATGTACAATTTGTTTATCTACCCACTAGTTGATGACATTTAGCTATTTTCAGTTTATGACCATGAATAAAGCCTTTTTGGACATTTGTGTAAGTGTCTTTGGGCAGACATATTATTTCAAAGCAAGGAGGTCAGAGCTAACAGTTAACTGTGATTGCCACTAGAGGTACAAAGGGATGCAAAATGGGACTGACATTGACATTTTACATTTTAGCCTTTGTTGCATGAGTTTAAAAAACAGGTATGCTGAATTTTATTTTCTAAAAGGGTGAATTGTATGGTATTTGAATTACATCTCAATTTTTAAAAAGTGGATGATAATACAATACACAGACTCAGCTTATAATCTAATGTCGTTTTATTCACCTCTTTTCTTACAATATGTTATCATTCAAAATATACCTCATAAGTAACTCATGCATACAATAGGCACTCTGTAAGTATCTTAACTTAATAATTAGGTATTTTTCAGAATGACTAAAAATCCTGATGTAAAATCCCAATTGGGAAGTGCATAATTCCATTGTAGACAAAATATATAACTTTACAATAAACATTCTTATAAGAATTTGCCCAAAAGAGGGAACACTTAAAATTTAAAAATTAAAAGATGAAAAATAAAAGGCAAGATGAAACATACACTCGCGTATTTGGACAATGATCCCTGGACCAGTGGTGCTTAGACCAAGGGCTACCTACACCTGTGGCCTTAAGACCATCTGACATTCAGCTAAGAAATAATTACATACCTTCTTAGCTGGAAATCTGCAAGAAAATATAAGCAATAGCCTGCGAAAAAATTAGCTACATCCCTTATGTGAACATAAAAATATTTAAATATGTTTTGTATTCTCAAATTAAAAACACAATTTTTTTTTATCTTAAGCAGATAGAATGACCTGTAAATAAGCATGTAGTCACTTTTTTAAAAGCTATGTTAAGTTCTGTGGAAAGCACTTTGGAACAAAAGCTCAAGAACCTTAATACAAAATAAGGCAATCCTTTCATTAAAGGGTCTGCCAATGCTGTACACATGATAAAGAAGTATCCTCTATTTCGTAACTATGAATTTCTCTCCAACTTGAAAAAATTATAGCACTACTATGATAAGGAAAAGTTAAAAGCAAGTAAATGGCTAGGGAAGTAACTATGGAAACTTATAAAGCAACAAATACTTTATGACTAAAAGACAAAAATGTCTACTGATTGTATTTTTTAAATTACATAATTCTATAAAAATTAAAATACATGGACTATATTACATTAACAAAAAAATGAAGAGAATTTAAATTGATAAAAGACATAAATAGATCCAAATATCCATTATGCTTTTTTCCTTGTTACTTAAGATTATAATAAAATAAAAAAGAAAAAATAGACTATTATTTTAGATAAAACTACTCCCAAACAATAAATACTGAACAAGGTCTGAACTCCTAAAACAGAGATTTTAGAGGCTGTGACTCCACATTTCAAGAGTATCTTATGTAGGAGTCAGCCATATTTGCTGATTTTCATTTTACAAAACATGTGGGCAATATGAACATTTATAACTGGCCCTCTTAAATATTACGAAAACCCATATGAAAGCACTGACTAATTAAGAAAACTAAGCAGCATGCTAACAAAAATCTATTTACTTAATCTGATTTGTTCCTACAAAAAGCCATTGACCGAAGTTTTTAAAAAACTAAATCTATATACATATTTTACATAACATACATTTATGCTATAAATATTTTAAAGAATGGCTTTTACATAATTATTTGTTTCAATATACCTTACTAATTTAATTGGAAGTTGTGCAAATAGTCCTTCAGATTTGTTATTGAAAATTATTTTCTACAAGACTTAGAAAATGGTTAATTTCTTGGATAGAACATAGCATACTTAGAAGTCCGGAAGCCAAGCAAGTCCCTTATCTCATTTCGGAACTTTGACAGGTCCTGGCGCAGCTCGTTCAGGTTCTCCACTGTGGCCTGGTCTGTACTTTGCATCTTCTGCCTCATGGATGTCAAGTAGCGGTGCACCAAGCAGCACATCACTTTCTGATAGTTCTCATCTCTCTTTTGTTTCAGGTTTCTCCATTCCTTCAAAACAACAATATGCAGAAACGTGTGTGTATAACACTTGTTTTAAACAAATGTAGCTTCTGTGTTTATTTCATTCACTCTCTGTTATGCTTATCTTGATTTTTAAAAAGTTATTCTTAGGAATTCTTAATTTATAGTAGGTATTGGCAAGCTGTGACCCACAGGCTAAACATGGCTCACCTTAACCTAAGCTTAACCTGAGCTAAGTATGGTTTTTCACACACAAACATTTGTCATCAATTTTATGACAGGCAAGTCTCTAATTTTGAGCCCTAATTAAAATTTATTTCTACCAAAAGAAATTCTATGCTTTTCAGTAGAAGATCTGTACTACAGTAGGCATTACTCAAATACTGTTTTATTTTGAATTTCACCAATTAGTTTTTTGGAATTTTTTTTTCCTTTCTTGTCATATCACTGCTTACTTAATATCTTTGATTTTGTTTTGGTCTGCAAGTGTGACATATTTACTCTCTGGCCTTTTATAGGAAAACTTTGCCAATCTCAGGTACTGGATTACTGATGTACTGAATAACTCTCAAGGAGAACCAGAAAAACAAGCACCAACTCTAGCAGTAACTTTACAGTGAAGAACAGAGCTTCTGAATTATTTACCAAATTTTCAAACTATTAGGTAAGATTTCATATACTGGGGAAATGTGAAAACTAAAAAAACCTTAGAATTCTGTCTCTCACTGTAATATGTACCAAATCTTTACTTTATGTTACATACATGATATGTGTTAGGGATACAGCAATGGAAAAACAAATGAGTTATAGCCCTTAAGGAATCTGAATATTTGTGCTTAAAAGCACCTGCATTCAGAACTGCTAAAATTGCTATGGTGCAATTCAAACTTGTAGCTTCTTACCTTTAAACTGTTTTGCCGTTTGACCTTGCCTTTTGAGGTATGGGAGCAAATCCACTTACTGAGGCTACTAATCATATAGCAGATAGTCTTTGGGGAAGGAATGATGTTGAAAGGTGGGGGTAGTGTGCATTTGTCATCAAAGTAGCTAAGCCACAACTTTGCTCGAGCAAACTTCCATTCTTTGTCTTCATGATTCTGTAAGAGGCAAGTGCAGGGCAGCATAGAATACGAACATACTTGCATCCATATGCAGGAGGTGGTGAGGGAGATATCGTTCAAAACGATTTAAATGTTTTATCTACACACTTTGTACATAAAAATTGGTCCAAGATTTCCAAATATTATATACTTTAAAATCCATACTGAATTTTAAAATGATCTGACAAGAATATCAAGGTTTAAAAGAGTGAGCACTCACTGCTATCAGTTGAAAGCTTTTATGAAGCATCGCCACCAGCAGCTTGGTCAGTACAATCACGACCACGACGTTGTAGGTCCCAACAATCACAGCTCCCACGAAGGACTGCAGCTCTTCTCCATAGCTGAATCTGGTCACAAAGATTGCCACATGTGCCAAAGAGAAAATATACCAGAACAAAGCAAAGCAAGTGCCGATGAACCTGTAAAAACAATTACATTTCTGTTTAAAAGGAAATGAAAGAAATAATTAGCAAAATGAATAATTCTATCAAAATTATATAAATGAACATTAATAATCCTTGCATAAGGGGATTGGACTATGAGCACATGATAAAAGCGAGAGCACACAAGGGAGGGGTGAGGATAGGTAAGACACCTAAAAAACTAGCTAGCATTTGTTGCCCTTAATGCAGAGAAACTAAAGCAGATACCTTAAAGCAACTGAGGCCAATAGGAAAAGGGGACCAGGAACTAGAGAAAAGGTTAGATCAAAAAGAATTAACCTAGAAGGTAACACCCACGCACAGGAAATCAATGTGAGTCAATGCCCTGTATAGCTATCCTTATCTCAACCAGCAAAACCCCTTGTTCCTTCCTATTACTGCTTATACTCTCTCTACAACAAAATTAGAGATAAGGGCAAAATAGTTTCTGCTGGGTATTGAGGGGGGGGAGCGGGAGGGGGTGGAGTGGGTGGTAAGGGAGGGGGTGGGGGCAGGGGGGAGAAATGAACCAAGCCTTGTATGCACATATGAATAATAATTTAAAAAAAATAATCCTTGCATAATACTTTATACAAATAAATGAAGTTGGGGTTGGAGGCATGGCTCAAGTGTAGAGCACCTGCCTAGCAAGTGTGAAGCCCTGAGTTCAAACCCCAGTATCACCCAAAAAAAAAATTAATTAAATAAATAAGTAAAAATAAGTGAAGTTAATTCCCACAGCACTGATATGCCTTATTTCAGACAGGGAAACAGTCTCAAAGAAAACAAATTATTTCTAAGTGTTTACTACTTCACTTCATTACCACAGCAGCCTATGTGATATCTAGTTAGATTCTGACACTCCTCTGCTCAAAAACTTCAAACTGTTCCCGATCTTAATAGCTTAAAATTCTTCCAAGGGCCAGCAAGGACCTACGTGATCCCTACTACCCTTCCAACCCACTTCCTACAACCTTTCCTTCTGTTTTACCACATCCCAGCCACACTGGCTGCCTGGCTTTTCACTGAACATGCCAGTCATACCCCAACTCTGGCCATTTGTCTTTGCTGTTCCTTCCATCTGTGGAGGCAGTTTGTCCAGAAATCTTCTTCATGGCTTGTTCCTTCACCAGCTTCAGATCTGTACTGGACTGCCATCTCTTGTGGGGCACTCTGTCCCTTCTATCTAAAACCGTAGCCTCTCACACACACTTCTGAGCCCAGGCTCTGTCTTTTTAGCCCTCATCACTGTGCAACACAGTATGTATTTTATTTATCTTCCGCTGCACTAGAATGGAAGCTCCATTATGGTAGCTTTGTTCACTAATACTTTATTAATTCAGGACTGAGAACAGTGTCTGGCATAAAATATTTGTTAAATGAACACATACTCATTGAATCTTATTCTTCAAATAAGAGGACACACAAAGTAAAGAACTGTTGATGCATAAAAGGAACTCAACAAATGTGCAATTTCACACTATTATTTTATTTAAGAATGAGGGGAAGGGGTCTAGGGATACAGCTTAGGGACAAAGTACTTGTCTAGCATGCATGAGGCCCTAGGTTGGATCTCCAGCACTGGGAAAAAATGAATGAGGGGAAGTGTTTTGTCTACCTCCCAAATAGTTGTTCCATTCTGTATGATACATTAGAGGGCAAAAATACTCATTAAATTCTAGTAATTCTCAATTCTAATGACTTTTCAAGAAGTGTTAAAAGTGCAAGAGAGTTTTTGGCTATAACGATGACCAAGAGTTGTTACTGACATTTAATGCTTGGAAGGTAGAGATGATAAATGTCTTGACAAAGGAACTGCCCCCAGTGCTAAGAGTATACAAAGCGTCAGGACTTTCTCTGTGAAGACAGATTACAGTACAGAAGACAAACGTACCTGGTACCTACTTAAAATTCTGTATGTAAATGTGGCTGCTTATCATAAGTGAAAAATGAATATTCGTTCAAGTTTGCAAATGTTAGAAAGTAATTTTTAAGGAAAATTTTAAGTTTTATCTCTGTAGTTACTAATTCATAGAGAACATGATAGGGAGAAGTGTATCTACTAAGAATTTAAAGGCACTTACGAGTGGAAGGTGTCATTGCTTTGCTCTTCACAGAAGATGCCCACACAGTCCTTCTGCTCTTTTGGAGTATAGCCTTTATCATAGAGTTGTGTCAGTCCAATTGTGAAAGAAAACAAAACAAGAAGGAACATCCCAAGAAATTTTCCAAAGTCTTGTAACATCTGTCCCATTGAAATCTGTGGAATGTATCATATAGGAGTTTGTTAATACTACCAAAAATTTGATATTAATATTTAATATTAATACCTGCAATAAAAGGAAGACAAACATATGATCTATAAACCATCTCTTTTATTTCATCTAGTTGACATATTTCAGCACATTATATGCATATATGAAAATATCACAATGAAACCCCTTTGTATAATTAATATGTGCTAATGAAAAAATTTTTTTAAAAAACAAGAAGAGTGAAAATGAAGCCAGGCATGGTGGATCAATCTACCCCAGGAACTACAGGCCAGCCTGGATAATATAGTAAGATGCCATCAAAAAAAAATAAAGCAAACTACTAGGTTAGTATAACTTTTAAGAAGCACCAAATGCTTTCACATGGTGAAACAGTTTATTTTTATACTGCTTGTATGCCAGGCAACACTTGAAACCATTTGCAAGGAATAGAAATACTGAGGTATTACAAAGATCCTATCTTTTGATCTGCTAATACTATTTTTGAAGCCTTATTCTTAGGAAATAATTTAACAGAGGCAAAATGCCTCTGTATTCTCATTTAGAACAGTGAAACCAAGCTACATATCTGACAGAGGAAACCTTGATATCACAAGACTCATTAAATTATAAAAGGAAACAATAATAATGACAACTTTTAATCCATTCTCCTTCCAAGTCTTCTAGGATAAAGCCATAATTATCTAAAAGTTCTATTCACTGAAACTACCCATGCTCAAAATTCTCTTTTGCATGTGTAATCATATAAAATATCATAACTATACTTGCAAAAGAAAAATGTTAAACTTCTGCTATTGTTAAAGAAGTAGACTATTTTGTGAAAAAAAAATTATCATAAATTTTCAATATAAAATTACATTACAATATTTTGGCACTACGATGTAACACAAACCTATCATGTTATTAACATTACACCAGAAAACAGATGTTTTGTACAGTTTCTTGAAGGATATAGAAATCACCAGGATGACGAAATTGGAAGCCTTGAACTCCCCTTTCTCCCATGGCCATGCCAGTATAACAACAACATATGATTAATTTCCTTTGTAAGCAATGCAGACACTAAGTAAGAAGCTCCTGCATTCTGGTGAGTGCAAAACCAGCTACATCGAAACTGGGAGGAAAGGCAGAGACACTCTCACGCAAATTCCCACTCTAGTACAGTGTCAAAGATCAGGAGGGAACCTCCAGCTCCATCTTCCTTTGAGAAAGGAAGGAGTTAGAATGCACATTTAGGACACCAACTTCTCTGTCTTCTATCTCTGTCTCTGTCTCTGTCTCTGTCTCTGTCTCTCTCTCTCTCTCTCTCTCTTAGTACTGATGGAGCCCAGCATAGATTACTCCCCTAGGGCTACAAAGATCAAAGTGCGCCAGGGGTTGGTGGCTCACACCTATAATCCTAGCTACTCAGGAGGCAGAGATCAGGAGGATCATGGTTCGAAGCCAACCCTGGACAAATAGTTCCACAATACCCTATCTCGAAAAAAGCCTTCACAAAACAGGGCTGGTAGAATGGCTCAAAGTAAAGGCTCTGAGTTCAAGCTCCAATACCCGCCCCCTAAAAAAATCAAAGAGGTGGTTAGAACTAGTATGCAGGCAGTCACCACAGCATCTATCTCTGGCAGCGCACAAGGCAAGTATGTAATAAACCACAGGTTCCATCTTCTCCCCAAAGAGTGAGGAAGATGGATGTACATCTAATATTCCAACTTTTCTGGGTGGTCCCTACAGGACTGGCTTCTATTTCTTGTGTGTTGGAAAGTTGACAGGCCCTGGGATACACTAGACCTCTGGGGGCTACAGAGAGCAAAATGATGGTTTAAAATAGCCGGGCACTACACAGCTCTTGTCCCCCACTGAGCGCAGTAAGTAGGTGAAAAGCTCTAGCTCCTAGCCTCTCCAGGAGAAGGAAAAAAGAGTTGAACCACATACTCAAGAGTTTCAACTTCTCTGGGAAGTACCTGAGGGACTGGCTTCTATCTCACCGATCTTAAATATCTGGCAGGACCTGGCATGTTCTATATGCTTGGGGGCTGCAAAGAACAAAGATGGTGGTTTGGACCAGTATGAGAGATTGAGAGGCCCAAAAAGCTTATGCTCGATTGGCTGGTGAAGGTGTTTTCCTGTATAAGGCCAATCTAGGAAGACCAGAAGATGGTGAGGAAGTATTTCTTTTTTTTCTAATACATAGATAACAACACAAAGGAGGGAAAATGAAGAAGCAGAAATACAATCCAAACAAAGGAACAAGACAGAATTCCAAAACCAATCTTAATGAAACAGAGATACATGAAATATCTAACAGAATTCAAAATAACCATTATAAAGATGCTCAATGAGCTGAAGCAAGTAATGCATGAAAAGAAGAATTTAAAAAAATGGGAAAAAAAAGAAACAAACAGAAATTCAGAAGCTAAAGAATAACTGAACTAAAAAATTCAATACTGTTCAACAGCACTCTAAAGCAAGCAGAAGAACCAGGAAAGTCAAAAGTCATTTGAAATTACCTAGTCAAAAAAAAAAGAAAAAAGAAAAAGAAAAGCAAAAAGTATAAAAAGAGTGAAGATAAGCTTATGGGATTTATAGATACCATAAAGCAAACCAATATAGTAGATCCTTGGTATCCATAGGTAGATAGTTCCAAGGAGACCATCATTGAGAAAAAACCATAAATGCTTAGGATGCAGGGTTCAGTACTGAATTGTGGATGCTCAATTAATTTTTCCCATAATGCCACCCAACTTCCACTAGAAACATGCCTCCTTACCAACAAATCTAACATTTTCACTTTATCACTTAAGCACACTAACTTTTACCTTCTTTTGAGGTACCATTTACTGTTTAGGAGGCATATTTTCACAAAATTAAGGGCAAGGAAACACTCAACAGATGACACAATGATTTAAACAGCACTGATGTTGACAACATATCCTTGACTGGCCATGTCATCAGTCTACATATAGCACCAAATGGTATGGTGAGCAAAGAGAGGAACTACGACAGACTCCAGGTGTGACCACTACCCCTCCCCCCAGCCCTGGTGGCTTCCAACATTACAGCACCTGGAAAGAAGATTCTCCAATTCTTTGTCTTTCTCTTTTTCTTTTTGCTGCTCTTTTAGTATTCTTTTAAACTTACCTTATTTTTAAAATTTTTATTTTATTTTAATTTTATTTTCTTACTTTTATCTAAGTTATTTGCTTTTTTTTTTTTTTTCGAGGTATAGGGGTTTAAACTCAGCACCTACACCTTGAGCCACTCCATCATCCCTTTTTTGGGATGGGTTTTTTTGAAATAGGTTCTTGCACACTATTTGCCTGGGCTGGCTTTGAACCTTGGTCCTCCTGATCTCTGCCTCCTGAGTAGCTAGGATTTATAGGTGTGAGCCACTGGCACCAGCACTTTTCTTTATTTTGTAGTTGAATTTTTAAATGTTACTCTATTCTCTTCCTCTTCTTTAACTTGCTTTGTTCTTTATTACTTGCTGTGTCCTTTATTACTTACCTTTATTAACCCATAGTTTATTTTAGATTTTTTTGCTCCTTTCCTTCTTGGGGATTCTGGTAGTATAGGAGTAGCCTTGAATTGGTTTTTGTTGTTTTCTTGGGTGGTGGTGTTGTTATGGCAGTTGTTTTCTCTTCTCTGAGTGGTATTGGGTATTGAGCCCTCGAAACAAGGCTGCTTACAAAGGAGAACCCCATATGAAACTGGAAAATATATTCATCCTACAGTTCCATTAATCAAATAAAAAACTCAATGGAAAGCATCACCAATAGATTAGACCAGGAAGAAGAATGAGAATTGAAGACAGTCAGATGGTAATAGAGAAGAGTAAATTATCATGACTACAACATTCAAGATTTCTGGGATATGATGAAGAGACTGAGCCTATGTATTTCTGGGGTAGAAGAGGGAACTGAAATACAGACTAAAGAAATAGAAAACATATTCAATGAAATTATAGAAGAAAATTCCCAAAACACAGGGAAAGAAATGGACATCCAAGTACAACGGATATTTAGAATCCCAAAAAGACATAGCCAGGAAATAACCTCTCTTACCATATTTTGGTTAAAATGCCAACAGTACAGGATAAAGAGAGAATACTGAAGGCTGAAAGAGAGAAGTGCCAAGTTACTGACAAGGGAAAGTCTATCAGAACAAAAGAAACTTCTAGCAAAACTCTAAAGGACAGGAAAGCATGAACTGATGTACTTCAAACCCTGAAAGAAAATAACTTCCAAACAAGATTACTACATCCAACAAAGTTATCCTTTAAAATCAAAAGAGAAATAAAGACCTTCTACGATAAGCATAAACTAAAGCAATTCAAGATCACAAAGCCAGAATTGTAGAAGATACTTAAAGGAATGCTACACACAGAAGAAGACAGATATATACAATCACAAGAGCTCAGGAAAGAATAAATTTCACTTAGGGGAATTAAAAACATTATTAACTCAGTAAACCAGCAAACCTCTAAAATCAATAAGGGAGAAATATCTTTCAATAATAACCCTAAATTTAAGTGGTTACAACTCTCCAATTAAAAGATGCAGACTGGCTGAATGGACTAAAAACCAAAATCCAACTCTTTGCTGTCCATAGAAACTCACCTCACTGGCAAAGACACACACAGACTGAAAGTGAAAGCATGGAAACTGATGCTGTAAGCAAATGGAACTTGAAAGCAAGCAGCAGTAGCTATACTCATATCTGACAAAGCAGACTTCAAGCCAAAATTAGAAGAGATTAAAAGAGTCACTACATATTAATTGAAAACGAAGTATCAAAAAGATATAAGGACAATAGATATATATGCACTGAATGTTGATAAACCCAATTTAATAAACACATAAAGGGACAAATACAATAATAGTGGGTGACTTCAGTTCCCCACGTTCATCGGCAGATAAGATCATCTAGGCATAGAAAAAATGTCTGCTTTTTGTTGGTGCTACTGGGATTTGAACTCAGGGCCTCACACTTGCTAGGCAGGTGCTCTACCACTTGAGCCACTCTGCCAGCAATGGATAGATTATCTACACACAAAAAAATCAATAAGAGTTAAACTGCACCATTGACCAAATGGACTTAACAGACATCTGTGGAATATTCCATCTGACAGCTGCAGAATATATTCTTGTCAGCATACCATGGGACGTTCTCCAGCATAGATCACCTTTTAGGCCACAAAGCAAGCCTTAACAAATACAAAATAAGTTGACATAATAATGGAATAAATTAGTAATCAATAGCAAGAGAAACCACCCACTGAAAGTTTTTGAGTGTTGTGTCCAAACCCACTGGTATCAAATTTGCTGGTATATACTTGTTCATAACAATCTCTAATAACTCATTAATAATAATCTTTAATGATAGTTTATATTCCTGTGGTGTCAACTGCAATGTTCAGTCTTAAACAATATTCTATTTGCACTTGAAAAAAATATATACACAATTGTTGTTGAGTAGAATGGGCTAAATTGGTTGAATGTTGTTCCAATTTTCTATATACTCATGGATTTTTCTATCAATTGCTCCTATTAATTAAGAGAGGAATATTAAATCTCTGGTTGCAACTGTAGATTCATGTCTTTCCCTTTGCAGTCCATTAGGTTTTACCTTATGTATTTGGAAACTCAAGTATTAGGTATATAAATATTTAGAATTATGTTCTCTTAATGAGTTGAACTTGTATCATTAAGAAATGACTCTCTTTATCCTGCTAAGCCTTTATTCGGAAATCTACTGAGTCTGCTCTATTAGTACAGCCACTTCAGTTTGTTTTGTTTGCTTAGGATTTTTTTTTCTTTTTGACAGCACCTGGGACATGCTAGCAAGTACTCCACTACTGAGCTATATCCCTAGCCTCAGTATTCTCTTAACTAATGTCAATGTGGTGTATCTTTTCCTACCTTTTTAATGCATCTGTGTACTTCTTATAAACAGCGTAGTTGGGACTTGCATTTTTATCCAATCTAATAATCTCATGATAGGATCATTTACATTTAATGTGAGAAGTTGATATAGTGAGATTCCAAGTCTCAGTTTTTTCCTCTTTAGGTCATTAGTTCTTTGCTCCTTTCCCCTCTTTTTCTACCTTCTTTTTTATATTTTTATAATTCCATTTTATGTCCTTTGCTGGCTTATGAACTATAGTTTTTAGTTTATAGACTGCTTTAGGGTTTATAGTATTCATCTTTATCTTCATTTTCAAGTAATATTATAGTATTTTATATATAAGAACAATATAATAGTATTTTTCTATTTCTCCCAGTTTAGCCTTTGTGCTGTTATTGTCATACATTTTATAAGTATTATAAATCCTTTAGTACATCATTATTATTTTTATAAAACAATTTGTCTTCCAGGTTGAAATAATAAAATGTTTATATGTTTAGTTATGCAATTATCATTTCCTTTGTATACATACATATTTTGTTCATTGCTTTATTTAACTCCATTGATATTTCTTCTGCTTGAAGGACCTCCTTTAACATTCCTTGTCCTGCAGCCTACTGGTGAGGTTTTCTTTCACTTTTTTTATGTCTAGAAAAGTCTTTATGAGGAATATTTTGATGGACACAGAAGTCCAGGGTTGACTTTTTTTTCCTTTTAGTGGTTTAAAAACATTCCCTCACCACTTCCTTGCTTATGATGTTTCTGATCAAAAATCCTCTGTCATCCTTACCATTTATAAGTAGTCATTCTGTTTTTAAGGCTTTCCCTTATCATTGATTTTGAAAATTTGAATATGATGTGGTTGGTATTGTTTCCTTCATGTTTCTTGTGTTTCAGTAAGTTAACTTCTTGGATCTGTACAGTTATAGTTACCAGCTATGAATTCTTTAAAAAATTTTTTTTGTCTTGCCCATCCTTCATGAATACTAGTTACAAGTGTACTAGTCACCTAAAGTTGTCCCAAAACTCACTGAAGCTTTTTTCCTTTTTAAAATTACTTTTTCTCTACTGAATTCTTTGACAGTATCTACTCTATCATGAATCCCCTCCAGGATGTGTTCCATATCCCACAATGAAGTCTTCATCTCTAAAAGCTTAATTTGGATCTTTGTTTTTTAACATCTTCCATGTCTCCACTTAACTTTTGGATCATATGAAATACAACTATAGTAACTGTGTTGATGCCCTTACCTGATAATTCTAACATTTATGTTCCTTCTGGACACTTTTTTTTTTGGCGGGCGGAGGGGCGGGGGCGGGGAGTGGAATCAGGCTCTGAACTCGGGGCTTCACACTTAAAAAGCAGGTGCTCTACCTCTTGAGCCACACATCCAGTCTACTTCGGTCTGGTTATTTTGAAGATGGAATCTTGTGAACTATTTGCCTGGGCTGGCCTTAAACGGCAATCCTCCTGTTCTCAGCCTCCCAAGTACCTAGAATTACAGCATGAGCCACTAGCACCTGGCTCTGGATAGGTTCTGATGAAGACATTAACATTACTGGAAACAGTTTAATACTTTCAGATTCTGCTGTTAAAACTTACTTGAGGGAAACAGAGCAATGCATAGTCTAGAGGTGACAGTTCCCCCTACCAAGGCAAGACCTTTCTGAGTACTCTACCCAATGACAGGAGTATTATGGGGTTTTCTTGTGTGGCTGGTACAAGCAGGCCCTATCCTGTCCCTGCATGAGCTCTAAGTACTGTTTCCACTAATAGTTCCCTGTCCTAGGTAGCACACTCACGTGCATGTGCTGACTGGTACTCTACTTAATTACTCAAGGGGGACCATCTGCAGATCTCCAGAATTCCATCCATGTGGCTTTCTCCTCTCCAGTAATGTTTCCTGCAAATGCTAGCTTTTTTTTTTTTTTTTTGGTTGTTGTTTCATTGGCCTTTGAGATCTCTTTTCAACCCAGAATTCTGTCAAGTTGTGACTATACTTACCTATTCTGCACAACAGATTAAAAATGCTCACAAGGCAGTGTAAGGTGGGACAATTATGTTGTTACGTTAGAGAACACTAGTCTTTATTGCCAGATGTCAAGTTTCTTTTAATTATTGTTTCCTATATTTTGTCTATTTTTTTTTCTTTTTGGTTGTTTTAGGTAGAAGCTAAATTTAGTCACTGTTACTTCATGTTGGAAACGGAAGTCACACAATAACTCCTTGTCCTTAAACAATATTATACTTTCACATTTTAACCCTTTATAGAAGTACATAAAGAAATTTCCAACATAGAAACTAGTGACACTATCCATTTTTAGCTAAAAAAAAAGGTACATGTAAAAACACCTTTGATTCTTGGTTTTAAACATTTACAGATACTGGTGGAAAAAGACAATAAAAATAGCATAGTCTTAAGTGCTGCTTCACATAGCATGTGTTGGAGAAACACAGACACCTGAACACACCATATGAGAAAAAAGCTAAGTGAAGACGGTGTCAACAAGGTTAAGAGTGCTTCCTATCGCTTCCTCAGAGACCTCAGGTGACAATGGAAATTCCCAGAATTCACAGTCTGTCAGAGCATTTCAAAAGACTTGGTTAAAAAGTCACACTCCAGGAAATCCTATTGCAAGATAAGAACACAAGTTTTATCGAGCTTTTCCTACACATTTGATTTTCATATCCCTGTTTAGAGAAGGTAATTGTACCTTTAATTAAAATGTCTTCTTTGAAAATAAAATCCAAATTGTAAGTTTTGACTTATCAAATAAAAATAGTGTTCAGATTATCAGAAATATCAGATAATTATGGAGAGCTAGTCAACTCTTACTGTACCATCTAAAAATAATCAATTACTAAACTTGGCTGGGGTAAATTCAAACAACTGTGAGTCTTTGACGAAAAGAGACAGAGTTTAGACTTGGGCTTCCACACATAATAATCATATTACTTTGTACAAATCACGTATCATAGAAAAGTTCACTTTCTTTAAAGCACTGTGAAGTATAAATCTGGGCTACATAATCTCTACAAACTTTTTAGTTCTAAATGTCATCTCTGACTTACTACATTTCATATTTACTAAACAAAAGTAAAACAATATATCTAAATACTCTTCAAAATCACTAGTAAGTAGGATTATTTGTTTGCATAGGACCTCTCATACTTACAACCTAAAACAATTTAACAAGTTTACAAGTGAAATTTATTTTGGTAAAAATCAGATTTTTATATTCCCCTATTATCTGAAGCATAATTACACTTAAAATACAGCTCTGTCTATGGAATAAAGGAGGCCAATGGACCACAGCTTAATAAAGTTTGAATTCCTGAAAGCAGTGCTATCAATGAGCCAGAAGCAAAGAAGATGGACAGGATGTAGCCTTCTAATTGCTAATTATTTTCAAAAGCAGTTTAAACATCATGAGAACAGTGTTCCAATAGGAAAGTAGAATGATGTAATCATAATGACATCTAACCAATGTTCTTCAAGAAATTTTAAATTATTTACCTGTAATGGACCCAAGATAGAGCTGGTTGTATACATAAAAAAGAGACGAAGATAACTCAGAACATTTGCGAATGCAAAAAGTCCTTCGGCCACAAGGGTAGGATGGAACGCATCCCAGTCCTTCCGATCAGCAAAATCATGAAACTAGCGTGAGGAAGAAAAGTCAAAGGTAAACAGAACCCTCAAATTCAGGAAAACAAAAACAGGTATTCTGAATTTCTGACAGAAAACTCTTTTAATTATGTCTTTTTGTGGTGGATCTTCATTTATGTTTTATAGATTTTCCTTTTTTTGACAATTATTTAAGACCTTTATTAACAGGGGCTTGCAATTTGTACATTTTCTCTTTTTAATAGAAACAATGTTTTAACTAATAAAATAGTTCTATGTATGTCAGGAATACCACTTACTTTTTATATGAAGAGACTGCCTAGAAATCCTTAAGTTTCAAAAAATTAACTCTTTTTTAAAATTATCTTCAAACTTTCTATGAATGTTGTCTAGTTTTCTTAAATCCTATACCGCGAACTTCAAGCATGTATCCCATCAATTAATTAGCAACTGCATTAATTTAACATAGCCCTTTGACTCAGGACTTTAGAACAAACACAAAAAGAGGAGCTTATTGTTGTGCCTCGTCACAGAGTGCTCACATCTTCCAGCTGCCTGAGATCACGCTCTACTTGACTACAAGGCAGCCGAGATTAAACACCAGTTGTCCTGCAATAAGTGCTAAGAGTGTCGTCTTTCACTTTCAAAATGTCTTGTTTGAGATAATAAACTATAGGAGGATCCTACCTCTAGAACTAAAGCCATCAGTCTGAAAAAGCAATGCTATCTATCTCTGTCAAACCACATTCTATGTATGGCCAATTTTTATTTTCTTAGTAACTTTATGCTTTGGCCTTTGAACATACCTAACCAACATTCTGCATACTACTGATCAATTAAACAGAAGTTTTTAATAAAGTAAACCAATGTAAGAGAATTACTTTGTTTTTTTCTATAATCTATAAATTAGTCAAAAAGTAGAAAACATAATTTAGTTCCTTGAATATGATACCCCAGAAGAATTCCAAACTCTGTATTTAAACAAAGATAACTAACATAAAAACTATTACCTTTTCTGGCCTTGGAAGAGTGTAAATCTTGATGAAAGTAAAATTGTAACATGTCCATATGGTTAGATTTTTGTCAAATTCTGAATAAAAATATATAGTCATCAGAAAAATAATTATCATTTTTAAGCTTAAAAATTTTAAGCATAATGATCATGACTCGGAATATGTAAAACACTACATAATGAGTTCCATTAAACTAAGCTCTTTTTCAGACTGACAAAAAGATCTCTAACACTAACCATTTTAAGTTACTTTGTGTTCTCACTTTAACATATACAGGTGAATGAGCTAAATGAACCTTGCTCAGATACAAAGAACTGGCATTTGGCAGAAGGAAAACACTTAGATAGACTTGGGTTGAAATCCAGCCTTGTTTTTTTGTTTGTTGTTATTGTTGTTTTACTGTGTGACCCTACATGCTATTTAATGTCTCTGAGTTTCATTTTTTTCATGTACAAAAATGATGATAAGGACTTCTGTCTTTTAGAATCCCTCTAAGGATAAAACAAGATAAAGAATAGTTAATATCAACCATGGTACATATTACATTGTAGGCAACCATCTTTAAAAGTAAATCCTTTAAACCACTGGAGAGGCACAAAACTATATGGGCACCAATGGTTTTAAAATGGAAACACTAGACACAGATTTGGACCTATGTAACTCTGAGTTACACAGCTAAATAGCTTAGGTTATTTTAAATAAACTATTATACCTTCAACTGACATAGCAAATAGTCACCTTGTTGTGAGCAACAACTTTGAGAGCAAAGGTTGCCAAATAGAGGGAATTCATAACAAAACTGAGTTGATTACGAGATTCTTCTAAAAAGTCTTCCAACCCTTCATACCAGAGTCTTTTAATGTCTGACCAAATCATCCCTAAAAAAGGAAGAAAAAAATCAGATAATATTCTCTTAATTTAATAATAAGCTAAACAATACTTAAAAAGCCAAAATACTAAACAAGCAAATAATCTTTGAGCTAGGTATAGTCAAAGAAAAAAGAAAAGTAAGAACTTTTTAATGAATATTTCTTAAAATTTGAAAGAAAATAACCTGAGCTTTCATATGACTTGAAGAAAATAACCATCAGTTTCCGTTTCATTTGCCAGAGAAGGACGTGAAGTGCTATGAAACAAGCTAAAATAAATAAACAAGTTGATGCTAAACACACACACACACACACACACACACACACATGCACACACACCTTTCCATCCCGATCCTTGTCACCATTTAACATTGTCTACATCAGTGATCCCATCCAGTCAATGGGTGTAAATATCTGATAAAGACTCAAATTTATGTATTTTAAACTCCACTTATGCTTATGTAATTATTTCTATCTCTGAGCCCCTCTCCTAAACTCAACTTACACAGCCACTCCCTTCTCTACTCCCCAGCCGGAGTTGTCTCCAAACTGAACTCCTCCGAAGATTTCTTGTCCCAACTGACAACAACTCCATCCTTCTGGTCATTCAATCCAAATATCCTTAAATCATCCAGACTCCTGTAAACTTCATATTCATTTCAAAAGCAAATCCTGTGGGCTCTACTTCCAAAATATATTAATGATCTAATCCTTCTCACAAACACTTCAATTTCAAGCCACCACCCTCTTTTGCCTGGACTATTGAAATAGTTAGGTGGTCTCCAAGCTTCTAGCCTCATCTCCCTAAAATCTATTCTCACTACAGCATTCAGAGTGACTGTTTTAAAATGCAAGTGTTATTTTACTCCTCAAAACCCTTTTAGGGTTCTCCCAGAGAAGAATGGATTGATAGCACATGTAAACAATTTCTCTGTGGGAACATAACTTCAGGTTACTTTTCACTAAAGTAGTTTTCTTGGAAAGGTACTATGTCAAGAAAAATATGGAAGGTCAGCTGTGTTTAACACTGTTATAAAAACTATTGTTGACTAACAACTGCATCTGGACTGGAGAGGATTATGACTTGACTTACCACTCCAAGGGTATACATGGTGGGGATCATATAAAAGCATGTTGAGAAACAAAGGTCTCAGCTTCTGTGTGTGATGTTAGCCTTAACTCAGAGTGAGCTATACTCCTGGATATAGCTGCTACTGAATTTGAGTTTCTATTAGATTTAAGTCTTACTAGCAGGACAACCCACGCTCACCCACATGGCCTTATTCCATACAAATCAGGGTGCCTACTAGGAGGCTGGGAAGCAGTCTTATTTGGGGCTCCCAAAATAATGTATATTTTAAGTTATCATGCTGACTTACTGTGTATTCTGTTTTGTATCCTTCTACAAAGATAAGAAAACTTGCTTTCGGGTTTCGGTCTACTGTGCCCTGTGAATGAGAATATCAGAGTACCCAAGACCATTGTGCAGAATTGGTATTACACCTTCCCTTGAATCTCGCTTGCTTTAGATTCAAATCTTTAGAATGGCCTACAAGACTCTACATGACCCGTTGTCTCTGGCCTCATTTCCTACAAATCTTTCCTTCTGCCACACTTGTCACGCTGTCCTCACTGCTTCTTGCTGTTCTTTCAACACACATGCCTCCTGCCTTAGGGTTTTTACATTGGTCCCCCACTCTGACTGTAAGGTCCTCACTCAGATATCCATCTGATTAACTTCCTCAGTTCTTCTCTTTGCTCACCACTTTCCCTGATCACCCTATTTAAAAATTATAATCTTCTGGCCCCACTCCCAATCCCCCTAACTCTGCTTTCATCTTTCTTTTTATAAAAAAATCATTTTGTAAAACTGGATATAACTTACTTAGTCTATTATCAATTGACTATCTTGCCCTACTTTTATAAGCTATTCAAGGGTAAGAATCTTTGTTTTATTAACAGATATTCTATATATGTCCTGAATAGCATTTGATGCACAGATGGCTCAAAATTTTTTAAATGAATAAATACACAAAAATAAAACTAAACTAACCAAACAAAAAATCCTTTTCCTTTTTGCCCAGAAGCAAAAATGCAGGAAACTGAAAAACAGTACTAAGGAACTGTTTAATTTTCTTTAACCTAGAGTTTAAGGTTATAGGTGTGTATTATTTTTACTCGACTTAACTTTAAACATTAATACATCATTGAATACCACTATAAATAAAATTCTGATTGAAATCACATCACTTGAAACTGATTTTCAAATTAAAATTCCAATGTATGAAAATTAATTTCATTAATTCATATCAATTTGTTTCATAATTGAAATAAGAACACAGTATTATCAAAATGTACATACATTCAGTACTTTACATCACAGAGAAGACTAAATTTTAATACCTTTTTACTCTATAGTAAATAGTGAAGGAACAGATGGAAAATGCTAAGGTTAAAAACAAGCTGAAAATAAATGTCTTTAAGAGATCATAAACAGATAACGTGGTTGTTCCCCAGCTCTCTTCACCCACCAAAAAAAAAAAAAAAAAATGAGGGAAGTTAATAACCTGTGGAAGGTCATTTAAAATACTTGTTATACAACACAGTACTTAAAAAGTTTTCAAAAACTAAAAATATGTTATTCTCTTAAAAACCTATCATTTCTGTTATCATTCGCTGGTAAATGGATGGAATTGGAGAACACCGTTTTGAGTGAGGTTAGCCTGGCCCAAAAGACCAAAAGTTGTATGTTCTCCCTCATATGTGGACATTAGATCAAGGGCAAACACAACAAGGGGATTGGACTTTGAGCACATGATAAAAGCGAGAGCACACAAGGGAGGGGTGAGGATAGGTAAGACACCTAAAAAATTAGCTAGCATTTGTTGCCCTTAACGCAGAGAAACTAAAGCAGATACCTTAAAAGCAACTGAGGCCAATAGGAAAAGGTTAGATCAAAAAAAATTAACCTAGAAGGTAACACACACGCACAGGAAATCAATGTGAGTCAACTACCTGTATAGCTATCCTTATCTCAACCAGCAAAAACCCTTGTTCCTTCCTATTATTGCTTATACTATCTCTACAACAAAATTAGAGATAAGGGCAAAATAGTTTCTGCTGGGTATTGAGGGGGTGGGGGGGAGAGGGAGGGGGCGGAGTGGGTGGTAAGGGAGGGGGTGGGGGCAGGGGGGAGAAATGAACCAAGCCTTGTATGCACATATGAATAATAAAAGAAAAAAAAAACCTATCATTTCTAAAGAGATTTGGTTTTCATTACAAAGAATTGATTTATGGAACGAGTCTCACCAGAACTCTTTAAACCTAAATTTAAGTAATATTTCTATAACAGAGATAAAATATCATAATTATAAAAGTTCATTAGTTCCTACTAGGAAAATTAATGATATAACAAAACATAATAGTTAACTTGTAAAATATGTAGGAGTATAAATATATTTCTAAATACCTAAGAAAAATTCATACTCTTCTACAAAACAGCATTTATTGTTAAAAGTTATCTTCCTGTTTACCAAGTTTAGAACATTTATCTTTGTGAAAATGTTAGCCAAATGTTCATGATTGTGGAATTGTTCAAATTCTTGTTGTGCAATGTAAAATTGCAAATTGAACATGATGGTCATGACAACATCAAACAAGGGGGAATTAATTAATGGACTAAATAAAGGCAAAATCTTTGGAATAACTTTATACTTACCAATAATCCACAGTATAAGTAGGTAGTCTATTCTTTCAAGGGCTGGCCCCATTGTGTTTTTCTTATCCTCATTGTAGACAAGAGAGTACAGATTTAGTAACAGCAAGAATGTGAAATATGATGCTCCATGAATAATAAATTTCATAAAAGGTGTATGAATGATTCTGCCAAACTGAGATTTGGGAGCTATCAAATAACACAGGGATAATACAGGCCAAAAGATGCCAACTGTCAAAACAGTCATTATCTTCTTACAGGTGGGCTTACGCCGATAACCTGACATTTGTCCAAACCAAACAGTGTTCAGGAACTGCTGGCAGTTAGACTGGGAGACAAACTGCAAAGGACATACAGACATAAAAAAGAAAAAAAACAAAATAAAGCTTTAAATCATAACTGATTGATATTCAAGGTCTTACTAATAGCTTAAGGATTCTATACATTGAACATAAGTTGGTTGGATTTTTCCTTTTTTTCTTAGAACTAATAAAGGAGTGGAGAGGTTAAGGGCATAGATTCTGGCACCAGACTGCCTAGATTCAAATCCAGACTGCCACAAACTACATGACCTCCAGCAAATTTTCAAACCTCTGCAAGCCTCAAATTCCTCATCTGTATAGACTCACTGTAAAGGCCTTAGAATAGTGCCTGGTTCCTAGCATGCACTACTTAAATACCTATTATTATTAGCCTTCTGAGTTATTTTGTTACATTTAAGACTATAATAATATAAGCCTTTACAAACCAGTATAAAGACTCACAAACTAATATTCACAAAATTTGAAAGTTAACATACACACTCCTAACAAAAGATACCACTCAGTAATTTTTGAATATCTTCAGTCTAGAGAAACTGCTGATTGCAGTTGTCAAGATAACAAAACAGTCTGTATATTAGATGTAGTGCTCCATTAAAGCAATGAGAATTTCTTAAGAGTATATTAAAGGCAATCTTACACTTACTTAAAAATGAATTTCATGTGATAAGGGAAAATATTCCCAAATAAGAGGGAAATTCGAGTTCAGGTACCAAAGTTTACAAATTTCATCAGCAATACTTTTTTTCAATATAATGCTAATCCTGTGAAGTATAACTTAGGTGTCCTGACAATCCTGAATGTGATCAGACTTGAAATTATCAAAGTAAAGTATAAGTGAGTGATAACATTATTCAGGTAATCTAAAATAATACCTTGCGAAGATTCAATTTTAAAATGATTTATTCTATGGTAGAATTTGTAGAATATTACACTGTAATGACAATGAATTGGACAGAATTTCGTTGTGCTTATCAAAAAATTTCTAATATACTATACTTATTTTTGGCAATTAAATCTTACTTCGTTCTTTATTCTTCTGTTCAGATTCCTGCTCTGGGGGAATCTTACTTTGTCCCTGCAGAAGAAAGACCTGGGAGAGAAACGGTTCTTCCTCTTGTAAATTACCCTGCTGAGCAACTTCTCAAACTTGGTGGTTTCTCTTTTCCCCCAAATATCAGAGCAAACTCAGGACTAATACCTGTCCTTGCCATCCATCAAAATAATGATAACTTAACTTAAATGATATCTAGAAGAAGGCAATTTCAACTACAAATGTTCTTCGTTTATGGCAGTCTTGAAACACTGACACTCCTGTTACCAGAGCTGGTGGTCAAGACAGGATTGATGTGTCCTATCCATCAATTCAATCATTTTGTAATTACTAGAACGGGAAGCTCCAGTAGAAGTGACTCTAAGTGACTTCTAAAGGCCATGATTTTCTACCTTGTTCACTGAAGACTTGCTCTGGAGCTATAAACCACAATGTAAAAAGGCCCACTGGCCTGACGCCACCAAGCCATGAAGAAACCCAAGCTATACAGAGACTACAGTGCTGCTTTCAGGAGGCACTTCAGTCAGCCCTCAGAGGCTTCTTGCCCATCTCCTACAAGCTGCCCATGGGGATGGACATGCTGTACCCAGCACTAGTTCTAAGTTCTCAGGAGCTCCACCCCCTGGGAACTCACCCATATGACACCCAGCAACTCAGGCCTCATGGCTCCCAAGTCCTGACTGCTACTCAGACATCAGGATGAGGGTGAGGAAGCCTATGGTGACCATTTCTCCTACATGTTAGCATTGCTTTTCCTTTTTAAGCTAAGTAGGTACACTGCTGATTTATAAACTCAGACTGATCCAAATTCTGGCACTTAACTTTTTTCCAATAAATGTTTCTCCTTGAACAAGAAAACTGGAGTAGCAGAAAAAGTACAGGATTTGAAGCAAAGATCCAAAGAAGCAATATGTTATCTAGGTAATCTGAAATATTTAAAAATTCCTGGATCAGCAATCCCACACCTGGGAATATACCCAAAGGAAGGCAAAACAGGTTACTCCAGAGGCACCTGCACCCCCATGTTTATTGCAGCGCTATTCACAACAGCCAAGTTATGGAAACAACCAAGATGCCCCACTACTGATGAATGGATCAAGAAAATGTGGTACTTGTACACAATGGAATTTTACTCAGCCATGAAGAAGAATGAAATCTTATCATTTGCAGGTAAATGGATGGAACTGGAGAACATCATTCTGAGCGAGGTCAGCCAAGCTCGGAAGACCAAAAATCGTATGTTCTCCCTCATATGTAGACTTTAAATCTAGGGCAAATACAGCAATGTTGTTGACTTGGGTCACATGACAAGGGGAAAGCACATACAGGAGGTATGGGGATAGGTAGAAAACCCAAAACATGAAAGTGTTTGATGTCCCCACTCCAGAGGAACTAATACAGAAACCTTAAAATGACAGAGGTTATCACGAGCAGGAGATCAGGAACCAGTGTAAAGATCAGTTAGAGATGAATCAACATGTATCATAACACATGGGTACATGAAAGCAATAGTAGGAATCTCTCTGTATAGCTATCCTTAACTCAACTAGCAAAAACGCTTTGTCTTCCTTATTATGCTTATGTCTTCTCTTCAACAAAATCAGAGATAAGGGCAGAACAGGACCTGCCAGCAAATGAGGAGAGGCAAGGTAGAGATAAAAAACTCCAAAAAAATAAAAATTCCTGGATCAGTTTTCTGAGTCAAAAACTATTATGAGGCTGGCATGGTGGTTCACACCTGTAATGTCAGCTATTTGGGAGACAGAGGCAGAGGGATCACAAGTTCCAGGATAGCCCAGGCACAGTTAGTAAGACCCATCTCAAAAACAAAAATATAAACAAAAGGGCTGGGGGCGTGGCTCGAGTGGGAGAGTGTTTGCCTAGCATGTACAAGGTCCTGGGTTCAATCCCCAGTACTGAAGGGGAAAAAAAAAAACTATTGTGGGGGTCAAATTTTCAATCAAGATAATAAATTCTACTCTTAGCACTGAAGGTCCTGAGCCTTGCATTCTCTACCATTATCTATTTTAGGTGATATTTTTGTAATAATATGAATCTGATGAGCAACCCTGATTCTAATATCCTTGTCTACAATGAAAATGAGCGTTCGAAGCAATACTAAAAGGTACCACAGGTTGACATCCCATACTACCAACTAGAAGTCATTATCTACATGCAAATACCACTGTTCAGTGAGTTACTCCAAGAAAAGACATTTAAAACCCATTCCTTCCTGCTAGCATTCCTGGATTGTATGTGTGGGGATGGAAATGGGAACTCCCTTGACAGGAATGGATGACACCAGAAGAGCCAGACCAAACACAATCAGGATGTGCATTTCTGAAGTACAAATAAGAATCAGGAAATATAATATTTGAAACTTTATTTTAAAACAATAGGGTTTTTTATAACTGTTATTTGTCTAACAGATAAAATACAAGGTGGAAACTTTATTATAAAGCCTTACCTGTGCAGCTACTATTTTGTAAAACCATTAAAACAACCATATTATTTAATTATAAGTAATTGTAGTTATTAAAAATAATACCTAGCATCTATTGAATACTTGCTTAATGCTAGTACTCACTGTGCTAAACCTTTTAAATACAATTTTGTTTTTGAGACAAGATCCTGCTAAATAACATTGCTGGTCTTAAACTCGAGACCTTCCTTCCTTAACCTCCTGAGTGCTAGGATTACAGGTGTGCACCACCATGTCTGGCTCAAATACATATTCTTAATTAATTCTTAAAACTAGAGCTCAGATTCAATAACTTTCACAAGAGCACATAATTTTTTGGGGGCAGAACTAGGATTTCAACCCAGATATGTTACTCCGGAGCCTTTGCACTGAGCCACTGGAGCACAGTGAGAAAGAATTTAAATCTCTCGTAGAAAGCCTCATACCTCCTTTTGGTTATACTTGATAGCGAGCTTTAGGCGACTTAAATTCATTCTTTCCTCGAGCAGTCCCCGCTTGTCGAGAGGCTCATCACTAGATGTGTGGTTTAGGATGACTTCCAATTCACGTGAATTCCGGGCTTGTGCAAGCAAATCCTTAGCAAACATTTTGCACTGACGGGCCAGTTCCTCGTAATCATTCCTACAAAACACAGTCTGTCATTAGAAAAGCCACTTCTATCTTCTAATTAAGCTATATTCACTAGAATTTTCCTTATTCAACATTTTAATTCTCACAGGACTACATAAAGTCTGAAGTCTTTTTCTGCTAACAATCAAAGGACCCTACTGGTGTACATTTTTTCCACAACTTTGAGGAAACTGCAACATAACTGTGTTCTGGATGTTCCCTTATATATACACTAATATTCCTAGAGATCCTAATAGTATTTGTCAACCAGTTCACTTAATGCATTTGCTCTCATTCTCTGTTTGGCTAAAATTTCCTTTTATTATTACTCATATGAACAATATAAATACTATTAAATAATTTTTAACTAGAAGATTTTTTCAATAATAGTTTACAATATTTACACTACTTCTAATCTTAAAAGGCATTTTGATTCATATTTAAAGTGCTCCTTTGAACGAAATTTAAGTTAGAAAGAAAGACACTAAAATGCATCTCCTAAAGAACTCTCTTTAGACTGACAATGGCTGAATCTTACTACCGTTTGAATTGCTTATTTCAAGCAGAGCTAACTGTAAAAAAATGAAGAAGTTTTAATAAATAATTCTTCTTAAAGATATATCAATTATATTACATTTATGTTTTGGTTTAATAACAAGAATTAGGTTAGAAATAAGTAATTATGACTCAGATAATTTTTAATCAGTTTTCCCTCACACAAAAGGAAGGGAAAACAGAAAGATTTCCTATTGCTTAGCCTTATTATACCCAGAGTTTTCCATGAACTAGTGGCATAAAATTAGAACTTAAAGAATAATAGCTTCTTTTCGTTAGAGGCAAACATTTCTCTTAGCCAGGCTTTGCATTTATTATATAACCCAAGAATAAGTAGTTGGGTTACTTTAACAAATAAAGTAACTCACTTCTTGGTTTAGGAATTTAACTATAGATAGGAATATTCATTTAAAGTATTATTACAAAGAGATTTCATCTTTAGATAAATATTTGATAGATCACTAAATTCAATGGTAAAATTAATACATTTTATTAATCCAATTTGCTTAAATGGGTGTACAGTTTAAAGGGAAATGCACTGGAGTAGAAGCAAGGAGTGCTATGTTCTAGTTCTGATTTTGCTCATACATTCAGTTTCAACTTAGTTGCTAATTTAATGGTAATATTAGCAAAGCCTCTGGTCTTCATAGATCTCTCCGTATCTACAAAAACACTGGACTGAAATAAATGAGTTCTAGGATCGTTTCCAAATTTAACTTACTTATTCTATGATTATAATAAAATCACAGCGGTTGCTCCAAATCTTTTTGGGAATAAATTGAACGAATTCTATTTTATAAGGTAACTCAGAACTCAAGATTAATGAGATCACAATTGGAAATTCTTCATATTTAAATAAAATTTCTTAATAGCCTCATATGCTAAGTTCAAAGCAGCAAAAAGTTGCATTTTAACCATGTCTTACAAGTCACATCAATCTGATATAAAATTTCATGTATCCAAATTAAAGTTTAGTAAATCAACTTCAAAACTTATGCATAGGCTTTTAAAATATATATGTCTCTGGGACTCAGAATTATCAAGAACTCACCACGTACCACTGCAATTAAGGCTAAAGAAAGTTTCGAGTTTCTTATCCCCCCTTCTAGTAACTGGAAGCTTAAACTTTCCCAATCTTGTCAAATCCCTGAAGGGTGCCACATACAGCGCTCCAGTATAAACTGGACATGAAAGAAAAGGTGGGTTTAGTGTAGATCCCCGTGGGAACCTTGTAATAGGGGCTGGAAAGAACTCTCAATCAATTCCTTCTTTGGAGGGGACCAGGGATACTCTGTCACAAAGGAAATTCTCAAAGCTTGCCTCGGGAGATTATGGGTAGTTAAAAACGTGCAGATGAGGAAGGAGCTAACGAAATAGCACCAGGACCTGTTCCTTTGAGGGAGAAGGAAAATTCCAAGTGGCAACAGGTGTGGTCATTGGATTAAATGTAAACAAAGATGAATTATAATTCAGCCTATGAAGAAATTCAAGCAGAAGATTCTAAAACAAAAGACATTATATGATTTACAATTTCCAGTCATTCCCACCTGAATTCCACCTCCACAAGGCTTAGTTCTTTTAAATCAGCACTAAGTTCAAATGCTCTCAGAATTGGATCCTCCTCTGTGAGCATTATTAGAGCTGGGCTGGCCAAACATCTATATATATCAAGACGAAACCTGTGATAAAATTTGATTACATAATGTAAAAAAAAAAAACCTTACACACATAATAAGTTTTAACCCAAAATTTTTATAAATTTTACAAAGTATTATAAAATTTTTAAAAAATGAAAATTACAATAAATATCTGAATAACTACAGATAACTTCCATAAAAGGAGAAACACTTAAAAGTTAAGTATTTTGAGATACAAACATTGGAAAGCTGTATGTATTGCTTTTCAGGAAATTGTTCCATTGCCGTCTCTTTTCACTGATTCAAAACCTTGGCTATTCATGGTGGCGTAATCCTGCTATCCCAGTGCTCAGGAAGCCGAGGCAGGAGGGTCCTGAGTTCCAGGTCAGCCTGGGCTACATGACAAGACCCTGTCTAGAAAAACTCAAAAAACCCTTTTACATCGTTCAATCCAATTTAAAGTAAATTTCTATTCCTGAAATCAATATAATATTAAAGGAAATAAGCTAACAAATAAATAATTGATATGATGTTGACTGGATAATTATTAAACTCTTCCTGTCCAAGTGATCAAACTTATTTAACATTGCTAGATACATATAACACATAGCTTATTAAGCCATGTAATGATTTTGAAAGCTGTCAAGCCATAACACTGAAATCACTCATTTATGCATAATTTCCAGCTAATAGAAAGCACTCCTTTTGCCCTCTCCACAAATCTTTGTATTTCAATATTCAAACAGAAAATAAACCAGAAAAAATTCACTGTAATTCTTCCTTTAGAAATATATAAATGGGGGTTGGGGGAAGGGGGGAGAAATGACCCAAACATTGTATGCACATACGAATAAATATATATATATATATATATAAATGAAATTCTTAATTCATAAATTTGGCAGATATAATGTAATGCATATTTTTCTTTAAAAGATGTATTTTTTTCCTTTTTTCAGTTCTGGGGATTGAACCCAGAACCTTGTACATGCCAGGCAAGTGCTCTACCACTTGAGCCGTGCCCCTTTCGTTTGTGTTTTGAGTTTATTAAATTAGAACTCAAGGCCTCTGTACTGGAGACTACAAAATACTGCTGTGAGAAATTAAAGGAAAGCTATCAAATAGAAAGATATAGCATGTTTGCAACTTAGAAGATTCAATGTTACTGAAGTGGCATTTCTCCTCAAACTGATTCAATTATAAAGCCCGTCAAAAATCCAAGTAACTATTTTTGTTAAAAACAAACAAAAAAGCCACACAGAATGGACAACTGATTTCCAACTTTATTTGGAAATTATGCACCTAGGACGGCCAAACATTTGAGGGAAAAGATTAAATATGGAGGACTTACACTACTTGATTAAAAAACTTACAATAAGGCTTCAGTTATCCACATCGAGTGATATTGATGTAAAAACAGATGCATACATCAGTGAATCAGAAAAGAGTCTGGAAACAAAACCATACATATGTACTAAAATGATTTTCAAAGATATAAAGATAACTTAGTGAAAAAATGGTCTTTTCAACAAATAGTGGTGTAATAACTGGTTGGATACTGCAAAAAAATGGAAAAAGAATTTACTTTTATTAAACATAAAATTTTACTCAAAATAGATCATACAATTAAAATATAAATCCTTAAAGTATAAAATGTCTGTGAGAAAATCTGTAACCTTGGGCAGATATCTCATAACTATGACATAAAAGTATGATTCACAAATGAAAAAACTGATAAATTATACCTCATCAAAAATAAATTTTCACTCCTCAAAAGATAACATAAAGAAAATGAAGCTGGGGATGGTGGTGCACACCTGTAATCCCTGCAGCTGGGAAGCTGAGGTGGGAGGAATCTAAGTTTGAAGTCAATGAAAGCTACATAATGAGACCCTAGACAAGTCATAGAACGGGAGAAATCACTTGTGAAACACATGATAAAGAACTTGTGAACAGAACAAGTTAAATAAGAATAAAGAATTCTTATAACTCAAAAATAAGAACACAGACAACCCAAGCAAGTAACGGCAGAAGGTCATAAAAGAAGACACTCACTGAGACAGGAGACCTCAGGAGATGCGGACAACCGTGAGTAGAGAACACATGCAATGACCAAGAGCACGATGGCTAACAAGACCAGGTGCTGGTGAATGCGCAGCGGAGTTAGCATCAGATGTCGCTGACGAGAATATAAACTGGTCCAAATACTTTGGAAACCAGTCTCACAGCTCCTTAAAACGCTAAACACGTATTTACATGCCACCCAGAAATTCCCTCACACTTATCTGCCCAACAGAAATAAAAACAGGTCCACAGACACACCTGCATCTGAATGTTCACTGCCAAAAACTGTGCACTGAAATGTCGATCAACAACAGGCACCTCGTCTCCACAATGAGATAATGCTCACACTAAAAATAACAAAACTACTGCAGTGTGCACAATGTGGGGACTCGGAGACATGATGCCAAGTGAAAGAAGCTAGTGACCTAAGTCGGCACACTGTAAGATTCCATTTACATAAAATTTCTAGAAAAAAGTCAACAACTATGTAAGGAGAAGGTATAGAATGACAAACTGCTAGTGGTCTGGTTCTAGAGAGAGAGAGAAAGACAACTGGGATTCATAACAAGGCTTCTGATCAGTATTAAAGTGGGAATTTTTACAAAAATGTAAATATTTACATATTACTTGTACAACTAAAATACGTATTTTTTAATAAAAATAAAAAACAATGGAAGCAAAGTTCTTGTATATATAAGGTGAATATAAAGACACTATTTTGCATTGGAAAATTAATATAATTACTGTATAACCTAACTATGAGTATATGATCCAACATCAGTTTTAAGATTTTTAAAAGAGCCAGGCACAGTGCCTCACATCTATAATCCTAGCTACTCAGGAGGCAGAGATTAGGAAGATCATGAGTTGAGGCCAGACTAGGCAAAAAGTTTGCTCAACCAAATGAGTGGTCATGGTGGTGCAGGCCTATCCTCCCAGCTACAGGGGGAACCACACACAGGAGGATAGCAGTCCAGGCCAGTCCGTATATAAAGCAAGATCCTATCTCAAAAATAGCCAACACAAAAAGGGTGGGTAGAGTGGCTCAAGCAGCAGAGCACCTGCCTAGCAAGTGTGAGGCCCTGGTCTTCATCAGGTATCCCACCATCACATTTCTGAAAAGATGCACAGAAAGATCCAGTCTCTAAAAAGCCAACATCACTTGCATCTACCTTACCACACCACACATCTGTTTGTCAAAGACTTTACTTTCTAACCTGGAATGTCGGAGGCTGTCCTTCTTGTTTTTCGCAGAACACAACGTGCATTCACAGCCAACTGCGTGGGGCTTGGGGAGAGAGACATCCTGCTTTAAGAGCATCGTAAGAATTTCATAGTTGTTACGGTGAGCAGCTAAAATGACAGGTGCAACGTCCATAGTTGTTGAATACTCAGGATTCTGTATTCGTTCCATTAGTTTCTGAAAAAAAATTATATAAATGTCCCAAAGTTATTATTTGTGACTTAAAAGTATATTTATCTAAAAAATGAAATGAAAAAAAAAGGAAGACACAAAGAACTTAAGAGAACTTAAGAATAATTTTAAGAACTATGATAAACACTTTATTTATACTAATTTTTTGAAACCTGAGAACTTAAATGCAGTATAATCATAATAGATAAAAAAATGTTCAGTAGGTAGAGATCTGTTTTCCTAATAAAGAAGTGAGGATATCTCGAGAACTACTATAAGAAAAAGTGTGGGGCTGTTGGGTTTTCTTTTTTTTACAAGATTATAGAAACATACATGATGAGGATAAAGAACAAGAAATTCATAAAAAGAATATAATGAAAAATAGAATGTTAAAAACAGGCAGAGCATAAGTGCATGAGAAAACACTAAAAGTTCCATCTGAGTGGCAACTCTTGTCACCCTGACAGTAAAGAAGCTACCTGGCAAAGCTGGTAGGTAAGAAGCACCCTTCACTTTTGCCTCTATTCATCCCCAGTCGCTACCTGTATCACCTCCTCTTACAGATGCACACAACACTGTCTGAGCTGCAGTTTAATGAGAACTGGGACCATCAGGTACTTTACATTCATCACCCCACTTAATCCCACAGCAGCCTGCAAGCTGAGCATAATTAATAACCATAAAGACACTGAGGCTCAGAGAAGTTAATGTGCCCGAGACACACAACAGAGCAGCGGTGCTGACCAGATTCAGACTGACACTCCAGGGCCTGAGCTCTTTCCACAACATGGGCCCATGGACCTGGTGATGGCATGAAATGAGGAAAAGAATTAGTAATTAAAGAATCAGGGTTAAACAAAAAGGTTGGCTTTTTAATGACTATTGCATATTCTTTCCAAACTTCTCACTTTTTCGCAGAGGTTTCCCTGAGAGCTGTTTGATTCCAGTGAAAGCTCATCAAGTTCGCATTTGGGTAATTTTTATTAACATTGTAAAAGTAGTGTACACTCATTATAAAATATCTGAAAAATATAGAAAAACAGAAAGAAGAATAAAAATACCCATATTCCTTCTATCCAAACAGCACTTTACATTTACAGCATTTGCTTCTAATCCTTGCTTTTCCACACCCCCTTCTAGGGACATCTGTGGCATAAATCAGAGGTATGCTAAACACTGGATTACAAACAATGGTTCTGGGCCCAGAGGCCGTGCTCAAGCAGAGGAGCCCTGCCTGGCAAGGGCAAGCCCCTGGTTCAAACTCCAGTACCACCAAAAAAGAAAAGAAAAAAAGGAACAATGGTTCTTAATATCCCAAAGATCAAGGACTCTTTTAACAATCCCATAAAGCTACAGCCCAGGATCTTCAAGGGGAAAAAAAAAAGTTCTACTAAGAATTTAAGGAAGTTCACTGACTCTGCACCAAGTCACTTTGCTAATTTAAATGACACTAAGGCACCCATCTGTAGGAAAAGAGGTTTTACAAATTTAGGATTCTCTCATTAACATAGACTCCCCAGAAGCAGGATTACAAAGGCCAAGAAAAGTTTTGAAGCTCTTAATACACAACGTTAATCAAAGTCCTTTAGTTTATATTATCAGTAATATTAGAACACATCCATTTCAGTCTAAAGCTTTACTCACCAGCATTGTGAGATCACTCTAATTTATGAGTGAAAAGTATTAGCATGAAATTTTAATTTACTTCCTTTTGATCATTGGTAAGTTGCTCATATACTTCCTATTTACTTATTGGAGACTTCGAGTTGGTGAATTTATTTAACAATTTTCCTTTATATTACTGGCCATAAACAAGAGAAAATTATATTTAATTCCAAGAGAAGGGTCCTAAGAGAAAAGTGGGCCTCTTTAACCATATGAGTAACTCTACTAGACATGTATAAGATTAAAGTTCATAATTTCATTGCTCATTATATAATCTATGTACTACGAAATAAATAACTTTATTTGAAAGTCAACTGTGAAAAAGACCATTTTGACAAGCCAAGATTACAGAATGAATCCACCGAAATGGTAAAAGGTTTATAAAAATATTTAATACTGCCTTTCTAAAAGTCATAAAGATGTTAAATTGTGATTTTGCTATTATTGGAAGAATTCAAATAAAGCTGAATAACCTTTTTTTGTTAGGGTAGAAAGTGTTTTTTTCACTCAGTAGTGAGGCCTGCCAGGTTTAATTGGTAGAGGTAATGGTGATGAAATAACACTTGTCAGTATACTCCACCTGCCACCTGGCCACAAGGAAGGAAATGGGTTAGAAGGCTAGAAGGTAAAACAGGTACACCGACATATGACAGTAGCTGCAAAATAAAATGCAGAAAACTGACTCGGACTCTAAATACTTCTGGTCTTTTGGATAAGGACACTGTCTTTATCCTGTTTATTTTATTCCTGTTGGTTTCTTTCCCCACTTAAAGTAACAGGTACGACATTCTGGAGAGCACATGATAAAAGCGAGAGCACACAAGGGAGGGGTGAGGATAGGTAAGACACCTAAAAAACTAGCTAGCATTTGTTGCCCTTAACGCAGAGAAACTAAAGCAGATACCTTAAAGCAACTGAGGCCAATAGGAAAAGGGGACCAGGAACTAGAGAAAAGGTTAGATCAAAAAGAATTAACCTAGAAGGTAACACCCACACACAGGAAATCAATGTGAGTCAATGCCCTGTATAGCTATCCTTATCTCAACCAGCAAAACCCCTTGTTCCTTCCTATTATTGCTTATACTCTCTCTACAACAAAATTAGAGATAAGGGCAAAATAGTTTCTGCTGGGTATTGAGGGGGGGGAGCGGGAGGGGGTGGAGTGGGTGGTAAGGGAGGGGGTGGGGGCAGGGGGGAGAAATGAACCAAGCCTTGTATGCACATATGAATAATAAAAGAAAATGAAAAAAAAAAAAAAAAAAAGAAAGTCACACTTTTTTGCTTATTTGCTTTCTTTTGTGGTGGTAGGAATTGGACAGAGGGCCTAGTGCATGCTAGGCAAGCACTCTACTACTGAGCTACACCACTGACCCAAAATGTCACACTTTTATAATAGTCTAAACAAGAGTAAACTTTTTCAGTTAACATGATCAAGTATGAAATTTAGCAGAGCCTCTCGTAGTTCTCAGATCATGCTACAATCTATTAATTTATAATGAGTTCTTAAAAGATTTTTCTTCTGAATATGAGATTATACTCCCAGCAGTTATTTAAACTGTTTGTTTTACTACACCCTCACAATAATAAATGTTACGATTTTAAAACTTTGATAGGCAATAAATATCTAATTTTTAAATTAATATTTACTTATTAGTAGCTATTTTCCTCATTACAAAGGCAATTAAAAAAATAAATAAAACCCTTAATCTTGTCAATCAGAAAGAGATGACCATCGGAAGGCAACATTTTGCTGCAATTCCATATAGTCTTTTCTTCTATGCATATTTTAATACTGGATTGTATGTATAATTCACTAACCTCACCTTTTCTCATTTAATATATTTTTCCATAGTACCAAAAATTCTTTTAAAAACCTCATTTTAATGACTGCATAGTATTCCATTGTGTGTATGTGTTACTTCTATTTCCTGTCTTCTCATTTGGGATATTTATTTTCATCTTCCCCCTACCCAGGGGATCAAACCCAGGGCCTTCAGCAACGCAGGCAAGCAGCACTCTACTGCAGAGCTACTTTTAGGATGTTTAAATTGTGTCGCAAGGGATATTTCTTAGTACCACAGTTGATTTTAATCGATAATTTGTCCACTTTTCTGGCATGTTCCTTCATAAATTTCTAGAGAAGAAAGCACTAAGTTAACGAATGTGAACTTCTTGTTTATGACACATCTTGCCAACCTGCTTCACAGAATACCTGCCCACCAATGTTTTTTTTTTTAAATTTTCTAACTTGATTAACAAAAACTAGTACGTTGTATTTGATTATTAGTAAGGTTTAATACATTTTCTTTTTTAGATTTTTCTCATGTTCTCTTCTGATTTTGATGTTTCTATTAATTTATCTAATATTAAGATGTTAACTTGAGATGTTTCTGCAAATATCTTTTCCCAGTTACCCATCACCTTCTAAATTTTGCCTGATATTTGAATTCCAGAACTTTACTAAGGCCTGACTGCGCCACTGTAACTTTTGTCCACTGCTTTTATGCCTAGTACTTTCTCTGCTCCCTCAATCAGTTAAACATCTGACTATATTATCTTTCAGTTTTATGGGTTCACTGTTTACATTTAATTCTTAAATGTATCAGGAAACTAATCTGTATTTTCAATGTTACCCACAGACTATTCCAAACTAAGTATACTGGTCCACGCTGACAAAATTATGGAAATGTTAACTACCTAAAAAAGTTTTCCTGAAAACAATACTAATTATTCTTACAAGTGTCTACTCATTCTAAAGTAAATAGTTTATGAAATGAAAAAAACCTATTTTTAAAAAAGACAAAATAAATTTGGGGTAGAAAAAATGGCCATGGGGCAGGAGATCTACTTCTGTTTCAAATCCAAATTAGTAAGTATTTAAGAGTACTAACTACTATAGTTGGTCTTGATGATCGTTTTGGTCGATGATTAAGTAGTATATCAACAGCTCCCACTACTTCAGAGTCGATTGCCACCAAAAGTGCATCTGCGGACTTTAAAAAAAAAAAGTTAAAAATGAAAATGGAAGATAAAGAGTTAATGTCTAAAAATCTAAACTATTGTAAACAGTGATACTGAATCTTCAAAAATTCAGGCTGTACAAGTGGTACGTTTGCGTGCCTTAGCAGTACTTCTGTGTACCACAGTCTACACGCGTTCCTGTCTGGTATAATAATAAATGCTGGAAAGGAGTTGCAAGTGGGACAGTGCTGACCCATGCAGATCTTTACTCTTGTACTGTGGACCAAAAGAACTTAACATTCCAAATCTGTAAAAGAGATTTCCAGGAGCTGTTCCCACAGGAAAAGGGCTACACTAGGTCTGATAGCATCAATGGATCATTAGATCAGGGGAAAAGGGAAAGTACAGAGAGAGGAGAACCCTGCTCTCACCTTCCACATGGAAATGGTACAAATTTGACATTAATACCAACAATCTTAGTTTCCCAAGTCTGCAGAGGCGGGAGGGAGTGGTGACTTTACAGTTCTACTCCTAACCCGCAGCTCATCATGGAGTCCTCTTCTGACAGGAGGAACAGGGGACAGCCTCGAGGAAATGGGGTCTCTCAACTTTAACAGTCCATAGGACTGGCAACCATGACATCAGGTTTGTTTGTTTAAAGAAAACCTAACAGCAGAAGAATATATAATGATTCAATCTAAGATACTGCTCTGATTATTTTCAAACTACATTTAAACTGACATAATCTTTACTACTTAAATCAATCAACATTCTTCTTCTATTGGTATAGAACGAAAGTATATCAGATCTTCAGTATTTTTTGTAATTGAAAAGAATAAAGCTTTTACCCACTTTATCTGAATGTCAAAAATAGTACTGAAAATAGCAAGCTTACCTAAATGTTGAAAAATAGGACTAAACACTCCCCCAAAAGGGCTGAAATCTCATTCAACCATTAGGAATTGCCTATGTTTTCCCATAGGAAAAACTGCTCACCCAAATGAGAAATTTAATCCATCATTTTATCCCTTAAAACTTTGAGGGTTCATTAGGCTATAGTCCTTGCCTTGAAGTTCCTGCATTTTTCTTTTGCTTTGTAAACATTTCTCTTTATTTTAGCATATTCAATCAGGTGAAGCAAACAAACTTTAAAAAAAAAACCTGCATCCATTATTACTAAATATTTCATTTATGTTTTTAATTTTAATCTATAATGCTAACTTTAGTAGTACCAATGCTCTCAAATACAAGGCAATTCCAACTATCTGAAATACAGTCATGAATCAAATAGCAGCAATTTAACAAAACAAAGAAACCAATTAATCTGTCACAAACTAACTTTATCAGCACTGTTTCCGGAAGAAATGGGCTCCCTATAGACAACTGACTTAGAGTTGTCTATAAGTAGTAGATATCTGGATTTCTCAAGTATTCTTCAGATCTTTACTGAATGACAAACAGCTAGATTGAAACCAACAAAGAGGCAGAAAGAAAGAAAAAAAATGCTAAAATTTGACCATTGAAAAAATAAAATACCAGCATAGCAAAATCACTATCAGTATGTAGCAGTCTGAAGACATTTAATCTAAGGACAAACATTAGTAGTTTCAGACCATATGAAGCAAAGAAAAATGATTATATTCTCAGTAGTTCCAATTTCTGATGGTAAAGATAAATTATATTCAGATACAGTACTCCGTAAAAAGTAAAGATGCATAATAAATTATTCAATTCTTAAAAGAATAAGCTTCAGCTAGAAAAAAAACTTATGTAAATTGTAATGTAAATAAGGAATGATCATTGATTTACTCTGCATAAATACTATGTTATTTGATAAATGTCTGTTCTAAAGAAAAAACATTTTAAGTTATTTTAAAAATACATACAAATGTGTAAAATATCTGCACTAGTTTTGTTTCCCGACTGCTTGCTTTATTTAAATAGTTTCAGTAAAATAGCTCCAACACATGTACTTATTTATGTATGTATTTATGAGGTCACCATCTTTCTTCTCAACTCAGAATTTGTCCTTCAACAATTCCCATACTCTTTCCTCTAAGCTCAGAGTAAGAAGCTAGTAATTTCCTTCTCGAACATAATTTCCTACCTTAGTACTGTATTTTACTACTGTCCATCTCTACGGGGACCTTGGTCCTTCATTCACAGAAGTGTCAGTCCCACCTCCACAACCTGCACTCCTTCTCACCACCTGCTGATTTAACCTGATCCTTTCTTACCGCTCATGTTCCCTTCTTCCTTCCTGGTGTCAGACTTGCTAGTCACCATGACACTTTCTCTAATTCTACCACTTTCAAGAACTTTCAAGAACCGCGCCTCTTCTATTGCGCACTCCTCGATTTCTAGACAACAGCATGACTGTCAGGATGCTACACTATCCTAACTGCCTGGTCATCTCCAACCATTCATGTGGTCTCCTGTAATGAAACCCTTTCCTTCTAGTACTCTTTATATGCAACCTAAGCATGAGTCTGCACTCCAGGCCTTTCTCATCAGTTTCGTTCTACTTGTTTTTCTTGGTAACTCCCGTTTTTCTCCAACCCAATACTTTGTTCAAAAAGGCTGTCGATTCACTATTTCAAGAATACACATTGCACATGTCTCTGTTTATCCCCTCTCTACATCCCTTGTTCCTTACCTATCTATAATTTGACAATAGATTAGGCTAATAGGTAGAAGCATGGACTCTGGAGCCAGAACCGGGGTTTGAAGTCCACGTCTGCCATTACAGAGTAACTTTGGGCAAGTCCATCTTTCTGGACATGCGTTTCCTCCTCTGTAAAACAGGGATAACAGTGTCTGCCCCACAGGGCAGCTGTGAGGATTAAGTGAATGCATTAAGGTTACCGGCACAGAATGCCACTACGGACACACGAGCAATACTATTATCTCAAGGCCGAGCTCAATCACACTCTTCCAGTGAAGCCTGTCTTAATGCTTTCTTTAAAACACTTTGGTTTTCAGTGCCAAGGAACAAACACAGAACTTTACCACAAGAAAGGTAGAAAACTTTCTTGATGGCTCTACTCCAGTGATTTTACCCTTTTTTATGTTTCTAGACCAGTTATACTAAGCCACCTAAGTTTCAGTATAAAAGTTGGGTTTTTCAACAGTAGCACTATGGACATTTTTGAGCCAGATTATTTTTTGTTGTGGTAGATGCCCTGTGTCTTGTGGCATGTCCAGCAACATCCCAAGCTTCTACCCACTAGACACCAGTAATAAGCTGTTCCCCATTGTGGAACTCAAATGTCTCCAGACATTGCCACATTTCCCCTGCTAGGGCAAAATCATTTGGTTAAGAATCAATGATATAACATAAGATAAAATATAAGAAAGCACTTTGTAACCACAAAGCGATATACAAGGGTCAAGCATTATTAACACTCAGCATTTATCAAATACACCTTTGTATTATTTAGTTCATTTGTAATTCATACACACTTTAATTGTCTAGTTCATTTTAGGATCCTTTAGTGAAGAACCACTATTTTGTTTATTCACATCCACAATCACACCAACCACAGGTCCTGGAGAATAAGACACAGGTAAACTGGACAGGACACAGTGAACTGGAAAGAGCATGGGATTTGCACTCAGCAGATTCAATTCAACTCTTTGCTTTGCCTTTACTAATTTTAGAACTTTGGGCAATTCATTAAAGTCTATGAGCCTCAGTTTTCTGACCACTAAAATATAACATCTATGTAGGTTAACTGTGTGGGGTATACTCAAGAATGTAAAAGAACTAGGTATACAGGAGGATTATTCCATACATAAAATCATAAGTGTAAAAACACAAAATTATTATATCATAATACCTGTTTTATCCAGAATCATCAGGGACTGAATGTCCTTATAACCTTATTTTCTAAGTAACTGAAGCTTATGCCTTTAAGTATTTAACTTTAAAATTTAAACCATTTTGATGGAAGTCTTTTGCTTTCAGAAGTGCTATGGAAATATATTCTTCTTTCTTCTAAAATAATAGGTAGCGAATATAATTTAACTTTTCCTTACTGATTCTAAGCCATTGTTATAAAACACACCTTAATGACCGTTCTAACACAGCTGCAGCAGAGCCCATCAGGTCTGTAATGCACCTGACCTCTGATTAAGGAATCTCAGTCTGTGCTACTTCAGCTCTGAGGTCCCTTTCAGCTCTAAGGCCTTCCACTGCCCCTCCAACTCTTTGCAGGTTACAAAACTAAGAAGTTAGGTTTATTAAACTGGTTCTCAAATGAGAAAAATCAATCTTTGAACCAGGGTAGCAATTTGAAAACTTCATTGCAGCCACTGTGGCTGCTCAGTGGTACTTTTTACTCAGTTTCTGGTTCTCAGTTGTGTTCTGCATAGCTGAAGTTACTGGATAGGCAAATTCTTTTTTTACTCTAAGAATATGTTCATATGCCTGTAAGTAAGATGGGCCACAGAAATACCTATCCTCTGACATTTCCACAACACTTGTACTATTTTTAGGTATATAATACAAATAGTAATAATATAGGTAATACAAACAAAGTCATGATCATTTACCTCTATCAGATGTAGGGAAAAGTGACAGTTGAAAAGAGAAAGATAAATCAATTAAAAATATTCTACCTAAAAATGGCTCTTTTGGTTTGTTTTGAAAAACTTTTTAGTGGCTCAAGCCAAGCAGAAGGTGAGAAACAGGAAAAAAAAAGAAGTGAAAGAAAAAGAAGAAAGTGAACCAGAAGGAAAGATGACAACATGGCATATCTAACATTTCTTAGAAGCTACTGGAAATATTGTCTAGCCTGTACCTGACAACCGTAGTCCAAAAGGAGCTGCAGTATATCCAAGTTCTCGTTCTCAATAGTTATGGTAACAGCGTTTCTCCCAAGCACATCTACGCAATTTATGTTCAAGTCCCCTGAACTGTTCTCCTCCAAAATCTTTTTAACCATATAATAGTCACCTAAATAACAATATACAAACATAATTTAATATTCAATACATATTAAATAAGAATGACTGTAAAGAAAAATTTAGCTTGTTGAATTAAAGGATTAAAATACGTAAATTCACTTTTGTATATAGAAATGTACAAAGCAAATGTAAAATTTTTCTGGATAAAAAAGTGTATCTTGATAAAATAACACATCAGCAGCAAATATAAAACACAAGTAGAAAAATTTTAAATGGGCAGTATGAAATAAAACTTACTACTTTAAAATTCTTAACTTGAAAATATAAGCAGAGAAACTTATAGAAGATATATAAAGCAATTTAATAAAGAATGCCTCAAAATGTAGACTGCAGCTAGAAACATAAGAAGCTTAAAAGAATGTTTTATTTCTCAGACATACACACACATCATAATGGCTAAAATCAGATCTAAGTAGAAGATATTTTAAAGAGTATTTACAGAGGAACACATACTGTTGAAAAGCGGTGTGAACATGTACAAGCTTGTGGGTATGCAGAACATGAGGGAAGGCTGTCTGAAAATCCCCTCTCCTCCCCATACACACACACACACACACACACACACACACAGCATCTCATTATGAAGCTGTTTAGAGCAAATAACCAGGGAATACTCAGCTCAAATCAGGACTAGAATTAATGCCTGACCTATCAGGAGCAGGTACATTACCTTCTGTCCGACTGTAGAGTCCACAACAAAACAGTTAAGCCGTGTGGCCTATAATCTTATCTACTTAGGAAGTAGAGACAGGAGGATCCCAGTTTAAGGCCAGGTCAGGCAAAAAGTTAGTAAGACCCTATCTCAACAAACAGGCCAGGCATGGTGGTTCATGCCTGTACCAGCTATGCAGAAGGCAGAGGTAGGAAGATTGCAATCTGAGGCCTGCTAGGCAAAAGCACAGGACCCTATCATTAAACAAAAGAAAAAAGGGCTAGCGGTGTGGCTCAAATGGTAGATCACTTGCCTAGCAAGTGCAAGGCTCTGAGTTCAAACACTAGTACTGCCAAATAAATAAGATAGCAAATTTTATTTATTAAAATTTCACATAAATTTGCTAATATTTTTAATCTATGACCTTACGGTCCCCACACATTTTGAAAGACATTGAATAGCTTTCTTGACAATATGTTTCCTTAATTTTCTCTAGAATAAAACTAGTCACAAAAGAAAATCTTTCCCTATGGCACTAGTAACTAGTATTTTAGATACATTCCTCCACGGTGAATGCTTAGCAGACAAACACTTTGCAAAGTGACAAGTCATGAGTTGTACAACACTGACCAAACAAACCAGTAAAAAGTTATCACTACTACTGGAAGATAACATATAAAATCTGTCTCAGATTTATCTATTTTATTATCTTAGTAGTAGAAAAACACTACACACAAAAGCTCAGCTTTGTTCGCATGTCTAGGTGAGCATTAATTTTCTATCTTGCTTGAGACGCATTAGGCTTTCTAAATCTAAGAACTCCTGTCCTTCCTTAATTCTGCAATATTTTCAGTGTTGTCTTTAAATGTTGCTTCCTTACCAAAGTTTACATCTGCAAGTCACTTAAAGCAACGTGCTGTATTTAAAAAAGACCATAGTAGTCTTAACTTTTAGGATGAGTATATACTTATAAAGGCTAGGAAACTTAAAATTGATAGCAATAAGCTGATTACACAGCAGGGTTACAATTCTAAATGCCTATGTATGCCAGACAAGTAGGTTTTATATTTTCATTTTATAATGAAATTGATATCAAGAGCTGCATACATCTTTTACTTTTTAAAATATAACAGATAGAAGGAATGCAACATAATCTGCTTACTTTTTTGACTAGATAGTTGTCATTTTTCAATGAAGGAAAAAGAAACCTTTTTCCTTCAGGGAGGAACTCAATAGCAAGTCATCTCAGTTGCCTCTCCAAAACACCACTCATACTCATTTGCTTGTCCCCAAACACACTGCTACCTCTCTCCAAGTCACCATTAGCTCTCTCCCAGACAATGAAAAAGCCTAACTGATATACCTGCTGGAAAAGATTCTCTCTTTGACCAAATTCTAACTAGGCTCCTCTGGCTCACTTTTTGACTAGGCCTCAACATTGGTGTATAAACACTTGAACATACTTTCTAACAGTTCAAGGACGAATGACTAGGATGATCCTCTTTAAGTGTAAGCCTGAGAAAACTTACGGCCGCCAAAAGAATTCACTGTTTGTTCCAGTCAACATCTGAAGACCGGGCCTCTCTTTCCCAGCCTCTATGAGAAGTTCAGAGCCTAACTTCCACACAGTGCCAATTAGCAAACCACACTGGCTTCGCACAGACCAGCTACCCACTTCCCTGACTCTCCTGACCTACCTCACCCTCTCTACTCCTTCATTCTTCCTTTAAACCAACCAGTCACCTTTGCACAAACTGAACTTGGATTCAGTTCACACTCAACTCTTTTCCCTATTGCAATTTTATATTACCCAAATAATACTTTACACTCTAGCCCAGGGGACAACAAAATTATTCAGAAAAAGGGCCAGATAGCAAATATACCAGGCTTTGTGGGCCATATCTCAGTCACAACTACTCAGACCCTTCAGCACAGAAACAGCAATAGATCATATGTAAATGAATGTGGATATGTTACAATAAAACTTTATTTATAACCTGATTTCATAGAATTTTCAAGTATTAAGAAATACTACTCTGCTTCTAATTTAAAAATGTAACCATCTGAAATGTAAAATATAAAAACCAGTCTCAGTTGAAAGGCCTTATGAAAACAGGTGTATTTGGCCTGTAGGCCGGTTTTCTTACCCTTCTTCTAGCCCCACCTCTTCAACCCATTCCTTACCCCATAGTCAGAGTGATCTTTTTAAAATTCAAAGTGTATCAAGCTTTCAGGCCTCACGATCGTCTATCATCTTGAAAAGCCAAAATTTTTACTCTGGTCTATAAAGCCCTCTAGAACATGGCCCTTCCTACAATTCTAAATTTACCCTGTACCACTCTACTACTCACCCACAAGGATCATTCTAGACCAATGTTTTCCAAGCTGCAAGATGCAACCCATTAGCTGTCATGAAATCAAAGCAATGAGTCTCAACCAGCAATTTAAAAAGTGAAATAGTATAAGACACCAGGGTGAACCCCTGGGTCCTTTGCAACACATTTACTCTAACTGCGGCCAGCCATTGAGAAGCACAGTGGAGAAACATTACAATGGTGACGAAGAGATGATTCCATCTTTCTTCACTGGCATATCATTTCATATTCTGGCATATGATGGTAAAGTTCACCATAACGGAAATGGGAGTGCTAACAATGATCAGTTTTAATTTGGGTATACCAACCAAATTTACCTTAGTTGTGAAGTGTGAGAAATTTTTGCCTGTCAAAACTTTGTAACTCTTTTCAAACCAAGTTTTTACAACAAACTTTGAGTATAATAATTCCAACAGTCCAATTGAAATACTCTCCATTATACTTAAAACACATTTTATTAAGAGAAGAAAGCTTTAGTATCCAGAGAAATGCTACTGGATCTTACACATATACTGGTACGGTATGGAGTTCTTTAAGTCTTCATCATTCACTTTAGCTCTTAAAAATCACTTCTTATTACCTCCTTGTGGTAACTTTTTAATTTCTCATTACCTATTAAACTACTAACGCTAGATGTGAAACTTCCCAGTATCATTAAATTTGATGGAATCAACTATAAAGAAGATAGAGTCCTGGCAGCAGGAAGAGTAATTATTCTTAGGTTACAATAACTATCCAATCAAATTTAATCTTTCAACATCCTTCAGCTTTGTATCATACAAATGTATAGGGCTTGTCTTATATTGTCTTTTTTTCCCCCTTTGTTCACTTCCTAGATAAGAGATTGCTCTGTGCTAGGAAAATCCCATTTTCCAAATCACATACGGCCAATGAAGTTAAGTTGAGCATTTGCTACTTCCCTTCAGACATATCTGTTATACACAAACATACTTTTCCCCCTTACTGTTGCTAATTAGAGCACAAGTATGCATCTTCATTACAGGAAAAAAAAATTCCTAAGGGACAGGGATATAGCCAGTAATTTATTGATAAAGCTCTTTTCCAGTGCCTGAACACACTTAAGAACTTTTAAAGTATATTTTGATAACCATAGAAAGAGCCACAAAGTAAAAATAATGTAAAGAAATACACTTGGGGATCACTGCACTGAAATGCCACTGTTATGAAACTGTGAGGCAGCTATCTGCTCAGAGTCATTCTTTATTAAAATAACTACGAACCACTCACTCCGTATGGTGCCATTTCTCATTCTAAAACTTTGGTGATTTGAAAAACTTTCCAGTACAAAGTACTTGAGTGTTATAACTGATGACAATTTGTGAACCATCAGCACAATGCAGCCTACAGAATCTTCACCTCTTCCTGCAAATTATCCTCCTCATAGCAGACACCTCTTTACACAAGGTGCCATCCATCAACATAAAACTTCTTGGCAATTCCCAGTACTCTGTATTTTTAATTCCCTTCACCCTTCCCTCTGATCTCACCACACTTCAAACTCTCTTCTCAGATAGCTAAAACAAGAAAAAGTACCATTAAATGTATTAAGTAAGATGTTGATGAAACAATAGCTTGTATTTTACCAGAAATGCTGCACATTTTAAAAGCATCCTTAGGCCAAAGGCACAAAAGGCTATGTAGGAACCTAAAGCATCCCTTCTTGCAAGACATCAGTCATTTCACACAGGTGACAGAACACAAACTAGGCTGACCCCAGGAATAAAGGTGAAATTCTATCCTCTTCCTCTCTCCTCTGACCCCACATTGAAATGTCAAGAGACTACTAACTCAAATACAAATTAAATTCCCTCAAACTGCTCTCTGTATAGAGCTGGAAGCAACTGAACCCTTTCATATTTTTTCTTCTGCATGAGAACTGATTACTGATCAACAGCAAATTAGGTTTATGTGAGTTTAAGTTCACAAATGCGTCCAAAATGCCACCGTCTATTCAATTGTTACTTTAAATGAGGAAAATTAACATGAGTTATACTTAATTTAGGTGCTTCTTAAATAAGCAGTATTTACCCATTCTCAGTCAGCAGGCCTGAGGGATACCACAGGCTCCCATGGACAAGAAAGGCCCATTACCACACTAGCTCTCAATGAGGGAGGAAAAGATATGGATGGTAATAATCACGACTTGATAGTTTAAAACAGCAACACATTTATAGTTGGCTCTTGTTTCAACTACAATTACAGAGTTCTATTTCTAAAAAAGTTTCATTTGGTGGGCCCAGACTTAACTATATGCCTGGAGCAGAAACTTTCAATTAACCTTTTCTTCAAAATTTGATGCAAAAAAAGGACCTAGCACTACCTCTGTGATGACCCCGACCCATGCTGACCATCAATAACAGCCATTATTAAGTGGCTACTACCTGGGTCAGCAGTTGCCTAGATCTAGTGAACTCATTTACATGAAAGCCAATTACCACAAACTATAAAATCTTTTCTTTCCTAGTTTGTTTACCGCTTAACCTGTACACACCTTCCAAAGGGCCACCTACTGACCAAAGACACACAACCATCTCATCTCCACAGGTTTTGCTTTAGGAATTCCTAGATTTTCCTCAACTGGACTGTTATAAACATTTTACACATGTGGAGTGAGGTGTAAAATGATAAGGATGAGCTCCTGATTTTCTCTAAAGCATGACATGCTTGCTTTTTACCTTTATTGGGTAAATACGATACACAAAAATCAAGGTTTATAAAGCACCCATACAAAGCAAGTTTAATTTCCAACTAATAGTTGTAAATGTGGAGATGTCTTTTATGACACATATGATTTTCATTCACTCCACTATACCCAGATCAACAGAAGACAGTGGTAACTGATATGGACAGGCATACACATATATACAAACAGATCTGGCTCTTAGAGTTATGAGGGTGAAATGAATGGTCTACAAAGATCGCCCCAACATCTGCTTTACTAAACGCTTGTCACTTGATCTCAAAAATTTCATTTTTAGGGCCAGGTATGGTGGCTCAAGCCTGTAATCCCAGCACTTGAGAGGCAAAGGCAGGAGGATGAGTTTAAGGCCAGCCTGGGCTACACAGGAGAGAGAGAGAGATTCTACTCCAATCATAGTCCATTACACACTTCTCTGCCCTCGATTTGACAGAAATACCAAACTTCCTTTCTTGACATCCTTTCCTTTTGCTTATAGATAGTTACAATGAAGGAGGGTAGCTGCAGTGGTGACTTCTCTAGTACAAAACAATCTTTTCCTTCTTTCAGAGAATTTCTGGAGGCAGAGAATTCAGGCGAGCCACTCCAATTTTTACATAATTTATCTGTAGACCATAATTTTTGTGACATTATAGACATACATTCTACATTTGTTTACGTTTCTGATTACTCAAAGGTGTCCATGGAGGACTTTAAGAAATGTTTTCATAATATAATTTAATACTACTACATCAGAACATAAAAGGGGCTTGAAAACAGACATAGGTGGACTTTGTTCATATGTCAACGTGTTTTCAAAAAGTTGTGTTAACAAATTCCTATTTCAAAAGCATCAAGAGAGGTTAGAGAGGCTGTCGTTTATTTAAAACACTCACACATACAGGAAACAAACCATCTTCTGAACTCAGGGTTTCCACAGTGTAAACTGTCCTGTGGATGTATGGTTTAGAAGTCTGCATGGTTCTAGCAGAGCCTTCCTAGGTGATCACGCCCATCCTACAGCAAGCTGCACTAATTTAGAAACACAGCATTTTCAGTTCTCTTCCTCAGGTAGGAAATGAATCCGGCCCAGGGGCAATTCACAACTCCTTTTATTATACGATATCCCTGGAAAGCATACTTGCATGATGACTTTTTAATATGACCATAAAAAATGATCAATTTCTAGGGTTAAAAAAGGAAAGCACACTAACTACATTCCACATATTTTTGCCCTGTCATTATTTTTCACTACTTTTATCTCCCGGTTCTCTGGCTCTGAACCAATCAACCTTTCTCACTGATAAAAAGCTCGAACAGTCCCAGATGCTCCTTAAGTTTGGTGAAAGTTTGGGGAATTTGGGCACAATTCCTCCAGTCCTGTCCTTAGTTCTTGTGTCTCTACTTAGAATACGCAGACACCTGACTCCACTCCATCTTAACCAGCCAAGGCACTGGGCAATTGATGCCAAACAGCAGAAGAAAGTTTTTTCAAGAACTAAAAAAAAGAAAACAAAACAGAAAAACCAGAACAAGGCGAGAGGTGAGGCTATGAATATAGGACTCTTAAGCGAAGATCCCATTATTTGGAGACGGAAAGGTCCGAAGAACAGAGGCAGGGGAAGTGGACCAGCATCAGGCACGGGGTTAAAACTGGGGTCCCAGCTTCGCCCACACCCCGCGCCACCCTCGCAGCGGAGCCCACGTCGGGGTGGAGCGCCCGGCTCCACGTGCTCACCAGGCACGCGCGCGGCGGGAGCGGACGGCGCCCCGGGGTAAACTGAGGCAGGGAGCAGCAGGCGGGGGCGCAGAGGACGGAGGAAGGAAGGGAGGGGCCTGGCTCTCACCCTTGTCGCACGCCAGCAAGAACAGCTTCTCGTTCAGGGTGTTCTCCTCCTTCACCTCCCGCACATCCTTCAGCGCCATCACTTGGTTCGGCGACGAAGAGGAGGATGGGGAGGAAGGCAGGGAGGAGGAGGAGACTCCCGACAGGTCGGTGCTCGGGTACAGGGCCGCCATCATCGCGGCCCACGAAGGGGGCAGGCCGGGAGACGGGGGTGGGGCCCCCATCGGCCCCGACCCAGGGCCGGAAAAGGGGTGCGTGGTTCCCACGGCCGCCTCGGCGCGCGGCCCGTTGGCCCCGAAGGGCGTCGCCTCCCCTCGGAGCCAGCACTCGCCCTCCACCGACAGCCCCAGGTTGGTGGCGGCGCCAGCGCGGCCCCGGGGCCAGCGTCCCCTCCCCAGCCGCCGGCGGCCCGGCCGCGCTGGTCCGCGCCCGTCCGGGGACGACAGAGTGGAGCGCGCCAGGGCGGCTGCCGAGCGCGGGGCCGTGCCAGGAGCCGCAGGGGCCGCGCGCGGGGCGGCCCGGCCCGACAGGAGGACGGACGAACGAGAGGCTGACGGGAGAGAGGAGCTGGGAGAGGCGCTGCTCAGCACGTCCGCCTCCGGGGCTGTGGGAACCGCCGGCCCCGCTGCGCCCGGAGAAGATAGATGTTCACGACTCTGTCCTCACGTCATCCTCATCCCCGCGGCCGCGACGCCGCCGGGGCGGGGCCTACGGCCTGGGCGGGCTCTGGTGGGCGGAGTCGGGGGCGGGGACGAGCCCTGGTGGGCGGGGCCCTGCAGAGGCGGGGTCTGATAGGGGGAGCAGACACGGGGCTAGCTCTGGTGGGCGGGGCTTGGTGCGGGGGCGGGTCTAGTGGGCGGAGTCTGAGGCGGGGCTGGCTCCGGGACTGCGGCTGCTGATGCAGCTTGTGTGCTTGGCCCAGCTGAAGGGCCAGGTGAGCCGCATGTGCCCAGCTCTTCTCTACACCCAGGTTCTGGGTTTGGGGCAGTGTCCCCGCTGTCCGCCGCTGCACAGGGAGTAAATCTGCAGCGGCACGCTAATGAGCCCCTTGTGGAATTCTCAAGCCTTTCACAATCCCGTGCTCTCCTCCTAAAGCAGAAAGCAGAGCTCCTGCCAAGCCGCCAGACTGGGGTTTGTCTGCACTTGCTATGAGCTAGCTACCCTCATTTCTAAGGAATGTATATAAATATACATGTTATATTCGTTTGCGATCTGAAATTGGCCTCAGATTCCTGATGTCACCTATTTATTCGCATATAATTCAAAGATGCAACCTGTAACTATATATAGTAAGCACATTTTTAGGACCTACTTTCCATTACAGTTCTTTCAGTGGTTTGTTGATCACATAAATCTGATTTTAAAAGATGCATCTGTTATTCAAGCATCAGCTGACTGAAGCCCAGTAATAATTTGGATAATTTATTTTTAATCAAATGTTATTTAAAGCAGATTAAGCATTATACAATGTTGCCATTGTCTTCCACCTTTAAAGGGTAAGAAGGGAAAACTAAAAATTACCTCTCAAATAATTCCTGTTGCTTCCCAGGGTTGACAACAATAAAAATCTGAGTTGTGCCTTTAAGGCTTTAGGTTTTTAAGACAATATATAACTTTACATCAGAGTATCTGACATTTGAGGGAAATTCTTCCTAGCCTCTTCAGGTCAGTTTTTCGATTCCTGTCTCTGTGAAAACTCTAACTCCCATGTCTCCTAAATATAATTTCCTCACCGCTGTCCTCTCTAGATTTCTATGAAAGGCGTTAGATGCCAAGATTGCCCACCTTCACAGTTTTGTTATTTCAAAATAATTGATACTCTGTTGAGTCATTTTAGTTTTTTCTGTCTTGTCTGGAGACAAACCTCCCCATTTGATAACGTTTAACACAGGTGGAAATCTATGTATTTGGTGGGATGTCAGAATTGCTTACTTTGAGGCCAGTGAACACAGATGTACATATTAATGTATATACACTTTGCATTCAGCAAAATGTTTCGTTGGTAGCAGAACGGCTCTAACCTTGACCCACCCAAAATTTCAGTGTTTGAGCCTAAAAATTCAGATGACTCAGAGCTATACAGAGATACATAGTATATTGTATTACTTTAATCTGAAGCCTTTCAACTTTCTGAACTTAGAAGGTTATTTATCCAGAGTACTTCCTGGGGCTGGGTTAATTGCTAAGATTTGAGGGAATTCTAACCGATTTTAGTAGAAATCATAGGAGACATTCTGATGTCTTTGGGGGCCTTACCCACTTCAAAGCAAGCCAGGGTTGTGACTGCTTCTGTTCCTCAAAAGCCCTTGGATCGCCTCAGCTAAATGTCCTCTTTTCTTGCCTCTCTAGTAAACTCTATCCAGCACAAATTGGAGCACTTTAATATCACCTACATGATGTGTAAGTTGATTTTGTATGTCGTATAGAGAGCAATGATATGAAGCTGACAATCCACAGGATGCAAGATTCAGAAGTAGCATCTTGCTCAAGGCAGCTCACCCAAGTCATAGGTACAAAAAAGAAAAGCAGTCACAACTCGTCAGAAAAGAAAAAAGTCCCAGATTTGGATCCATTCCTACAAGTAGCCTAGACCCTCCCCACATCTCTAGCCTCTCGCTCCTCTGCCACGCAGTCCACATTTGCCTGGTTCTTTTCATTACTGCCTGCCAGGCCCACTCCCCACCCCACTTCTCTGTTACTCTCTCTGCTGAATGCTCAGCCCCAAATAAAACATCCTGAGAAAGACCTTACCTAACCACGCAAATTAATCCATCTCGGCTCCCAAGTCAGCCTCTGTCACGTTACACTGCCTTATTCTTCTGCATTGCCCCTGCCCCAAATTCCCGTTCATCCTCAGCCTCTCCGTGCGAGGACGTAGGTCATGGGACGTTCTAGTGTTGTCTCAGCTGAATCCCCAGTGTGCAAGGTAATATTAGAGAATAAATTTATGGTAATGAACTGATCCAAATTAACCCCACACAAACTAAACATGTAATAACCATGTAGCTAGTTGTCAGATGAAAGAACAAAAGAACTACGCTTACCTCCAAAGAAATTATCTAATACAGCTTTTTTTTTTTTTTTTTGGTCTTACTGATTCATTTAGGAGTTGCTCTGTCCTGTAGAAAATAAGCTTATGCTAGAAAAATTTGAATTCGTTTTGTTTCAGTAATGGGGACTGAACCCAGGCTTCTACCATTGAGCCACGCTCCCAGCCCTTTTGTTTGTATTGTTTTTGAGATAAGGTCTTCCTAAATTTTGGCCAGGCTGCCTCCACTTCCCTAGTAGCTGGGATTACAGGCATGTACATACCACCACACCTGGCAAGGGATATATATTTTTCTTTAAGTGAAGTAAATACCGACACATTTCTACATACACAGCATTTTTATTAAATATGCTTTGTGAGAAAAAGAACACCATAAAGTGCCAAATTTCGTGTAAATCAGATAACTTAGGTGAAAAAAATCAAAGAAGAAAGCATGATTTAAATAATCTCATAAAAGACCAAGAAATACCTTATAATTTTCATATAAGAAAGCAATCATCAAAATATAAAAGGGAAAGAAATCTCTTGTAGAAGAATATATTTCAAAATTCTACCTGTTGATCATTTCATTTAAAAAAAATCTATTCTACACACCTGGAGACTCTCACTTTTCTTATGTATGTTTCAGTTGATGGCTTAAGGAAGGGTTAGAGTACGCATAAACACCGAGATAAAGTGACAGCACTTTGTTACGTAGTAGTATTGCTCACTGGCACTGAGTGAAACACTGGAAGCAGATTTCCGGATTCAACTGTGAGTAGCAGAATTGGTCTATACTGCTAAAAATTCAGGAAAAAACCAAAAAGAGGTATCAAGCCTTATCCCAATAACACAAACCTGACTCAATCACTGCCAGTTTATAGAAGGCTGAGGGGAAGATGTGAAGATATGTTGAGTGTTAAGCGTCAGTCACACTGCTTTCTACTGAAGTTATTTAGTGGGCATATTCTAAATTACAGAGGTTTCATTATGCAGCTAAGTAGCCAGTGTGATATGAAGATAACAGGACAATGTGGACAGGAGGGGATGTTCCAGCCAATGTTTGGATACAAGTATTTTGGAAGGAGTCAGGTGAAAAATAACCATGTATACATTTGTAAGGAGTGTTTGTAAAAGAACTCTCCATGTATCAGATATCCACAAACTGATGTTATACATCTTATAGGGGCAAGATAAACATTTCATGGTTGGCTGATTGACCAATTATACATAGCGCTGAAGAAAACCTGGGTGGTTCGGGTGTATATATGTATGTACACGTAGACACATATTTCTCTAATGTAGTCAACATACATAGTACATGCCATGCGTCATAGGTAAAGCTGAATTACCAAATAGGATATGTAAAGTAGCAATGTGGTTAAAATTAAGTTTTAAGTAAAAAAGCTCCTGCTACTTATACAAGAAAGTGAACTTTGGGATTTATTCAAGAATTAGCTGTTATATATAAAAATTTAATGTTAATGAGCAATTCTTGCCACTTTAAATGTCAATGTAGAAATTTACAGAAAGGTTAGTTTTTAGACTATGAAGTTAGAGGAGGAAAACAAAAGAATTAAAATGGGTTATAACAAGATATTTGTGATCAAAATTAAATAACACATCAAAAAAATCCAAACACATTTCACGGCAGGACCTGCAAAAACTTTTTTGTACTGATCTTTTCTTTAAACCATGAAAAAAGAATGAATTAGGAAACAAAAATAAATGAATCATGAAATATCGGCTTGATAATGAGTATATTCTAGTATCTGTATTGACAGGTAAAATTAATCGTGTTATTCAAAAAGGGTGACAAACTAACAATATGAACAAGATACTGGATTCATTAATGAACATACAACTATTTTGAGCCTACAAATACTCTGATTTTATACCCACTACATTTCAAAATTCTGTAAACTGAGGCATTCGATGTGTTTAATGTGGCAGAAGAGCATACAAAGTGTTCCGTTATTTTATTCTGTTCAGTCCTTTTCCCATTAAGCACGCGAACACCGTCATAACCATCTTCGGTTTCACTTCTACCAGGTCATCAGCCAGTGCGTATATCCGGGCCCCGATCTTTCGAGCGACTGAAATGGCATATCTTGAAAAGAAAGAAATACGTGGGGATTTATCTACTGTGTTTTCACTTACTATCTTTTAACAAAGAACTATTTTGATAATAAACTTTACAAAAAGCTTAAGGTTGTGATTTTTAAATCATATTTCCCATACTAGTTGTACTTAAAAATGTGAACCCTTTTTTGTATTTTTAAAAGCTTTTTTAAGATAGAGTCTCCCTATGTAATCCAGGCTGCCCTCAAACTCACGATCTTCTTCTTTTTTTTTTTTTTTTTGCAGTACTGGGGTTTGAACTCAGGGCCTACACCTTGAACTACTCCACCAGCCCCTTTTTTGTGACAGTTTTTTTTTCAAGATAGGGTCTCAAGAACTATTTGCCAGAGATGGCGTCTAACCATGATCTTCCTGATCTCTGTCTCCTGAGTAATTACAGGCCTCAGCCATGGACACCCAGCAATGACCTTCTTACCTCAGCCTCCCAAGTACTAGGATTACAGGCACATGCTACCACACACAGCTCCTGTAAGCATTTTAGAAAATTAAAGACACAAAGGCTTACTTAGCGTTGTTCAGCTTGTCCTCATCAGAAAGGTTGTCCCTCTTGACCATCTCCTGACGAACTGCATTTGGTGCTATAGCATCTATTAAATCTAGGACAGGTAAGCTCGTGCTGATAGATTTATCCTAGGAAATAAAGAACGATGAGCGCTCATCAACACCTCACCTTTAATTACTCATGAAGGTCAGCCTCTTCTGGTCACAGTCACACAACCAAAACCAATCTATACATTTTCTCTGTACTTACTATTTAGCTTTCCTGAAACCAGGACACATGACAAGCTACTTAAAATATGATTTTCCTTCAATCTTTATATAAATCATCCTGTAGAGGGTTGTCACCAGTCTTGAGTAAGCGTTGGGGACAAGACAGCTCCTACACATACTAGCTATCATATCTGTTCTATAAAAAAAACTATAAATAACTGTCAAAGGGGAATAGATGAATCTTAAATTAATAATTTTTCAAATTCTGCTAATATTATTTTATTTCTTAGACCATGAATTCCTAAGAGTTCACTTAATGTTTTTCAGAAAGAAAACTGAATGGTTTAACATTTAAAATGACTGTTCTCCTGGTTTTGCTGATTTAATCCTCATTTTTAATCCTAATAGCCTAGTAAGAAAGGAATTCTGATCCTTGTTTTAATGATGAAGAACAGGAAGTTCAGATGGCTCAAATGACTTGTTTAAGTAAGTACAAAACAAGTGTTAGAACCCATGACAGCCTGACTCAAGGGCCCAAGATACTCTCCCTTTTGAAGTTTCTTCCAAGGCAAGTTCAAAATGGACACCCAAATCCTACTAGATGGAGTGCTGTTGCCCAAACAGCCTGAGCAGCACAGACTCCACCTCTCACAGCACTGGCTTCCCTTTTCCCAGCTGGAACCCTCTTCGCCTCTCTCTCCATCCTAACACAGCCCTTCTTTTTCCTCTCAATCCAGACCCTCAAAAGGACAAGTGCTTCAGGGAAAGCTGATCCCATCCAAGCCTCTAGGAGTGAAACTGAATGAGTCTAGGCTGTGCATGTGACATAGGCACAGGGTGATAGACATTCTTTTTAACATACAAAGCACACAGTGTATAAAGAAATACACGGTATATTCCTATAATACAATTTCACAGGGAAGAGGCAATTAGGGAAAAGGTGTGTGTCCAAAACATTCCTTACAGGTAGAACAATGGGAAAAAAAGGTTAAAAAACAGCAGTCGAAGATTAATAAGGTAATTTTATCCTATTACCACAATGATTTTAATTTGCGACTGATTTAATCAGGCTATGGAAAACCAGCAACCCCTCTTCCTGGATGTGAATGAGGGGCTCACAGCTCTGTCACACAAGCTGCCATCTGATCACCAAGAGGAGAACCAGCTTAGGGAGGAAGCTGGCTTGTCAGATGGCAAAGCAAAGTTGAGAAGACAGCCTGAGTCTTGAATGACACTCTGCAGTTACCGCCTCAAGTAGCCCTGAATCTACCCCACCTCTGCATTTCTGTTACTCTATTCAATACCTTTATTTTCAGTCTAAACCACTTTAAATTGGGTTTCTGTTTCTTGAAGCCAAAAGCACCCTTTCCTAGCACCTAAAATGGATTGTCATGACATTCTTGGGAATGTTAAGATAATACAAATAAAACCATATTACACAGTTCCTAGCCAAATGTGGGTCCTCAATGAATGTCTGATAAACAATTTGAAGAGTAACAGGATGCTTTTGGGGGGCCATGGGCTTAATTTGTGATTTTTAGAAAAAATTAGATTCTTACAATTCAGACTTTGAAAGGGAAGATATGGTAATCTGTAATTTTTTTTTATTGGCAACTTCTCTATTCATGAAAATTTTCTGTATGTGTTCTCTCAATGTTTGCAGACCACCTACATGAAAATCACCCAGGGTGATTGGTAAAAGTGCAAATTGAGAGCATTGCACTCAATTTGCCTTGATCCCCAGAACCTCAAGAAAAGAAAAAGAAAAGGGAAATTTATCTCCATTCAAAATTATAAATAAGGTGATCTGTGGATGAGGGTGGGAATCTACAATTTTCTAGATGACTCTACACTGTTAAACTTCCTAGAAATTAACTTAGTATTTATGTCATTCTATAATAAATTTAAAACTTCTATGGGCTTACCACTCAGATATTTCTGATGCTTCAAACACACATTATTTAAATATGCTATATTTTGATCATTTTTGACATGATTATAGCACTTTGAATATTTCTTGATTGAGGTTTAGGAAACAAGGACTTTTTTTCCTACCTACTTCTTTATAATTTACCTTGGAAAAAGCTTTTACTACGTTGAATGAAAAGTTGGTTCTAAATATGATATCAGAGTCCTTCTTATTTCCAAGACAGTAAGCCTGTCTTCTAAGTCCTCCAATTTGTACATAATCAGTGAAAGACACTTTACTGTTGCAAACCAGTGTGGGCTGAATGAAAAGTCTTGGTTTGGTATGTCAATCCATTTCATCATTATTCCTTTTCCTTTCTTTAAGCTGATCATTTAAAAATTGTGTGAGCAGTACCAATTTCTATAATCTTCAAGAGAATAAGCCCCCTTACCACCTCGATTAGCCCTGATTGACCCTGAATTGTAGCATCTTAGTTTGATCAGTACTATTCTCAGAATATTCTTTTCTATCCCTCTTTATTTCCTAAAGTGGAAAATCAGTGATGGGCCACCAAGGTTCCCTAAAAGACTTGAAGGAACCCCTCCACATACAATGCCCTTCCTATATGGACCGTGCCAGTGGTGTAGTGGGCCTCGTTTATTGAGTCCTTACTGTGTGACAGGTACTGTGAAGTTCTTTACATTCAGTTCTTTATTTAGTCTGACAATACTCCTGTAAAATACATATTATTAATACTTCCACTTTGGACTCAGGGAACTGAACACAGAAAAATTAATAACTTGCCCAAGGTCACACAAATGTTTAGCCAGACATGTTCTGTTTTCTTTAACAGATGCAGCCCAGCTCTGAGTACAAACTAAAGTTTCTGTAGAACAGAAGTCCTCACACACCATGTTCCCCTTAGCTGCCTCACACCATATTGCCAACACCCCATACCATGATTCTTGTTTGCTTATTTGCTTCCTTCCCTGAACAGTGAGCTCTTTGAGGACACTCTGTAGCCACAGTGACTAGTAAGGAATGTGACACAGGGTAGGCTTTGAATATTTATGGAATGAATGAGTGACATGTCAAATAGTGAAGTGGTTGAGCCAAGTCAAAGCCAAAGCCACACAGCTCCAAAGCTTGGCGTTCGATCTGTAGTACACAGACCTGGATGTGAAGCCCAGCTGCTCTGCCGAAAAGTTGTAGGGGTGGCAAGTTATTTACTTTCTCTGATGCTCACCTTTTTGTTCCTGTTGTTCAGACAATGAACAGACACAATGTCAAGGGCTTAGCGCAGCCTCACGCAGGACTCACTAAATGGCAATTGTGATTACTGTTATTTTCTGACATATCACCTCCTTCTCTTCTTGGTGAGGGAAAGTTACTTTGCAACTGAAAAGGGCAAAGTCTTTTCTGAGATGTCAAGCTCTGCCTTAACTGTGATTAGTATGGTCTTACTGATCCTGCAATTATAACCTTCAGACCTAGTGCCTTCTACGGCTGGAAAAAACTTCTCCCACCCCACCTATTCTTTTTCCCCCATATTCTGCCACATTTCTTAACCCTGTGTACTCTCTGAATATTTGCTTCTTATCCAGCATCTGCTTAATAGCAAGCACTTCTGCAATGTCTCTACCTACTCAGTTCTAAGAAAGCCAGGCTGTCACGTATGCTGCTCTCTGAGCATCCCCTCTTTGCAAATACCCATTTTCAACTATCTGTAATTTAGCTATCACCAGGCCTGCATTCCCAGTGTCAATGTCACCTCTCATCCAAATCCCCATTTCCTGAGCATTTCCTCAAACTCTATAAACTGGAGACTGAATTCATCACCTACCCAGGAAGCAATGGCCCCTCATGACATCTCCACTTGTGAGTGTTATCCAATTTCTAAATTACCCAATCCCAAAACATTAAGAATTTTGACTCCTCTTGCCCTCCCCTGCTTCTCTAAATCAAGAAGCCAAGTCCTAGTTGTTCTATTGCAAAAGCTCTTAGGTAATCTTTTCCATCTTTCCCGGCCCATCTCGACTCCATTCAGACCCTTACCACTGCACATTGTGAGTCCTGCCTCAGACTCTTCTGTACCACTGTCCACCAACCCATCCCGTTCACCAGATTCTTCCCAAAGTAATTGCCTTTCCTAAATTACTCCCTTTGCCCAATATCCTGTACTTAAGCCAGATTCCTCTGCCATATTGGCCAAGTCAATTTCTTGCCCAGAGTCCCTTATAAACCACGCTCTCCAGCCCAACTGTTTCTCCTGTCTCAATCTCGCCTTTATTCAAGATAGACCTTCTAGCTTGTTATCCTCCCCTTCCCCCTCCTCAAATCAATCCCTCCTCCATCTGATTCTCAAATCAACTTTCTTCCTCACTCTTTACTGACCATTGAGTTGGAAATGATCAGTTATATCTCACCCAGAATAATACTCATCGTATATCTTGGATCTTATCATTTACTGTGTGGTACCATTACCTCTTCAGTTATACAAATTTTTTCTTCAAATAAACGTTGAATGCTGAGGGCCAAATTAATTTCTTATACTTTATGTCTTTACCTAGAAAAGCTACTTAATAGTAATACTACAATAAGTATTAGTTTGCTCCTAAGTGGTTCTTCATTGTATTTAATTATGTCTTGCTATTTTAATAAATTAATATGCAAATGAATATAATTTTAGCCTAATGATTTTAAAGAGTAACTGCCAGTTGTAGAATTTTATAAAACACCCCACTTCTATTTTTACATTTTTAAGTTGTTTTATATCTAAGACACATACAAACTGAAAATTACTTGTTTTAAGGTAAGCAACAATAAAAACTCAATAGATCTTCCCAAGATAGAAAAGAAGAAAGAGGGACTTGAACCTAGTACTCAGACAACAACATCCAGCTGTCCTGCTGAAACCATTTTGGGCCTTCTTTTTTCATAAAGCTGAAAAGACTAAATTTGTCCATTTCTGACATTTCTTCAGAAATGTTGTTAAACACTTAGTGCAAAGGCAAAGAAAGGAATAAAGATGGGTAGCTATCGCTTAGGATAGCTTAGTGTTTTATCTGTTTGCACTTTTTTATTTCACTAAAAAAATACAATTTTTGATTGCTGTTTTTCACGTATAATAAAATGACAAACACAAGGCTCATGGAATGAATGTGTACAAGCAGACATGCTTCTTTGTAGCTAACACCAGGTTGCATGCAAAAGCAAAACACGATGAAAATTAGTGGGTATGTATGTGCAGATTACATTTTGAGTGCCCGATGAATCATCCACAAATGCTCAGAGTGAGTGTTAAGTGCATTATGAAGCCAAACAAGACTTTTTTTTCCTACCAGTTTTCTCAATTCCCACTGGAATCGGTTTGGCTGGCTCTGCTATGCCTTGGAAATGATGCCAATACAATTCTGAGACTGCTGCTAGGGAGTACAAAACATCACAGGTCCTACAGAAACAATGGCTTTCATCGTTCTTTTTCATTTGACAACTGGAGTTTTTTGGCTCAATTCTATTTCTTTTTAAAGATTAGGTTACCACAGTACATTAACCTGAATTTATACTCAAGTGGACAACCAATCAAAAATGTAAGAATTCAAACTGAATATTTCTAGTTTACACATGCCAAATAATCAGTATACCTAAATTTATAACTTCTGTGCTTCTAAAATATAACATGAATGTAATTCCCATTAAAAATTCCTTCCATTAAACTTACAGAACTTTAAAAAATATTCTTAATTACCTTGAAGCTAGAAATGGACGTTTTTTTGTTTGCATTTTTAAGAGTCTGATTGACCCATTTAATAATAATGTCATCATTTACTTTTTCACCATCCCCAAGATCCGATAACACTTTCAGCGTATACCTGCAACAGAAAAGACATGTACTTAAGACTGAAAGGGAGGAAATTTGCTTTCACATCATTTAGATCAGTACTCATATAAATATTTCAGAAATAGCCAGACACAGTGGTGGCACGCCTGTAATCACAGCACTTGGGAGGCTGAGGCAGGAGGATCCCATGTTCGAGGCCAGCCTGGGCTGCACAGTGAGACCCTGTCTTAATGAGGAAAAGAAAGGGAAGGGAATGGGAGGGAGGAGGAGAGGGGAGGGGAAGAGAAGAGGAAAGGAAAGGAGAGAGAGAAAGAGCCAGGAAGAAAGGATGGAGGGAGAGAGAGAAAGAGAAAGGGAATGAAAGGAAAACAGTTCGGTTCTAATAGTTCTGATTTTAGTCTGGCATTTGCACTTGGTTTCATTCCAAAGTTACAAAACTCACTTATCAAAAATAAAACCTACCATATGGTATTTAAAAAATTTAAAGGGGTACCTTCACAGGAAATCAATGTGAGTCAATGCCCTGTATAGCTATCCTTATCTCAACCAGCAAAACCCCTTGTTCCTTCCTATTATTGCTTATACTCTCCCTACAACAAAATTAGAGATAAGGGCAAAATAGTTTCTGCTGGGTATTGAGGGGGGGGAGCGGGAGGGGGTGGAGTGGGTGGTAAGGGAGGGGGTGGGGGCAGGGTGGAGAAATGAACCAAGCCTTGTATGCACATATGAATAATAAAAGAAAAATGAAAAATAAATAAATAAATAAATAATAAAAAATAAAGGGGTACCTTACAGAGCCATTTTTAAGAGGTATTAATAAGGGCTGGTAGGGTGGCTCAAGTGGTAGAACGCCTGTCTAGCAAGCGTGAGGCCCTGAGTTCTAATCCAGTGCCCCCCCACACAAAAGGCATTAATAAAAAAGTGATTGTATTTCTAGAGATTAACTCATTTTTAAAATAAAATATAACATAAAATTATATAATTTATATCATCAATAGCAAATATTTGGAAAAACCAATGTATTATATGATATATATTTCTTGTGTTCATTAATCTTCGAGAATAGTTAAACGCTTAGTTCCAATGGCCGTTGAAGGAAACTGACAGAGTTGTACACACGCTGACCTTTACCTTCGCATCAGTTGCCATAGCAGTGCCAGCGTGAGGGTTGCATTCCCTTCATTGAGGTCCTGCCCCCCAATGCCAACCAAGGAGAATTTGGCCTCGTTCTTCCCAAGCTCCACTGCATAGTTACAGTTTTCAATCTGTAAGCAAGCACAAGTTTTGGTATGAAAACACATTTTTAAAAACATGTCGCCTGACTATGCCAACCCAGTTCAATCATCTGAAAAAGTGTTACACTAGAAAAATAATTAAACTAGGTAGCAGAATGACTAGCTGAGAAGTGTTAAGATCTTTCCTACCCTAAAAAGTCTTATTCATGGAAAATCTGTGACTAAAAACCTAGGTTTCCTAAATTCTACTAGTAGAGACCACAAATATTGTTTTGTTTAGATTTAAAATTAAGGAATAGAACAATGATTGTTCCATTAGGAATCTAATTTTTGTCCCATATTTTCTATCCAGATCCTACACTGAAATTTAGCTCTTTCCTAGTGACATAAATCCAGTTAAGTCCTTTCTATACTTCATTTGCTTTTGTCTACCCTGGTCTCTGCAGAAGTTTCTTAACTCCCAGCATTGAGTGCTACAGTTCTTTTATCAAGACATCTAAATTCTTGCCAGGTGCTGGCACTCACTCCTGTAATCCAGCCACTTGGGAGACTGGGAAGATTGTAGTTCAAGGCCAGCCTGGGCAAATAGTTCCTGAGACCCCATCTCCAAAATAACCAGAGTAAGAGCATTGCCCAAGTGGCAGAGCGTCTGCTTTGCAAGTGCAAAGCCCTGAGTTCAAACCTCAGTCCCACAAAAAAAAAAAGGCATATATGAATTCTCATGTATTTGAGGGGGTTTTGCACCAGTGAAATTATAAGCTCTTAACATCTATTATCACAAGTAAGAAAAAGTGTTTGCTTAATACTTTTTGGAATAAACATTTAGTTAAGAAAAATTATATAACTGGTTTCTCTTTATTTTTTTCCCAAGTTAGTTAAGGCTAACAGTTCAACAGGAGATACACAGATACATTTGTTTCCAAGATATAAAAACTATTTCTAGAAAAGGAAAGAGACTACACAATAGAATTTTTACAAATAAATGGATCCTGCTTTAAAAAGGGAATGTAAATCTCCAAAGTTCAGCTTATTACAAATAAAAATGAACCTGCAGTAACATCTGCCTGGTTCATTACATAAATCCAGAAAAATATCAGGCATCAGTGGCTCACACCTGTAATCCAACTACTCAGGAGGCAGAGATCAGGAGGATCATGGTTCAAAGCCAGAGTGGGCAAATAGTTTGTGAGACCCTATCTCAAAAATACCAGACACGAAAAGGGCTGGTGGAGTGGCTCAAGGTGAAGGACCTGAGTTCAAGCCCCAGTACTGCCAAAAAAAAAAAAAATCCAGAAAAATATCTGCTATGGATTTATTTTTCACATTCAAGGACATACTATTTCAAAAAAATTCCTAGTAGCCATATTTAATTATGCCTGTTTAACAGAAATAAGTGCTGTAGAAATGTTTCTAGCTAAAAAAAATGGGATAGATATCCAATTTCTGGAGTATCGCATTAGCACTCTGAGTGTGTAACAGTGTGAAGGGGGAGAGCAAGAAAGGAGGTATTTCCTAAGGATATGCACTGGAGTGGGAGAATTTCCTAGCAAACTGTAATGATGACTTCTGAGTAAAATGTCTTTCGGTGAAGGGCCATCTGTTTATAATTAGTTGGACAAAAATTCTTAGAGGAGACAATGGGGAGAAAGCACATCAGGGTTGCTGGAGAGGCTGGCAGAATGCACGAGGAAAGGGATCTGGAAATGGGTGCTAACAGAAGGGAACAGATGTGCCGTTTTTAGCAGCACTTAGCTGAACACTTGTAAGATCTGGAGAGGTAGCAAAGTAGAGAAAGAATGAGGAATTAGACTCCCAGAGGGAAGTCATGTTTGTCATAATACCTAAAACCCTAAAAATGGGTCAGCTAAGGATGTAAATACAGGAATTAAGAGTCTGGGTTTTTGTGACAATTCTGATTAGACTTATATTGTACATTAGTTACATCTCCCACATTGTCTCTTCCCTCAACCCCATTCCACCCCACTTGAAGCAACTGCAAGAGGTTTCTTTGATTATTTCATATAAGTATGTGAAGTCCGTCAACCATATTCCCTCTCCTTAATCTCTTTCCTTCACCCCCCCACTAGCAATCCCCACACACTGTACCTATTTTACAGTCCTGTCATCTCAATGTATCCCTCTGTGGGTGTGCTTTACTTTGGTCCATTCAACCCCTTCCATTTCCCTCCCTCTCCCTTTTACCTCCCACCCCCATTTTTCAACAGCATTCAGTACACACCCTTATATCCTCTACCTTCATATCTTATGGTATGCCATATCACTGATGCTCTATCGTTCTCTCTTCCTTTCCTTCTTTCCCCGAGTTCCATAGACTAGATCCACTGTCACAAACATGTTCCACCCCCTTGAGTAACGAATCTATCCTAATAAAAATTATATAAAAGAAAGAGTCTTGGGCTAAGAACTGAGCCTTGAAAATACCTAGTACTGCCAGACTCAAAGATGAGAGCTAGTAAGAGGCGAGAAGGAGCACAAAGAAGGAGATAAAAAAGTTGGGGTGAATGGAAGAATTGATTACCAAGCACCTCGAAGGCTTTGGGCAAAAGCAAAGCTTGAATTATGTGGACAATGAGAAGAGGGACACAATGGTACACAAGGAGCCACGTGAAAAGAAATGCTGAAAAATAATGAAGAAAAATGTTGAGTGGTGCAGTTTTATGAACTTTGTAAGAGAAGTAAAGCGATGTCTGTTGACCGTCCAAAGTCCATAAACCAATTTTGTGACACTGTGTCACGGAAGTACTGCTTCTTCATTTCTTAAACATCTTGAATTTATCTCAGGCTTTATGTTTCATTCTATAAGTAGCTAATACTTGCTGAAAGGAAACATTCTGCTATGATTCATTTGTGACATTTTGTAATTAACATTAAAATTCCAGGTATAATGAACGGCTTAGTTTGTGCTTTCCTGTTCTATTTGACATCTGAAGTTGTGAAGAAAAAAAGACTTATGTGAAATTAGTTAACATTTTCTGAATTCTACTCCCATGAAAAGAACTACAGGCAAATCCAATAAAATTTTAGAACCCAGGCAGTCCAGCTGCTAGAAATACTGAAAAAATTAGTGTAAATCTCATGTACTTTCAATATAATTTCCTTGTAAAAAGCCTTTAACTTTTTTTTTAAACTTACACAGTGTATAAATATCTGTCCATTCGAGGGAAAGAGGAAGACTGGAAATCATGTTGAATGCATGTCTGTGTGTGTATCTCAAACAAATCAGATTCTTATCCTGTGTATATGCAATTTTATATCTTTTTTCCATGCCTCTACTACAAAAAAACCCCACTACTTTTAGTGCACATTTTACTTCATTTTGCAAGTGCATTATAATTTATTAGTGCTTGATTGAGCAACAAGGTGGTTTGCTTTTTTTTGTTCTGTAGCATACCTTGAGAAACATTTGACACACATCTTGACTTTCTGATTTTTTTCCCCCAGTACTGGAGTTTGAACTCAGGGCTCACTCTTGTTAGGCAGGTGCTCTACCACTTAAGCCACTCCTCTGGCCCTCTTTGCTTCAGTTATTTTTCTAATAGGGCCTCACCTTTATGTTCCGGCTAGCCTGAACCACCTATTTATGCTTCTCCCATAGCTTCGATGGCCTGTGCCACCCCATCTAGCTTTTATTAAGATGGGGTCTCACAAATTTTTTTGCCTGGGCTAGACTTGAACCATCAGACTGATCTTGCTTCCTAAGTAGCTGGGATTAATGCATCAGGCCTTAAATTGTGTTTCTTATTGTGGGTGAAAAGCTTTTCTTTCTGTGAATTGTTCACTCATGTTTTCCCATTTTCCTATTATTATTTCAACAATAGCAGCTGAGTTTTAGTAATTGATTTGTGCAAACTATTGATATGTTTACAATACTAACCATTCATCATCTCTGTTGCAAATAGGGGTTTTCAGGTTTATGGTTTGTCTTTAACTTTTGATTCAGTTTTAAATTCAAATGCTATCAACTATATCATTTTTTCCTGTGTAACTTATTTATTCCAAGAGTAGAGAGTCATAACTTTTATTTCCTTCCATTTTATTCCACTTAACAGGTTAACTCTATCTTTAATCCATCTGGTATTACTATGGCAGTAGACACTTGGTGAAGACAGCTTTTTCCTAACCAGATAGATAGCTGTTCTTCCTGGCATCAGTTTTTGGATGAGTGTACCTCTCCCTATTAAATTTAGCAAACACCTATCAAATATTATATTCATAGATTTTAGGATAGGTTTCTAGGCTATTTTATTTTTATGTCCATTCTAAAATTACTTCAGTAACTATATCTTGGAGTGGTACTGGGGTTTGAACTCAGCATCTTGTGCTTGTTAGGCAGGTGCTCTACCACTTGAGTTATACGCTCAGCCCTTTTTTGCTTTATGTTATTTTTCAGACTAGAATCTCATGGCTTTTTGCCTGGCTTCTTTGTTGATTTGGGACTGATCTCAAACCAGGATCCTCCTGATCTCTTCCACACAAGTACTTGGAATTTCAGGCATGAGCCGCTGCACCTGGCCCATACATTTTTATTTACAGCCACAGATTGATTAGTGACAGGGCCATGTTCTAAGAAACGTGTCACTGTGGCCCTGATGTCACTAGCTGATGTAATAGAAGGATGTGTAATGGCATGTGTGGTCCCTCATGTGGTTATGTGACTGCATTTTCTAACATCTCCCTTGACATGCTTGGGAAAGTTCCTGACTGCTCAGGCCTGTTTCTTTTCCACTGGAACTTTAGAACCACTGCAAAGTCCCCCCACTACATATATGAAGTTCCTTTCTCTACCCCAACTCTACACACACAGAGTCTGTTTAGAATTCTATCTGGATTTATTTTCTACCTACCTATAAGTTAACTGGGGAAAAAATTAGTATCCTTATACTATCTAGACTTTCTGCTCAAGAATATGGTTATATTCCACTTATTCAACTACAGCTTTAACATCATGATTTCATAATAACCAAATACATAAACTACAGCAAATTTAGTCCATTAATTTATTTAGTATACTTAAATTATTTATATCATTTTAAACAAAAAGATGAAGTTAAATGAAAGTATAAAAATTTAGAGCTGGGTGTGGTGGCTCATGCCTGTAATCACTTCTCTGTGGAAGGCCCAGGGAGGAAGATTACAGTTTGAGGCTAGTCCAGGCAAAAGCATGAGACTCTCTCTGAAAAAACAAACTAAAGCAAAAAGGGCTTGGGGGCATGGCTCAAGTGGTAGAGCACCTACCTAGCAAGCATGAGGCCCTGAGTTCAAACCCCAGTACCAAAAAAAAAAAATACTCCTACATACTTTACTTTAGAAAGGAAACGACCCTGAAACAGAAGGTAAAAAGGAAATGCAAAAACAAAGCCAAAGCTGTTTCAACAGGACAAAGACGAACACCAAGGAGCCCATGGATCTGAGTAAGAATGACCCTGCAGACAAGAGTTCTTTGCACTCACTGCCAGATATTCTGTCCACCAGCTGTCACCACACCACAGCCCTCCTCCCCCGTGTCTGATGGCTTCCCACCTCACAGTTTACAGCCTCAGCTCCCTCACCTGCGTTCCAGGTTCTCAGCATCTTGCTTAGTGTTCACAGTGCCCACTGTCAAAGTCCTCTGCCACCGCAAAGGACTTGCTGTCCTCAATCCTCAGGCCTGGGGGATTGATGTTCCTATGACCCCTCGACCCCTTCTCAGTCTCTTTGTAACAAACCCTCTCCATTTGCTAAGGCCTAACTCAATCCAACCTCCAGCAGGAAGACTCAAGTGCAACCAACACACGGCCTTTTCTTCCTTAAAGCCGTAACACTTGCTTTGCCTACACTGCACTGCAGTTGTCTGCATCTTACCCTCCTGGTTTCCTTAGGACTACCTGAGGACCAACGCCATGGTCACCCTTTCTGCATGCCTTGCCTGTGTAGGTAACAGGTAATCGATAAACACCTGCCAGCTCATGTTGGCCATTCTGAAATAACAGTGCACTTCTGGTGCATCTCCGAGAACTTTAAGTTCTACAACTCGTTACAGACAAAAGCCATTCTGAAGTGCCTGACTGGGAGAATTGCCTCCATCTTTCCAAACATTTATTGAAGCAAACTTATAAAAACGGCGATGGAGCGTCACACACTGTGAGACAAAACTGTGGGGACAGAGCACGTTTTACCAAGCTCTGTGAAACCCTCAGTCCTCTGTTTTCTACCAGAACAATCACAGCCATGTCATTCCATTCACCTTCTTCATGTTCCCTCCAAGAGCAGGGTAAGGGGGCTTGTTGATATGGCTCCAGTTGACAGGCACTCGGATCATTTCGTAGAGCTGAAAGATCACCAACGCATCTGCAAGGTCACTGAAACAGGAAGGAAAGGCGGATGAGGCAGGAAACAGTGTGGATGCCATCTGACTCTGTTAAGTACATTGCAGAGGGATGGATGTCTTCAAAACCACAGGGCAGTCAACTAATGCTTATAAAATGACATTTGACCAAGAACTTCCAATCATAAATGTTTACAAAGACAGAGATACATACGTATATGCACATATACAAAGATATTTGTTGCCACCATATTTATAAATTTAGAAATAAATCCCTGACTTTCGAGGCTGTTGAGTGAACTATCCATGCTATGAACTCCTGGGCCTCCACCACACAAAATAAAATAGATTTCTATGTACTGATATGAAAGGTTGCTAGCAGAGTGGCTCAAGTGGTAGAGCACCTGCCTAGCAAGCATGATGCCCTGAGTTCAAATCCCAGTGACACCAAAAAAAAAACTGACATGAAAAGCTTTACAAGATACTTTATGTTTTTTTAAAAGCAAGTGGCAGAACACTTCATATGCTTTTAAAAAACTAGAGCCAAATGTATTTATTTAGCACATATACTCAGGGCTGTTAATAGCAATGGCCTGTGGGGCAGGAAAGAAGGAAATGTGAGTGACGGGGATAAGGAGGGGATTATCTTTGACTTCATTCTGTATACTTGTGCGTTTCTTGAAGCTTACAGAGTAGAATGAGTTCATATGTTACTTATGTATTATGATTCTTTAAAACTTTCCTCAAAATAGTTACAGGAAAATCACAGCGATTCAGTAGGCAGCTGTTTGTGTTCAGTAATGAAGGTTAAGAAGAAGAAATTAAAAGCAAGTAGGAGTTCTTAAAGCAAGAATCCCACTCCTTTGGATTCAGAAAAGTGAGTTCTCCCAAGAAGCTAACGTTGTCTGGAGAGGCCACTTTTCAGTTCTGTAGGTAAAGACATAAGCAACAGCAACTGATTCTGTAAACTGCCAACTCTGTCGGACATGATGTGGCTTTTCTCTCCCAGCAGCTTATCAACCAGCTCGTTTTGCTAGTGTCAATATTACTTTGCAGCCCTTGACACATGCTGCATGGTGGCGAAGGGAGGCTGGGCCCTGTGTTGAGCGATGAAGTCCAATGTAAAGGCAGTTACGATCTGACTAGGTGATCTGCAAGCACACGGGCACTTGCATAAAAAGTCCAGCTTCTAGATCTCATCCGTGTCATAGTTCTTATTTTAATTGAATTCATGCATATTTTTGTGCAGCATGGTGTTATTATTCAGATCCTGCAGACAGGAACACTGAGGATCAAGGAATTGAACTGAGTTCCACAGACTTCATGATCGATTCCAGAACCAACTGGTCATAGGAAAACTCTAGGAGTGATAGTCCTTAAAATATATTTAATGTTTAAAGATAATTTTTAGCTAAAATCCATATGAGTAATTATAATTGCTTTGCTATGGACTGGGTGTAGGTGGGTGGGGAGCTGAAGATGCTTACAGGTGAGCTGAGGAATACAATCCAAGCACAAATTTATGCACACATGGTTCTGCGCTAGCTACACCCCTGGCTATTGTATCTTCTGTGTTCAATGGTTCTCTTTAAAGTTATACCACACTGGATAATTTTCTGAAAGTTAACAGTCTGTTTCCCAAGGAAAAATTACATATGCCAAGAATCCCTTTAGTAATGTTTCAAGAGCTACACAACTATAATCAAATCCCTTTAAATGAAAAATTTGGTCAGTTCTCCTTTCAACCATCTAGAACTCTAGTGTTCTAGACAATTGTGAAATAGTTATCTTAAGTCTGAACAAATCTTAATCCTCTATTTTTAAATTTAATTTTTAATCATAAACGAAATTAACGTTCATTGTAAAGAAACAAAACCAAACCATACTTCAATTACTAAAATCAGGTCTCCTCACTATTCTCCACTCCTACTTCTTAGGCTGCACAGAGTGCTGTAAGTACCCACCCAGTTCTCCTTTACAACTTCACGTACAAATAAGCACACCACCAATCTTTAAAAGAAATGGGGTCATACTAGACCTATCATTCTTTTCTCTCAATAATATATCAGACACATTTTCAGATCAGTCCATAAAGACCTAATCCTTCCCACCTCCATGTTGGAGTGTTAGCTATTCTTCTACCATAAGTCTCCTGGATATGGACCCCTTCTCATCTAGCTGGAATTTATATATCACTTAAGAGTTTGGCAAATATGATTCTATCACATCAAGGCCAGTTAACAGAATAGGGCAATACTTAATTTAAGTTTTAGGGAATATTTTAATAGATTCCAAGGAGCAAGAAATTACTGCATAATAAACACCCAGTTAGCCATGGAGGTTTTCTCCTATGACATTAATCTTCAGCTCATGTTCAAATCATAATTTAGTTAAACTTCTTTAAGGAGTTTCCTTAACATGGAAATTACTCATTGAGCTCATCAGACATTTGTCCTTAAAAGAACCCTAGCTTAAGCTGAGTTCTTTTGAATTTTCTCAAGGCAAGATTCTATAATGAAGAGGAAAGACATGTTACTCTCATCCACTTAGAAGAACCATGATATCACTAGCAGACAACAGAGGAAAGCACTTGGTAAAATGTTTTCTTACTCTTACCAATGTTAATTATCTATTGCCATTTTTAAACAAGAAAGAGTAAGATCCCACTATTGCAAAAAAATAAAAAAGGAATAAGGTAAAAATTATAATAATTACCCAAAGAAAACAAGCTATTTCCACAAATAAGGGAAAAAAATACATAAACATTACAAAATAATGGAGATGTGACAAAAACTAAAAAATTATTAATTATAGTGAAAAATACTCATGTAATAGAACAATCTACCAGATATTATAGTTATTCTAATCCATTAAGGCTGAAATAATTTATTTTCATGACCAATAAAAGAATAAGGAATATGTTTCCAGATTTCTTTATATCATCATAAAAATTGTAGCTATCTTCATATATCTTTTTAAGTAACATTTTTCTTTTAAAATGTATTGCCAATTCTTCTCATTCTGAAACGCTAAATGTCCTCTAAATTCTTGTAATTTGAGAAGATGTTCTCATGTAAACATAAGGAGAGTTTGAAACTTAAGAGTTGGATCCTGACAGTAGGGCTGAGGCTGAAGGAGTGTCTTAAGTGACAGCATGCTTACTTAAGAACAAGCGTAAGGCCCTGAGTTCAAACCCCAGCACCACCATCTGGGGGCTGGGGTGGGTAAGACAGTAAAGCTGAAACACAGTGCTTACCTGTACAGATGATTAACGTATGGGTTGACCCCCAAGGAATTCATCCAGTTTCGAAACGTCCTCTCCTCTTTACTCTCCCCTAGAGTAGACACAAGTACACACTGATGATCCAGGCCCCAACCATCAAGAACTCTTTAAGCCACTCTAGAAGGAACAAACTGGCCATACATACTTTGCCATGGTTCTTTAGATACCATAATTTCTTTAGAAGGAAAAAAAAAATCCCTTTCCCCACTATTAAGAAACTTCCTTTTGTTCTCTCTCCACCTAGATTCCATAGTTGATATCTGTGAATAACTACTGAGCCATGGTTTCTCTGTGCAAAAACAACAGATAACCTTATGCAGTCTGAAGTTATGACCAGATGCAAAAGGGATTAACTAAGCCTTATAAAACAAAATCTTTTAGCGCTCTGGGCAATACTAGTCTATTAAGCAAAGAGAAAAGTTCTACCTTTCCAAATGCAGTGCTTTAAAATTTGCACAGATTACTGTTTCATACAGGAAACTTTCTGGGCACCCAAATGTACACTTTACACCAAAGGATTTCAGATAGCATTAAAAGCTAGGCAATGATTGTCACTGTTGAAAATGCTCAAGCAACACAGGCTCTACACAGCATCCCGGTGTGTGCTAAGAGACATCACGCTTCATCGTACGTCCCTGGGCTTGATGATCACCTGGAGGACGCAGGTGCCCCTGTGACAATACGACCTCCATGAGCACATACCACCCTGGAGGAAAACGTGAGTACCACGTGCCACAAAGGGGGAAGAGATGTAACCTCCTGCCACGTCTGCCTTGCAGAGGTCTAGGGTTGCACAGACCCTAGACCTATGTGACTTACTGTAATGCTATTTATTGGTCATTTTTCAGCAAAGCTAGGGGACAGTGGAATGATCTAGACTTTGTCTTTCACCAGAACCCTGAAAAGCTGGAATATAGACACCTGTCGTCATGTCTAAACCATAGGCAAGTTCAGATCACTCTCTAGACTTTGGGCCATGTGCGACCCGCAGGACAAGGCTAAAAACCTATAACACTCTGAGCTCCAGGGCCCAGTTCCACAGAGCCGTCCCTACAGTTGTCATTAAGTGCCACAGGGAGTACAGACCTGCCCATCTAGAACCAGAACCAAAACCTTGTACGAGCTAAAGAATTCTGTTACTTTTGCCAGGTGTTCAGGAAATAAATGCCCACCATAATTTCACATGATTTTCAATGCCATTACCAATGCTTTTCCCAGCATCTACTTCAACCCTAGCTCCACTGGATGGCCATATAATTTCCTGCTTAAATTTTGCTCCTTCTGGTCTTCCTAAAAAGTAGCATACCAGTCTGTTGTATCTGCTATGAGCACCTTATAATAAACAATCTACACGAGACCCAAGTTCAACTAAATGTTCCTAGAATCCATGCCTGTCATGTTCACAGGAGTCATTAAATGGGTGCAAATTAAATCCCTGAACAGTCAGCACTATGACATGAACAGAAACACATTGTGGTCAACAGCTTGATACAGGTGACTCAGATTTACCTGTCAGTTGTTGCCCTGACATAATACAGTTATAATGCTCGCTCTCTCTCTCTCTCTCTCTCTCTCTCTCTCTCTCTCTCTCTCTCTCTCTCCCTCCCTCCCTCTCTCTCTCTCTCTAGTTAGGGAAATCCAAATTATGTCTTAAAATTTCGGAGATTAAAAAATTTCCACTTGAAAATCTATAGTATTTCAGTCTTAATAAACTTCAAATTAAAAAATTTTTTCAGAGATTAAGGGTTTAATTTTTTATTAAAATATGCAAATTCTATTGAACCCGATGATATAATGAGTATTTAAATAGACACAAAACTTGACCCAGATGTGGTAATGTACAACTGTAATCCCAGCTACTTGGGAGGTGGGGAGAGGAGGATCACAGATTGAGGCCAGCCTGGGCAAAAGTTAGTGAGATCGTAACTCAACAGCATGCCAGGTGTAGTGGCACATGCCTACAATCTGTTAGAGAGGCAGTGGGTAGAGGGATCACCATCCAGCCCAGGTAAAAGCACAAGACCCTGCCTGAAAAATAAACCTAAAAGCAAAAGGCCTGGCATGTGGCTCCAGTGGTAGAGCTCCTGCCTAGCAAGTTTCAGATCCTGAGTTCAATTCCCATACTGCCAAAAATAAATAAATAAATAAATTTATATTTTGATTCATATTTCTTCTTATTGTTCTCAACTAATTGTTTTATTATCATTTTAAATTTTAACGCTGGAAAGTAAAACAGATTTTATGAGAGAGTATTTATTTACCGGGTGCCATTCCAGGTTGTCTTGGTAAATAAATGCTCAAAACTAGAAGCGCTATGCCTTTGTGAGAGCACGGTAAAGCATCACAAAAACATATGTATTCCAGAAAGAGAAGTGTTTTCTGGATTGCAGACAACAAAAGCAAACTTAGAACTAAAATCTTAATTGCTGATATGCAAGATAGAACTATAAAATATTCCGTTCATTTATAGGTCATCTGCAACTGATGAAAGTTTCAATAAACATAACATATATGGTAACAGTAGGCTGCCAGGAGGACAGAAAAGGAGCTGACATGACACTAACTGTCTCCTCCTCCCACCGTGACCCTTAACCAACTCATAACAGAGGTAAACACATGGTTCAATTTGATATGAAGATCCAATATTTACTTGGGCTTTTAATTTTCTTTAATTTCCTAATGATAAATTCTCTGCCAATGAGGACATACTAATATATGAATTTGGGATGTGGTAAAGTCAAGCATCAAATTTCCTAAGAATCTATGAAAACATAAATTTACAGAGGAAAATATTCCAATGACAGTCAAGGTCAAACTCATTTTTGGCAGTTCTATCAGGACATACATACATTCTAAATTAAGAAGATTGATAAATACTTCCCACAGTGTCTTAACGAACGTAATAATACTGATGGAAATATTTAGCAATCCCAGTCAAACTGAAAAATCCCAAAAGCATGCGAACTCTAGCAAAGGAATCCAAACAACACAACCAGGAGAGCGAGTAAGTTGGAAAGAGCTCTAGCAAGAATCCAGTGACTACAAAAGCAGATCATCTTTTAACGGCACTTTAAACAAGGCCTCCTTCCGTAAGACACAGAGGGATTTTGAAATTGTCCAGACTGATAAAAACTTAGCAGTCTTCCTTTTCACTTTTTTTTTTAATTCTAATCTTTCACCCTGAATTTCTCTTTGCTAAAAAAAAAAAAAAATCTACATTTTTGTCTGCTTCCCTCTCAGTTATACACCTACATGGAGAGTACTGAGCTTATTTAGGGGGTAGAGTAAATAGAATTGATCAGAGTCTTCAAAAACGCCTTTGTTAATCCAAAATATCATTAATCACAAAACTGTAATTATAAGGTGACAAGGACATTATGAACTCTAGTCGTGGCCTTTGAAGGAACAGATCGTGACACTGACTTCTCTTTCAGTCTCACTGGGGACAGAGGAGGTGGATTATGTGAATGGCATGTATCATTTCTTCCCACCAAGAAGAAGCCCTCTCTTCCGTGAACCACAACTCCCGAGGCAATCCTAGGATTGGCGCCTCCCGCAAACTCTGTCATCTCTACTGATCTAGTTCTTGTTCTGATCCGAGCCGTTAGTACTGGTGTGCGTGTGGATGAGGCTGAGGATGGAGAAGAAAGGAAGAGAGGATGGGAAACAGGTAAGGACAAAGAAGAAAACAGGGACGATGTTTTTGTCATCATGCTGATTCATAGCTGTGAGCTTCAATGGCATTCACTCCATGTGACATAGCTAAACGAAACAAAGTGAACTGCATTATAGAAGCTATCAGAAGTTCCTTCAAAGATTACTTGTGATAAAAGATAAGATTTATCACAGGAGAGAGGTAAAGACTTTATATCAAATCATGAAGTCCAATTGTCCAAACTGGTTTCTAGTGTGTTTAGTACAACATCCTCTCGTGATAGAAGGCAAACTAGGTGAGGAGTGGAGCTCTCCACGCCCTCCTCCTCTACTTAGCTAAGCTTCATTTGTGGTTCTTGCTTGTAGTCATTCATTCTGTAGACATAGTAAGACCAATACACAGCATGGACAATGCAAAAAATAAACATCAACCCAGAGGGAAAGAATAAATGCCACTAATAAAAGGAACATTCGGAAAGAATATATTTCTAGAGCAGAGAGAAGCACTAAATACAGTACCTACGTTAGGAGGAGTCAGATCTGCATGGCACGAAGCAAAACAGGAAAGTTACACATTGTGAGGCAGTAACAATAGTCCGCACATCAACACGAGTAACTACAGCTGTTGTCATGTACACTGAGCACATTAAAAAGAGAATAATACTGCAGTCAAACCAGTTTTCAAAGTGGGGAAAGGCTAAATATAATTATTTTTCCAATATATGGTCCGTATTGGGAACAGAGTAACGCTATAGGACCATTTATTAGAATATTTTAAGTGTATGATAGATTTCACTATGGGAAAATGACAGATAAGTAAGAGTCACCCCAGCATTCTCTTTTAACCAAAACCGACTACCAGTTTCTCTAATTTGAACTATTTTGGATGCACAAGCCCACACACACTAAATTGCATTTCCACCACATCTCCAGACCTCTGATAGTGAAGTAAGACAAACCACAAGAAAGAGATACAATGAGTCAACTAGAGTAAGAAAGAACATACCTTCCAGTAAATTTATATCGATGTCGTTGTTATCAGGCTTGTGTAGACATGGATATGTGTTAAAAAGATTAGCTACAAAGGCTAAATTCAGTTTAGGGTTGCCTGAAACCACATCTGCAGGGGTGACAAACTGCCTGCAGCCCAGTTTATCTGCCTCTTGGAGCATGAACTCAGCGCGCTTCAGGTCATTTTTCTCCTAAACAATGAAATAAAACAAAATGGTCAAGATTAAACTGTGGATTGGTGTAATTTTTTATAGGCAAACATATTTATAAGCAATTACTTTTCTGCAAATAATAGTTTACAAGCATCACAAATCAACTTCCCCATTTGTTTTAAAGAAAAAAGGACAAGTCTTTTAATTTTCTTGCTGGGATCACTGAGAAATACTTAACCCTAATTGCTAATAAAACTCAAGTGAACCTCAGTGAGTGCCTGCTGGGAACCAAAAGCCACGGTCTGACAAGGTCGCTGTGGCTTTGCAGCATTCCGACAAGGTTGGAACCTGCAGGTGCACCATGCCTCTATCACGGTGGGAAGGAACGCTAAGTGGTTTCCCTTGACTGAAAAGAAGTTTATACTTAGTCAAGGACACTGGCAGTGAAAATACAGGCTGGCAAAAATAGAAAGATTGTAACTAGGTCAGAGTGTTTTGATGTTTAAGTCTCTTCCTCTTTTGTATAAAGCTTGCTGAGATAAATAAAATTTTGCCAGTTGGTCATCAGCCTGCTGGCCCTCTCGATATGTGTTTTGTCATTCCCTCCTGAGTGACTGAGTCCTTTCGTATGTCTTGTCTTGTTCATTCCTTTCCTGAGCCCTTTTGGGTCAAGGACCTCTGCAATCCCAGGAAGTGCATAATGGTTAAAGTTTGAAAACAAGAGCATCTTGTAGAGCACCCTCTGGAAGACATGTTTAGTTGTTTCACCCACACACACACACACACACACACACACACACACACAGAAAGCATAGCTCACAAATGAAAAACTCTGGAAACAAACAAAACAAGCCAAATACCTGTAAGCAGGAGAGTAAAAGAGTGTCACTAGACTTATTAATTCACACAATGATACACAACAATATGAGTGAATCAGAAATATAAGTTAAAAAAAAGCACTAGAAATTTAAATGCATGAAAAAATTTTATATGAAGTTAAAAAGTAAAGTAAAAATTTAATTTCATACATAAAAAAGCAAACGAACAATGACTACAAGATTCCAGATGGTGGTTACCACATTGAGGGTGGCAGAGGCACAAGGTAGGGAAGAACTACACAGCTAAGTGAAAATTAATGTCAAGGTCTTCGTTTTCATGATGGATTAAGGTTCATGAGGCTTGTCGCAATCTCCAAACAATCACAAACAAAAATAAATAAAAGAGGGGCACGCATGGATCCACCCATCAGGAGAGTGCATCATAACCAAAGATTATAACCTAATTCTGTTCACCAGAATTACAAAGTAATAAAAATGCATACACCTCTAATCCCAGCAGTCAAGAGAGTGAGGCAGGAGAATCACAAGTTTGAAACCAGCCTGGGCTACACAGTAAGACCTGTCTCAACAAATAAACAGCAACCACCAAAAAAAAAGAGTAAAAACAGAACAAAATTGGAGAAAGAGAGAGTCAACCCTATAAGACAAGGAAAAGCTACCAAGGTAGACGTCAACAAATCACAATATATAGACCTTACTTGGATCTTAATTCGAATGACTCTACAAAGAAATTCTGACATTTACAAGAGAATTGTAACAATGACCACATGGTGTTAATGACTGTCATTAATTTTATTGGGGATAGGTAGTATGATTATATTAAAAATATCTTTATCTTCTAGAAATGCATGCTGAAGTATTTATTAGTGAAATGATGCTATGTCTAGAATTTGCTTCAAAATAACGTAAGAGAGAAACAGGGAGGAAATAAGTCCGCTGACTGAGAGTTGATCAGTGTTTAACGGGTATGGGCATACAGCATTTTAATATACTAAGTCTGTTTGAATATACTTGAAATTTTCCTTAGCTTTTTAAGTACTTAAAGTAATTTGCATACTATATTTCTGACCTATTTCATTATACTAATATGAAATATAATTTATTAGTAATGACTCAAGTTGTAAGTGGACCACGATCTGTATCAGTGCTTCCTATGCCATAAACACTAGGAATTTCCACATTTTATTTTGCATATTTTCGAAGGTAAGCAATGGAACTGTTTGCCAGTTGCTTAGCAATCTAATAACACCTTGCAGCTTCCTTTCCTGGGGCACACCCGCAGTCACGAAGGCACCCTGGCTCCAGGTGGGTTTCACCAGGGAAATGTGGACATAGGGTCAACTCCACACTGGAGGTTAGATTCCTGCTATTTCTTCTCAGTCTTGACAGCCGGGTGGCTTAGCTGGAGATCTGTAGCCTGGGGCACAAGGAAACGTGTGAAGCAGAGGGTTCGGCTTCAAGGATGGGCTGCGGACTTTACCAGGAGGCTGTCTGTGCAGAATTACCATCCACACTGGACTGACTGGACTCACTAGCTAAACTCACAGTCAGACAGAACAACAGGAGTCTTTATTCCCATTTTCTGCAGGGGGAGCAGGGAATGTTTCTCCCTTTCTTCCCCATTTCGCCCCACTTTTAGCCTATTATACTAAATCCCTTTCCTAATAAACTTTATTATTACTTCCACTAAAGAAAAATTAAGTAGAACAGTGGTTACCAGAGATGGAAGTGGGGGTTATGGTTTAATGAGTACGGGGTGTCACTATGGGGTCATGAAAATGCTCTAGAGACAGGGAGTGATGACAGCTGGACAGCAGTGCCATTGCACTGAATGGCACTGGGTCATGTGCACAAAAATGGTAAAACTTGTGTAATGTATAATTTTACCACAGTATGCAAAGACAACGAAGATTGCGCTCACGTTAAATCCAGACATGTCAATGGCAACAGCAGGACCATCTCCTCGGTCACCTTTAGGAGCGATCTGATTGAGCAGGTGAAAATAGGCTCTTGAATCCTTCAAGGAAAGAATGAACTCTTGTCATTTTTAAAGTGATAAAAATGATGATAAAGTCATCATTAAATTTAAGGGAAAAAAAGTGCTCAAATTGAGGAAATCGCCCCCATCTTAAAGAAAAGAAAAACAAACAGTAACTTTAACAATCCAGAATTACTTATAGGATTCTGAATGTACCTCCGAGCTTCTGCCAATGCTGCCCCCTGGACTGCAAGCCCCGCCCCTTACCTTTCTCATTTGTTCACATCCCCAAGCATCAGTGTCCCTGGAGATTCCCATCAAATAGTTTCTCCTGGAAGACTTCCCTAGCTTCTTCAGAGTGAGCCAAATATCCTCCTCTGCGTGGCACAGCGCCCCTTGCCTGTCTCTGTACATACACTGTGACCACACCATATTTAGTCATCACTGCGGTCATCTCCAGAGGTGGCTGTCACAATTCTTCCCTGTAAGCATATGTAGCTCTTCTCCTTCCCTTTGATTTGGGCTGGCTTTACTACAGAAGGCTGTGAATGTTTGGGGCTTCCAAGCCCAAATGTAAACAGTCTCTGCGGGAGGTGTGGCTCAAGTGGTACAGCACCTGCTTTGCAAGTGCAAAACCCTGATGAATTCAAACCTCGATCCCACAAAAAAAAAGAAAGAAGAAAAAATCTTTGTCTCTGATTCCTCCCTCTTGAAGGTTTTTTGTTTGTTTGTTTGTTTGATTGGTTGTTGTTTTTTTTTTTCTTTTTTGTGGTACTGAGGTTTGAACTCAGGGCCTTTTCCTTGAGCCACTCCACCAGCCCTTTTTGGTGAAGGGTTTTTTTGAGATAAGAGTCTCATGAACTATTTGCCCAAGCTGGCTTTGAACTTCGATCCTCCTGATCTCTGCCTGAGTAACCAGGATTACAGGCATGAGCCACCCATGCCCCACCCTCTTGAAGGTTTGAAGTTAACCTTTACAAAAGTCCAACTCTCTGAGAATATCAAGCTACAAGGAAACCAACAGAGCCACCTGGTGGAGGACCACTGAGGCACTAGATTTGTGACTGGTGTCTTTGGACATCTTCCAAATGAACTTAACTGACAGCTAATGTAATTGAATTAGTGATCAAAGAAATGTGAAGGAGAGGCTACATCAACCCCCCAAAATTATGAAAAACAATAAATCATTTTAAACCAGTAAGTTTTGCCTGGTTTGCTGTGCATAATTAGGAAGCTTCTGAAAAAAGTGAGTCTTTGCATCACTCATTGCAAATTACTCTAGAAATAATAAAGCCTAGAGAAGAAAACAGCCACAGGGTCCCAATTTGGCAATGTCTATTCTGGCCTTGACCTTGAGAGACTGATGGCTAGGTGAAAGTGAAGGAAAGTGCTGCCAAGAGACTTTGCTTGGGAGACACACCTTCAGGTCCTCATTTGTCTGCTGATTCTCTGCACCCTCAGAAAACCCGCTTCCTGTTAGCTGGCTATTGGAGAACTGGAAGGAAAAGTGTTGAGCTGGTCCAACACACAAGGGCCACCAGTCCAGCAAACAGGTGTCATTCTCAGTCCATTAATTTAATATACAGGCGATAGCTAAAACCATGTGATCTTTTTAGTCATTTAGTTATGTAAGTATGACATTTCTAAAAGCCTGAATTTTCTGCAATCCATTGTTTCCTGCAGATAACTTAGAGATAAAATTTCATAAAGAACTTCCTCACTTGTGCTTATAATTCAGTGGACCAGTGGCACAGAAAATGGGAAAGAATGCTTTAATGTGTTGAAGCTCAAGCCGCCTTCCTCTCATGGCTAGTTGCAATTCATATTACAAACCAGTAAATTGTTTTTAGAAGATTTTGTGAATATAATCAGAAGAAATGCAAAGCTTCATTTCCTTAGGTGGCTTTTGGCAAAGTGGAATTTGATTCAAGTTTAAGTGTGCATTTTTAACCCCTGTGTTGTCTTTCACATCCTCCATGTCTATATCCCATGACCACTGTGAGCAGTGAAGGGCAACCTTGATGTCCTGGCTGAAGTTGCTGATTGGACGCCACCCCGCGTTGGTCAGGTGGTAGTTGACCCATCTCAGCAGCAGTTCCTCGGGTGACAGTTTCATGAGCTCATCCAGATCCTCACCGTTGTTCAGCAAGGCGATCAGAGCTGCAGGGAGGCCAGGGCAATGTGAGTCCTTCCCCTGGTGAGCAGCGTCAACAGAAAGCAAATGACTTTGGAGGCCTTACCTTCGTTCTTGGAAAGCTCAATGTCCGCAAACAGACCAACTTTGATGATCTGCCAGAGAAGCCCCAGGACCAAGTGGGGCTTGCCTTCTTTGAGGTCTTGCGCCCCAATGTTCACCACTGTACAGCCAATGGCGGAGGCAGAATTCAGGGCCAGGTTCAAATTCTCCTGAATCGTCAAAAGAAAAACATAAGTGAGGAAGTTCTTTCTAAAGTCTAATCTACAAGTTATCTGCAAGAAACAACAGATCGCAGAAAATTCAGACTTTTAAACATAAGTCATACTTATACAACTAAATGACCACTTCTAAGGAGAGTACATGGTTTTAGCTGCATCTGTCCCTGCCAAGGACATTCTGCAGACGCCTCCCCCAAAGCCCTCCCTCCACACTGTATTATGCCTAGCTGGAGTGTTTAAAAGGATCTCAAACCCAATATGTCCAAAACAAGCAAAATTTCCCACCATGTGTCCGTGATCCTCAGCACCACAAAAAAAAAAAAAAAGAAAAGAAAAAAAAAGGAGGAACAACTGGGGGATGGTACTAGTGGCAGGGGAGAGGAGGTGGGGAAAGGGTGAAGGAGGTGAAGATGGTGCAAATACTGTGTACACTTGTGTAAATGGAAAAATGAGACCTGCTGAAACTATTCCAGGAAAGGGGGATAGAGGAGAATGGTGGAGGGGTAAATTCAAGTATATTTGATATATTATAAGAACTTTTGTAAATGCCACATTGTACCCCTACCCAACACAACAATAAAAAAAAAAAGAAGTAAAATGAAGGGAGGAAGAAGAAATGAAAGAAGAAAAGGAAGAAGACTAGCATCAAATAATCATTAATTAAATAACTTGATAATTACAATAATATAAATGGAATTCTGTTAGGAATAATAAATACTAGGAATAAAGAGGTTTACCCAAAGTATATAGAATCTTAATTTTATTTGTTATAGAATGCAGCTGATTTTTTATTTAATAAAAATCAAGTTTTTCAATTTCTAGCCGTGCAAAAAAAACAACAAAACAAAACAACCCAAGTATTTATTTAAAAAAAAAACAGAATTGTTGTAGGTTTTACTTTGGCTCAAATATCCATTAGCAAAGAAGGCCTTAGGCCATGCAACAGGTAACATATTACCAGCAACAGGGACATACTTACAGAAACAGTAAAAGGAGTGAGCCTTTTCTTATTAATGGCTCTCTCATCGATTGTATCTGGCTCAGACAAGTTGATCATTTTGCTAAAGAGAAAAGGGGAATGATTTAGTTAAAAATTCCCAGAAATGTTTTTAGCTTATTTTTGCAAGCAGCCAAAATAGTTGGAATTTGAAGAACTACACAGTGCACTTATTTTAAGCTGTAAATTCATGTCTAGGAATATTCCTTGTCCTAAAAGAAATCTGTCACTCATTGCAAAAGTCCACCTTGTAACTTCTTTGTGTGAGTCTTGTCTTTATTTCATTTAATGTCAACATTTAGCAACCTGAAATGTAAAATCTTCAGAAGTCAAATTCCATGAAGTAGTCTCAACAGTGTTGTTGCAGAAAGATAAGGAGCCAGACTTTGTCTAAGACTTCAATAACTCAGACATGTTAAACAAAAATTAATATGAATTCTTTCTCTAGATTTTAGTATATATTTTATCTCTGAAAACTAAAATAGGAAATGCTTATTTGATTCATATTAGGAAATTCTCTGAAGAAGAGATAAGAATTTCAAATGGAGATCAAGGTATATTTTATACATAATGTCCTAAACACTGATAGCCTATATTTGTGGGTAAGGCTTCCTTTACCTTTTTAAGTAAATACACAGAAAAAAAGCACTAAAGAAAAAGTAAATTCCACAATGTTAATAATTAATTATTGGTGCTATGAATGTTTGCAAAGGTTATTTTCTTCTTTAGAAGTATACTGTATTTTTACAAATTAAAAAAAGTTCTTTGCTTTGTATAAAGAAGTATTCTGGGAGTATGGTACACACAATAAAGACAAAAGATATACCCTTAGAAAATCTACAGTGTAGGGAGCAGAACAGACTGCAACAAGCCGAGGCTCAATTAAAACACTGTTTTCATTTAGGTACAAAAAATGTCTATCTTCCTCCTGCATTCCTCATTACTGTGTTCCAGTCAATAATCCAAAAAGAAACCATGGCAACATTTTAAAATGCATCAAAGGCCAGGTGCCAGTGGCTTCCATCTGTAATTCTAGCTACTCAGGAGGAACAATCAGGAGGATTGCAGTTCAAAGCTAACCCTGGCAAACAGTTCATGAGACCCTATGTCAAAAATACCCAACACAAAAAAGGCTGGCTGAGTGGCTCAAGTGGTAGAGCGCCTGCCTAGCAAGTGTGAGGCCCTGAGTTCAAACCCCAGTACCACCACCATTACCAAAGGAAAAAAAAATCAACAACAAAAAAAACACATCAAAGGTCTAACTCCAAAGTTTCCTGGCAATCTTATGGTAATAAATATAAAATCACCAGAAAACTAAGAGATTGTATTACAAGGAAAATTCTGGAAGACATACACTACTTAATTTTCTATGCAATATAAATCCTTCAGGACTTAAGGATTTGCTGAATTGCAGTTTTCGTGGAATGCCCATTGGTGGGGTAAAAGGAGCACAGCTCCCATAACTGAATGTCCAACTCACCAAAGAAGGATGCCATCTGCAAGTGACTTGAAGAGACTGTTGTCATTGGGATTCATGGGTAAAAGATGCTTGCAGTCAGGGTCATTTTCCAGGGCTTTGTTGATCCAGTTCACGAAAGCCACTTTCTCCTCCTCTGAAAACAGAAAGTCAAGGCAAACCTCATTTCCCAGAATTTGTCATGCTCCAAAACCATACTTGCCAATTTCTGCTCAAGGATAATTAACGACTATTATTAAAACTCAACTAGTTCTCTTGAAGGTGTAGCTCAAGTGGTAGAGTACCTGCTTTGCAAGCTCAAAGTCCTAAGTTCAAATCCCAGTCCTACCACAAAAAAAAAAAAAACTTGACTAAAACACTTAAGACTTAGTAAAGAAAGAAAGGAGAATTCCTTCCACTTTCCATCCAATACATTAAGAGAGAAGGCGAGCACAATAAATACTTGGTTTTATTCTAAATTCTTTCCAAATACTATTGCTTGTAAAAATCCATGAACCAGAAGCAGAACATCAAAAGTTAAAGATAGATAGTCAGATAGACAGATAAAGATAAGATAGATGTACCTATGTATAGATATACACTTAAACAAGGGGAAAAATAAGGATTCACAGAAATATGTGTCTATAATCTCAGCTACTTAGGAGGTAGGTATCAAGAGGAATACGGTTCAGGCCAGCCCAGGGAAAATGTTAGCAAGACCCCAAGATCCTGTTTTAACCAACAAGCCAGACTTGGTGGCATACACCTGTAATCCCAGCTATGCAGGAGGCATAGGCTGGTCCAAAGCCAGCCAGGAAATATCTGAAAAATAACCTAAGGTGAAAAGGATTGGAGGTATGGTTCAAGTGGTAGAGCACCTGCCTAGAAAACATAAGGTTCTGAGTTCAAACCTCGTATTGTAAAAAAAAAAAAAAAAAAATCCATGAAAATAAACTACACTCCCTAAAACACTTAGATTAGAGTGCAATCATTTTTAGCTTACAACAAAAATAGTTTTCGAGCAAGAGGTATTCAGGGCTGGAGATACAGCACAGTGGGGTTCAGCTCCTTGATAGCACGAATGAGGCTTTGGGCTCAATCCCCAGCACCACAAGAAAAAAACTGCTATTCAAATGAATAAGCGAGTCCATTTCTGCGAACACTTTGCTGTAACAAACTTCACAGATCTATATACCAGCATGACTCTTAGCCACCGCCATCACCGACTTCCCCACACAGGGCTTCTCGAGGAGTTCATTGATCTTTACTGGGAAAACGTTGTTGGGCCATTCAGAGGGGGAGACAGGAAGGAGCTTAAAGTAAAATGTTCTGTAGTTTTTATTATTCTGCAAATACAAAAATGACTCAATAATATAAACCCTCTGGCTCACCTCTGTTTCCCTCAGAGGGCAGAATACAGTGATCTGACCTATTCCACTGTTACCTTGGTTCCCAGATTTAGGGCATTTTCCTAAGTTTCCCCCAAGCTTAATCCACCATACACACTCAATAAAGACACAATAGTGTCTTTTTTCGAGAACACTGCTAGTTGTCCTTCACACACACCATGATCTGCCTTCTTATCTACTTCCCTCACCATCCATATCTCCTCAGAAGGCCTCAGAGTCTAGGGATAACAGATCACTAAAATCCTACAGCTGCCATCAAGGATCTGCGGTGAAGGATGAGATACATACAAAGATACACAACATGAGGGAAACGCGCCATTATGTGTGCCTATGTCGGCAATGTTTCAAGATCTGGAAGAAAGAAATCACTCTAGCCAGTTAGCTTGCTCATGAAAAGACTACAGGGCTGAGTATGGTGGCACACGCCTACAGCCCCAACGCGGGAGGCTGAGGCGGGAGGATCTCTCGAGTCCACAAGTTCAGGACCAGCCTGTGTTACATGGCAAGACCAAGCGTCAAAAGGAGAATCTTTTATAGAGGTGGAACTATCTGACAGTTAGGTTTTTAAGATATGAACATGGGCAGGGAAAGGGAGGAGGTACCGGGTATAGGAAGCGGGAATGAGATGCCATATCAAGGCCACCAGAATGTTTGCAGTTTTAAAAATGGACAAATGCCAAGTGTTGGTGAGGATGTGAAAAAAAAAAAAAAACAACAAAAAAACCACCTCACAGGTGGCTGGTGGGGACACAAAACAGTGAAGCCATTTTGGAATATGGTTTGGTAGTTCCTAAAAATAGGAATCAGAGGGTGACCAAAAGATCCAGCTATTCCACTCCTAGGTACACATCTAAGGAAATTCAAAGCATGTGACCACACAAAACGTGTACACGAGTGTTCATTCAGCATTATTCATAAGAGCCAAAAGGTGGAAACACCAGGGTGTGAGGGAGTCACATGGGGTGATGAAAATATTCCATGTCTTGATGGTTGGCAGCTACACGGGTGTATGCACATGTACAAAGTCATTGAGTTAAGCCCAGCACCAGTAGCTCCCGCCTGTAATCCTAGCTACTCAGGAGGCAGAGATCAGGAGGATCTCGGTTCCAAGCCAGACTGGGCAAATAGTTCCTGAGACCCCATCTCGAAAAAACCCATCATATAAAAGGGCTGGTGGACTGGTTCAAGGTATAGGTCCTGAGTTCAAACCTCAGTACGAAAAAAAATGTGATAAATTGGGCTGGCAGAGTAGCTCAAGTGGTAAGAGTGCCTGCCTAGCAAGTGTGAGGCCCTGAGTTCAAACCCCAGTGCCACCAAAAGTCATTGAGCTGTATACTTAAGATTACAGCACTTTGCTGGATTTATCTCAATATATTTTTGTGGGGTTTTTTGTCTCTTTAAAAAAGAAGCCCTTTCAGTAGAAAGGCGGGCAGAAATTGAAGGAGGGGTGAACACCTTTCCAAAGGTGGGGTAGTAGTTATAAATGGCCGCCTTTTCCACTACTTTCCCAGTGAGAAAAGGTTAGGAGAGAGATACAATGGACAGGAGAAATTTGAGTTCAGAGCAAAAAATCCAACTAGAAAGGGAAAAAAATCAAGATGATTAGCAGATTCAGCTCTCAAAGGAAGAAAGAAGGAAAAGTTAGAATTCTGTTCAAAAGCACAGTTCTAATTTCATTCATGTGACTGAAAAGGAACTTGGCCAAAGCCTCCTTGGCACACCGACCCCGAGAAGTAAATTTAGCCTGGGACAGGACACCTCCCAGAGAAAGCAGGCCACTGCTCTATCAGATGAAGCAAGTCAGGTGACCTGCCCTCTAGTCACTTGGTTGCTCGATAAAAAAAGGATTCTAGTATCTTAGCCCTTGGAAAATGGAGGGAAAATGCTTATGCCTCTCTCCACCATTCCTAGGTTAGTCAGGATGAAAACCCCTTCAAAAGTCCTGCTTGAGGCTAGCTCATGGTCCAGCTTGCCTGGGCTCCACCCCTGTCACCCCCCCAAAACCAACAAAACCCTTTAAAAATGTTTCAAAAGTTATAATTATGCGCAATCAGTGCTGAAATGTGAACAACTTCCACTGTTTTTAAGTTCTCTGATGTGCACTGAACCAGGTAGGAATCCACTGATTTCAACAACTCTACAATTGAAATAAACTTCAAATTTGATGTCTCGGTATAATTCACTCTGCTATTTTTTTCCCTCAATGCTAAGTAAAATATGAATCGCAGCAGCAGCATCTTAGATTTGATGAAATGTGGCATTTACCACATGAATCAATGACAAAAGATCCGACTTGGAGCGGCAGGTTACCTGAGTATGAGTGCTGTGTCCCCTCACTGGAAATGGACGAGGTCCCTCCGATGGCAGTGATCCCTTCCCTTTTGTTGATTATTTTCCGGAAAGTCTTGCTGATATCTTTGCTTTTTAACTCTTGCATTAGCTGGAACGGGATAGAAGGAAAATGGAGACTTGAGCAGACAATTATTAAAAAATGTGATGACACGAAGGACATTTATTTAGACTTACCTATTTGAAATGACACCGAAATAAATCCGAATCGGGTGTTCTCATAATCAATGCTTGTGTGCACAGAGAACTGTCATGTCATTTTTACCAAGAACGCAAAGTAGATAAATGCTTGTCCCCAACCACTGGAACAAGTTACGACTCAGCTTAAACCGAATGCACTGAAATTATTCTTCTTGACTTGGCACGGATCTTTTTCTTATACTGAAAACCTACGAAATGGGTACATGCTGAAGATTTAAAAACACCTGACTGAGGGCACTTTCCTACCTAATCATGCCAAATGTAGACACTGTAAAGCAAACAAGTCAGATCTTGTAGGAACCACCATGGGCTTAGGGGAACTCCGTCTCCCAGTCACTCCGGCTGGACTCTCCAGAGACTGGCAAGACGGAATTAAATCATTTCTCCACACAGGCCCTTGGAAATGCAAGTCTAGTCAAGTCATTTCACCTTCTATTCTCCCACTTCATTGACTCCCTATTGCTCTTAGGATAAAAACAAAAATCCCACAAGACCGTACATGAGCTGGTCCCCACTGAGTGCTCCGCTGCCTCCCCTGCCTTACCATCGCTCCTCTAACCACACGACTCCTGTTTTCACTTGTTGAGAAGACCATCATTTCCAAAGCCACAGGCCCCACACTGTCACCTCTACCTACCTCCCAGGTTAGTCATTCTCCCCTCCCCTTTTTCTGTTCAATGTCTTTCTTTGGCTTAGTCCTGACAGCTCAAGGGACACCTTCCTGAATCCCTGGCTTCTCCAGCCTCCTTCCAAGTTCAATTCTGTTTACTACAAAGTCTCATGTGGTCTGGTCCACTCTGTCACAGCAATGACCACGGGCAGCATTTTTATCCATTTGTGTAACCCTCGTCTTCCCCATCGCTTGTGAACGCCATGAAAGCAGGGACCATGTCTCCTTTGCTCGTCACGTTCTTCGCAGGGCCTCGCACTCAAATATTTGCCCAATGAATGCAAAACCACGTGGTTTATATTTCATAAATACTTATTCAATTATATTAATGTTCAATCAAACACAGTTATTCCAGGGTATGCATGACTGTTATCTACACTTGATTTCCACTTGATGGCATTTTCTCTTGTCTTCTGGGTTATTTGTGGAAATTATTAGTTGTTAATAGTGTCATCATTATTTTAAGAATGTGCTTTTTCGGGCCTCTGCAGCCAGAGCACACCAAACCTAGCAAGATCACTACGAAAATTCTGCTCGAAACAAGAGGAGTAGACAAGAGTGATCAGATTTTACTCACCGACACAAATTCTTCAAAACTAATTTTGCCATCTTTGTTGTTGTCAGCGACTGCTAGAATCTTCTCCACGATCTCGCGCACCTTGTAGCCAGGAAGAGGGAGGCTGGCTTCTTTAAACAGGTCCTGAAGTTCATAGTCACTTACATACCCACTGTTGTCAATATCTGGGGAGATAGAGTAGGAGCTGTCATGTGTCATTTGTATGGCTGAAGATGTCCCTCGGCCAGCCGTGTAGGAGGCACACAGGAATGCAGAACCTTATAGGTTTGTTTCACAGGTAGCAGGGACCTTTTTCCCTGCACCTGAGCTGTACAGAGTCTGCTGAACACTTTATTAAAAACACTTACTTTTAAATGGACCGAATCGCCACAGACTTCGCACGTAAAGTGTGTAGTACGGACAGAGCTCTGACAGGAAACTAGGTTTTGGCAAATTATTAAGTTTCAAAGAAATAAACCTGGGGGAAGTCTCAGAGAAATCTAGCAGCATTGGTCAAGAAGGAACATCCAGCCAGACTTGAACCTGATGGAATTTACAGAATGGATCTGCTGGCCCCATGTCCATATGAAATATATGATCATATAAAGTATCCATGATGCATTTTGCTCCCATTTCACTTGGTGACAGTTTGTTTCATGTGTCAATAATTCATTGCTTCCTCATTATGTATTTATGATACTATTATGTAGGCTGAATCATGGGTGATGTCATTTTGAGATTAGGTATTGAAGACATTTTGCACCTATATTTGGAGCTTTGGGAACAAGGTTCCAGGTGTTTCCATGCTATCCCTGAGATACCCTTCCCTGGGTTTTGCTGAGAGACTGGATATCCCTTCTTGACTCAGGACAAAGGCAACACAAAACACCTCTGTCCAGAGCTGGCAAACAGGATTGCAAATTTAAATTGTTCTGTGGGGGCTTTATCCGCCCTGTATGGCTTTCTTTGCTTGTCTAGTAACAGTTGTTTTGGTTCCTGGGTTGCTTTTTTTCCCAAGAACATGGCTGTTATTGCAATAATTTTTTTTATGGTTGAGTGCCTGCTTTGCAAGTGCAAAGTTCTGAGAGCAAACCCCAGTCCTAACAAACAAACAATAATTTTTTTATTGTTATGCTAGGGGTATATTGTGGCATTTACAAAAGCTCTTACAACATATAAAATATATTATACTTGAGTTCTCCCCTCCATCATTCTCTTTTATCCCCCCTCCTCCACTTGTGGAATAGTTTCAACAGGTTTCATCTTTCCATTTATATACATGTCATAATAATTAAATGAATGATAAGGACAGGAACTTATCTTTTGAACCCTAATATGAACATTTTAGAGTACTGCTCAGAATTATTAAATATTTCAAGACTAGAATCACCAATGACCAAAGTATTACTAAAAACTCAAAAGTCACCTAGGAAGCTAAATTGCTTGACGTTGCAATAATACTATTGCTTTCTTTGAATTTAGAGCAAAGCATCATTTTATACATCACTGGTTCAGAATTGCTTCCTATAATTCTAAAATCTATATGTTGTATTATTTCTATCAGCACTATGGTGAGAAATACTTAAAAATAAAAAGGATTGAAGGAGTCGTTTACCAGCCAACCATGATCATGTTGAACTAAAATGAATAGTTAAGAGCTAAGGCTCGAAGACCCACAGAACTGAATGTTTTCCTTCCAGCTGCGCCTGCGCCGCGGTGGTAGGGATGGGTAAGATGAAAGCTAACAGTATTGAATGAGCATATGTTCTGTGCAAAATGATTTAAGAACTTAAGTTACGGTTGGCAGAGTGGCACAAGTGGTAGAGCACCTGCTAACAAGTTTGAGGCCCTGAGTTCAAGCCCCAGTGTCACCAAAAAAAAAGAAATTGAGTTACCTTATCTCATGAAACATTTATAATTTTGAGGTAAAGGTCAGGAAATGAAGGCCTAGGTTAAACAACCATAAAGATCATGGTTTTAAAAGAAATAAGACTTTCTTCGAAGTCAACAATGAAACAAGCAAAAATAGGCAAAGGACTTGAAAAGACATTTCTCTAAAGACAAACAAGTGGCCAGTCAGCACACAAAAAGATTTTCAACACCATTAATCATTACAAACACAAATCAAAACCACAATGAAATGCCACTTCACACCCATAAAGCTATTATAAAAACAAAACAACAACACAGTAAAGGTTGGTAAGGATGCCCTGCTGACAGGAGCATAAGACAGCCTATCCACGGAGCAAACTAGAATGGTGGCTCTCCAGAAAATTAAATATAGGACTGTCATGGGATCCAGTAACTCACTTCTGTGTATACACTCACTGAAAGCAGGACTCGGACAGATATTTGTACACCTGTGTTCACATCAGTATTATTCACAAAAGCCCCATCGTGGAAGCAACCCAAATGGCTATCAATGAATGACCAGGCAAGCAAAATAGGGCATATGTACACAATGGAATACTAGCCAGTCTGCAAAGCAAAGAAAATTCTGACATGCTACGTCAAGAAAGCATCATTTCCTGAGAAGTGAAATAAGATAGTTACGAAAAGACAAATACTGTATGATTTCATCTGTACAAGGGACCCACAGTAGTAAAATTCATACAGGTAGAAAGTAGAATGGTGGTTGCCAGGGACCGGGGCGAGAGAAATGGGGAGCTCCTGCTTAACAGGTATAGGGTGTTGGTTGGAGGACGAAGAGGAATCAGCAAAAGGAAGGTCCAATGCAGAACACTGTGAACATCCTCAGTGCTGCTGAGCTATACACCCAAAATAATTAAAATGCTAAGGCTTGTTCATCTGTGCTCTACCATCACTTCCAAAAGGAAACAAGACTGAGAAACATTTTGACGCCCAGTGGCCCCAAAGCACGCCCTGAAGTAAGGCTGGAGGGGAGTATCCCTCAGTCTCTGGAAAGGTTGTTTGGTCCAAATTAGTAGAATGCTTGCTGAGTTCTGAGTCACGGTTTACCTTGGAAAAAGTCAGCAAGTCCACATTTTTGTTCTCTCTCATAGAGTCAATTATCTTGCTGTCAAAATTATCCCATCGGTGAACTGCTTATTCAAAATACCAGTAAGTAAATATTAGAAGAAACTATGCCCGTGAGTCATAACGATTAAAGCTGGATAAGGACAAAGAAAGTGATGGTGAGTTCATTCATTTTGCTAAGGCGTTAGTAGCCGCTGATTCAAGCGCACCTGCTAATAAGAGGCAGGCCGTGCTAAGCAATCCATCATTCCCTCTTCCCTAACCTCGCCTAAGAGGAGCAGAACGGGGCAGCAACTGCCCAACTTTTGGCTAGAAAAAGATTCCGGGCACGCTAGCCAATACTCTGTAAAATTTATTTTTAATAATTTTCTGAGTATCATCCTACATCCATGAGACGTTCTAATGACAAATATGCTATCCCCAGGGAGAAGTGGAAGGGCTCAGAGACTTGTAGGATTGCTTTATTTCACAGGAAGACTTTCAAGTCATGGCACTGTACATTTTTTTAAGAGCTTTATCTTTTAAAATTAAATCTTCCTCCTTAGTGCTGGTCTCTGAATTTCTTTGTGCATTGCATTTTATCTACATTAATTTAATCACGGTTTGTGAGAAATCTAAGGACAAGATGACTGTGAGAACATTCTCCGTGGGCCATCCTCTAGCTCTTGGCTCTTACTTTGCTAAGAAAAGGATTTGGGGGAGGAAGGGGCAAAGATGTTGATGCCGTTGTCCTCAGGTCGTTTCCACTGTGCTCAACTTACATAGGTTTCACCTTTCACTCGAACGCATTTGCAGACAAAAGCCAATAGGGTGTTTATATTCTCCTTGCTCACCAAGGATTTCTAAGGGGAAAATACAGAACCGAGATCCGACAGGGTAGGAAGAAAAATTTTGGAAGAAAAATACAAAGATGTTAAGATGATAATGTCTTAAAGACAAACACGGAATGGCTTCAGAAAGAAAAAGACGCAAAGGGAGCCATATGGCCTTAAAACAATACTAAGATTTTTGAAAATAAGCACGAGGGAGAAGGAAAGTAAGACATACGGCCTTTAAAACCAGAGCAAGATTTTTAAAATATGCTGCATGAAGTCAGAAAGTGTTATTGTTAATGACAAAGACAGAAGGCCAGAGTTCAGTGTAGACACAAGGAAGTGTTTCTGTATTTTCTCTCTGTAATGAGGATACCATGTTACGTGTATCCAGTTACGCTGTCATTCATTAACCCGGATTGTTCTCTGCAAAGAAATGATGAAAGAATTCAAAGTCCAATTCACCTAGAAATTCAAGCCCGTCTTTAGCTTATCTTTCCGAAAGAATGAATCCAGTGAAACCTAGATAGAAAAAAAGGACAAATTTTGGGATAACTGAGTGATGGCCGGTATTGTTCGACTCCTGAAGCCTGATACCACAGAGAAGCCTAATCTCTCATTTCCTTTCTCGTTTCATACCTATTTTATTGAAGGCTTCTTGTAGTTCTTCAAGCTCCTCCCGAGAAATGGTAGTGGTACTGTTCTCCATCTTTGGACAGGAATGATGACTTCAGATCTTTCTTTAGATCTAGAAAAAGCAGCATTACAAAAAGAGCATTAGCCCTTTGGAAATGTTTATCTAAGCAACAGAAGGCACAGAGAAAGTACACTGGACACGAGAGCATCCTTCAGGTTTGGCTGACAAAGACTGTGGGCACCGGCCCACTGTCAATCATTGAGACTCAGGGATGGGGAAGAAAATTCACCCGCTGTGCTTTTATAGAACATTCTCAACAGTCTGGGTAATTTTCATGTCCACTTCACCTCACTATTTCAGAAAAAGAAGTTCTTCAAGTTTAAGAAAAGTGTGACATTTATAAGACGCAGAGGATGAAGTCACAAGGTCAAAAATGACATGAGTAATGTCTACACAAAGGGTGAAGTTGGAGTCTGCTCGTCAGGGATGGGGATTGTGGTTGTAATTTCAGCTTTAAAATAATTCAACCACTGCCACACCCTTTCTGCTTTCCTGAATGAGGTCTTTCCCAGATCAGATCACTGGGAGTAGGCAGACTAAAAAACGAAAAAGTGACATGTGAAATTAACCTGTAAGAGGGAAAGAAGAAAACAACTAGGAACAAATGCCCCCAAAGAAAACTGAAATTACCCAGAATCTTCCTATCCCAAGGGCTCAGCAATTTTTGATATCTAATTTCTAAGCCTGGGTACCTTTGTCAGAAGGTGAGAAAAGTGAGTTCATTCTCATATAACCTTGTCAGTATGTCTTCATGTTGTTTATCAGCATGATATTCAATGACCAAAACTTACTATATTATAGCTTACTTAGTAAATCCCTTAGTTCACGGCATTTTCATTATAAATAATGCTTCAGCTGGGGCCCGTGGCTCACGCCTACAACCCTAGCTACTTGGAGGACTGAGATCAGGAAGATAGAGGTTCAAGACCAACCCATGCAAATAGTTTGTGAAACCCCATCTCCAAAATAACCAGAGCGAAATGCACTGGAGATGTGGCTCAAGTGGTAGGGTACCTGCTTTGCAAGTGTGAAGGCCTGAGTGCAAACCTCAGCCCCACCATAAATCAGTCAATCAATCAACCAATTTCTAGGGAACACCCTTGTAGGCAAATCCATGTTCTTTTCTGTACAATCAATATCTGAAGGTTGAATTACTTAATTTTTTTTAGACTTTCGATATGTAATAGTGCAGCTCTGAAGTGACTTACTAGCTTGTCTATTCAATATAAATATAAAAATGAATACACAGTATGGTGCATTCCTCTCATGTAATATTTTTTATATCACACAATATGTGCCTCAGAAAATAAGTGAAAATTTGTGCCTTATAAGAGGAATTGAAGCTCAGTGGAAATCATCTTTTTTATATGCCTTTACATGCTTCTATAAAATTATGTTTCTAAAAGTTGTTCAAATCCCCAATTTTTCAGGGAAGGACATCAATTTTCAAAATAATTTGTTCACTGGAACTTGTCACTGGTCATTTTAAAATATCGCTAAGTCATGTGACACTCTCAAGATTGTGGGTCGTTGGTGACCCACACACAGTTTGGGCTTCAGCAGAAGGATTGGCACACTGGCTCATTTAGGATATTGGGTGTTCTTTCAAAACGACAGGTTTCTATCTTTTATGATTCTCTGGATCCTGATTCTAATTTAGTGTGACTAAATCTTTTTAGAAAACATTCCACTGCTCTTTGCTTAATCCTGCACTTGAAAAACCCCAACGAGCTCATCAGGAGAAGGAGAAAGGACACAACTGAAAGTCATCTCAGTCCTTCAAAGCAGCTCCTTCCATCTTCCCATTAAATATTCATTTTATTGAATTCTCACTTCTGGAAAGTTCTGCTACAGGTAAAACTATTTATAGGCACTGCTGTTTTGTGCTGTAAGAGATTAAATCGTCTTAGTAGGACTTTTAAGTCTAATGCCCCACTCTCTTCCCTTCTTTGTGATCTTGGCCATCCCGAGTTCCCTTTCCATGTTCAAAGCCATTTCTATCTCTTGCCTCAAGTTTTAAAAATAGCGGTCCAATTTTAGCACTGCACTGCACAGAAAGGCTGCAGATCACCAGACCTTACGCTGACCTTGCATTCATTCGGAACGATAAAAACAAGGCCAGTTCTTTTCCTGGCTCTGCCTATTCAAATTTGTGTAATTTGTTCATCACATAAAATAATTTTATTTTCCCCTAATCAGGCAAACACAGCCTGTAAACTTCTTGGAAAAGCATTTACCGACATGGTGTTATGTTTATTTTTACAGCTTTGCTTTTACATCTAAGCAGGGACAGAGGTGGCTCCAAGCACTTCAGCATTTGAATGAAGCAGACGGGAAAATGCAGAGGGATCCTCAGGACCACGACCACGACCATGCTTAAAAGAACCAAGCCAGGCGCAGAGGCAAGCATGGTGGGATGGGAAGCGTTTCTTCTGAAAGTGGGAGACGAGACTTCTGGGGGCCATGGAGAAGAGGGGCAGACTGGAAAACAGACTTTCTTTCATTATATTCTGGGTGTGGGTTTTTGTTTGGACCTACCAAGCCTCCCAACAACTAAAAAACAACAAATACAATTGTGGCAAAACATGAAATAAAATAAGTCAAACACCAGTGACATTACCGATTCTGATATTGTAATGTGCACACATACGATATCACCCATATATTAAAATTCTCAATGCAATCACATGCTTTGTGGACGCTGTCACGGAATCCTCTCCAGTCTATGCGTAGGTCCCGTCTCCAGCCTGGCTTTAAGAAGGGTGACATGGGACCGAGCACCTTCCTCACGGGGACAAAGTAACTCGCAGCCTCCTGGCTGGGCTGGGAGAGAACCCAAGCCTGTGATCCCCGCCTAGGCCAGGATGTAGGCCCCCGCACAGCAAGCCAGGAAGGCGTATTCCTATAATCGCCTACATCACACGCTTGCGAAGTAAGAGCTTGTATTTTAGAGGCAGTTGGCCGATGGAAAATGGGGGGCAAATTCCAGCTCGATCAGCTCCTGCTGCTGAGCAGATGTAACTTGTCAGACGCGAAGCGCTCTGGCACACACAGGCACGAGGACCCGCTTTGCCATTGTAGAAATGTCAGCTCGTGAGTCTCTGAGCGCCATCGGTGCATAGGCGCCTGAGACACACAGTGCAGGGCATGGCTGCCAGGCAACCTGGAGAGATGGGGCCGCCATGGGACATGGGACAGGTTACCCTGACTCCCGAGGTAGACACATCTACCCCTGGAATTTGACACGGCCTGGGTTTCCTCAGTAATTCCAGCACTGCTTTGCCCTCACTTTTGTTTTTATTTTTAGCACAAATCACTTTAAAGCGAACATTCTCTCGCCAATTAAGGTGGCTTTTCTGTCCCCTAACCTCAATTATACCCTGACACAGCCAAACACAAGTTTGGAAGGTAAAGGAGGCACGGTCCAAAGAAAGAAGTTTTCAACAGAGAGATTGAATGGGATCTTTTTTACCCTCACTCAAATGTCCGTTGACCTGCAGCCTTTCAAGGCTTTACCCCGAGAGGCAGGGTAGTCCTTTAGGACCGGCAGGCTGGAGGGTCTCCTTAGAGCAGTTTCAGGGAAAGTCACCAGGTCTACAGCTGGAGCCTCCAGAGCCGCCTCTCCTGCTGACCTTGCAGCTGTTTTGTTTTCCCTCCTTCCCCAGTGGCCAGCCCCAGGTCACTTGAGAGTGTCTGACTTCTCAGGCTACCTCTGACTCAGCTTAGCCAGCATTCCCTGTCATCCATGCCCCAAGCCCCTGCCCTCCTCCCCCCTCCCCTTGTGACATAAAAACCGACGGGGGACTTTGCCAGCCCCCTCACTCATGCGGGCTCACTGTGGATTTGTCTGTTCTGTGGAGCACCGAGCATCACCCCCAACGCTCAAGAGTGAGGCCTACAGAGACCACGTGACCTGTCCAAGGAAGGCAGACAGCACGAGATTCAAAATCAGACCTCGTGGACCAGGCATGCAGATGAGTACTTTCATACCATGTATGAAGCCCGGAGTGTTACGCCCAGCCACACACACACACACACCCCTAATCTCGTCCTACTGCCCAAGCTCTTAATTTCTACATGTACTTCAATTCAATCCCTACTCTCATTGCAAGCATCATAGGGAGGCTTAAAGAAAGGGTTGATGACTACTTTACACTAAAGTGTGAATGGCCAACAAATCCTTGACGTGGTACTTCTTCCAGCCATATTTACATTACTATTTGACCAACAGAATATTCAGACATTAGTAAAATAAATGAGTCACCATCTGTTCGTCAAGAACACACACTATTATAAATATTGCTTGCGATACCATACCTATGTGATAACACTTGACACTTGATTGAGAATGTAGAACAGTGGTTATCTACAGAGAGGGGGAGGCAAGGGGCAGAACTTGGGGGTGAGATGGGCTGGATCTATTATTTTCGCAAAAAAAAATATTTGAAGGAAATATGGCACCCTTCAATGTTTACTCAGTCTGGGAAACCAGGACACAGACATTGGTTATATTATTTCCCTATTTTTCAGGGGTTTAAAAAACAATTCGACCAGGCACAGTGGCTCATGTCTGTAATCCCAGCTACTTGGGAGGCAGAGATAGGAGGACAGTGGTTTGAGGCCAGCCCAGGTGTGGTGGTGCACATCTGTAATCCCAGCAACGCAGAAGAAGCAGGTAGGAGGATTGCAGTCCAAGGCCAGTCCAGGCAAATAAGCACAAGACCCTATCTGAAAAATAACCAAAGCAAAAAGGGCTGGAGGAATGGCTCAAGCAGTAGAGCACTTGCTTAGCAAGCAGGAGGGCCTGAGTTCAAACCCTGGGACTACCAAAAATAAATAAGTAAAAATTCATAATCTCAAAAAATCATTCTTAAAGAGAAAAAGGGTGCTTCTTAAACCAAAGTCACAAACCATAACAAAAGAAGAATCAAGGGCTGGGAGTATGGTTCCATGGAAAATAAGCTACACTCCCAAGATGCCCAGGGTAACCATGAGGCAGTCCCAGCACCCCACTCCCCCCACCCCACCATAGAAAAGACAGAG